CCATTGGTTGGCCCCTGTTCCTTTTGGGGGTTTATTTTAAGCCGCCTGCTTCTGTAAAATTGGGAAACTATACCAACATAATACTTTCGTTGGTTTCATTTTTGCCAACCCCCCCCCCCCCCCCCCCCTCTTCCCACACACCTCTCAAACAAAACCACCAGTGTAGGGGACCTGGACCTTGCCTTTGCCACCACCTTTTGCTCCCTCCTCCGTCCTCAACGCGTGCCGTTTTGAACCACTTGCCGTCCGGCATTTTCTGATAATGGCTGGGAAGCCGGCCATCACCAAGGCGGCGGTGCGGCTGCATCTGTTCTGCATCTTCCTCGCTTTGGGCTCGTTATGCTGGGGGTAAGAAAACCAGCCGGGAGCACACTGCTTCGGATAGTATATGCAGTCGCGATGCGTCTCTCTAGCAACCGAAACAGAATTGTTTCCGCTTTCGCCTCGTACTTGCGAGCCCCTGGCTGACACTGTCCTCCTAGATACAACGTTGGAATCCTCTCCTCCGTGCTCGTCCACCCCGGATTCGTCGAGCAGCTTAACCACCCCAACGCTTCCAAGAAGGGCATCATCACGGCAATCTACTACGTCGGCACATGGACCAGCTACGTCTTCCTCTCCCGCCCGGCCAGCGACTACCTTGGTCGCCGCCTCGCCGGCCTCGCCGGCATCGTGGTCTTGTGCTTCGGCGGTGCCCTCATCGCGGGCGCCACCGGGTCCGGCGCCTTTGCCATGGTCATTGCCGGCAGGATCTTCGGCGGCATGGGCTCCGCCGTCGTGTCCACGAGTATCCCCATGTTCCAGAGGTGCGTTCCTAACCACGCCCTTAACACTAGGCCACAATTTGCCCCCACCTCCTTTTACCCCTTCTTGTTTTTTCTCTCGGGTGCTGATACAGAGGATAATACCTACAGCGAGGTCGCTCCGGCTAAGCAGCGTGGCCGGTTCGTTGTCATGAACCATGTTGGGTTCGTGGCTGGACTTGCAACTGGCTTTTGGTATGTCTATGTCGTTCTCCTGCTATGATCGGTACGAGCGGCTAACACAGTCCCCCCTTACCTCTTCCACAGGGTAGGTTACGCCGTCACCTTCTGGGACAGCCCCCGTGGCGTCGAAGTGGGCTGGCGTTTCTCCATCGCTGTGCAGTTCATACCGGCCTTTATCTTCGCCGTCGGCTTGCCCTTTGTTCATGAATCGTACGTATCCAGCACACCCACACCCTCCCTGTTAATCTCAGAGAGCAAATGCCAATTTAAGAAAATAACGGCAGGCCGCGGTGGCTCGTCGAGCACGGCAAGATCGACAGCGCAAGGACCTCGCTGCACTACTTCCGCGAGGGCAGCTTCACCAACGACGAGATCGAGACCGAGCTGGCCGACATCCAGCAGTCGCTCGCCGACTACCGGGCCAGCGGGCTCACGTGGCTGTCGCTGTTCAGGGAGCCCACGCTGTTCGCCCGGCTGTGGCGCGCCGCGCTGCTGCAGTTCATGGCCCAGATGTGCGGCGCCACCGCCATGAAGTACTACCTGCCGACCCTGTTCAGGGCCCTCGGCCTGCCCACGCGCCTGGCCCTGCTGGCCGGCGGCATCGAGAGCACCCTCAAGATCGGCTGCGCCGTGCTGGAGATGCTCATCATCGACCGCGTGGGCCGGAGACTCTGTCTGGCTATCGGCGCTGCTGTTATGGCCTTTGCGATGCTCGTGAGTCTCCAGAATGCGCATCAGAGAAAGAATCCTGGTTTCGGTCTAGCGGGAGAGGAGAAGTGCTAATTATGTAATTCCCCCCTCGTTGTAGATAAACGGCGCCCTCCCCCTCGTGTACCCCGGCAACGTCAACCGCGCGTCCGACTACGCGTGCATCGTCTTCATCTTTATCTACGCCCTCGGCTACAGCGTGGGCTTCGGCCCTGCAGCATGGGTATACGGCGCCGAGGTACTTCCCTTCCCTCCCCCTCCCCCTTACCCCTATTTTTGCCAACGACGACTCCAAAAAAAAAAAAAAAAAAAAAAAAAAAAGGGGAAACCCAAAGCTCACGTAACGAACCACCCAGATCTTCCCCACCTCCCTCCGCGCGCGCGGCCTCAACTTCGCCGCGTCGGGCGGCGCCATCGGGTCGATCGCGGTGGCGCAGATCTGGCCCGTGGGCATCGACCGCATCGGCTCGCGCATCTACTTCTTCTTCATGGCTGTTAACCTCGCGTGCGTGCCCGTCATCTACCTGCTCTACCCTGAGACCAAGGGCTTCGCCCTCGAGGACATGGACGGCCTCTTCGGCGGCGCGGGCGGGCGGGCGCGCCTGCGGGGGGGGAGGAGGGGTGAGGGGGAGGGGGAGGGTTATGATGAGGATGCTGTGGCGTTTGGGGAGGGGGGGCAGGGAGGGAGGAAGGGGTTGGCTGAGCCGGCTGTGTTGGGGGTTGGGAGGGCTGAGGGCTGAGGGTTGTTGGTGGACTCCTGGGTTTGGGTTTTGGGGCACGGTAAGTGTGCAACACTCGTGAGTCTTTAGTTCTATTTGGATGGCCGTTCTTTCCAGGGTGTTTTTGGACCGATATATCTGGGGGTGGTGTTCAAAAATATGAAGCTCTCTCTCCTTGAGACAGATTCAAAAGCCTATCCTATTAATTATTAACAGACCAAAATAAATCCTGCCATTGAATACAGGCATTCACGCTGTTTTCGGGTTGGTACAAAAGGTTACTCAGTCGCCCACTTTAAAAGCTATGTGGAAAAGGTAATCAGGGGTTGCTCACATGCATCTAGGTCATCAACTCAAGTCTGCACTGCACCGAGATCCGGAAAATCCATCGGAGGATTCGGAATCTAGTACAAGGAAAACATTAAGACTGCCGTCAACGTGCGACCACCATTTCTGGCTAACCCTCTTCCAGCCGCCTCGCGTAGCCAAGGCACTTGCGGCATCACATCCTCCATGGTCCTGGAGTAAGTTGAAAGCAGGAACCTGGACAGCGTTGGATTTCAGACCACCAGCTGAAGGCTAACAACAGAACTTCTATGCCTAACCAGCCGACATATACATCCACCTGAGGCGGCATCTAGGTCATTCACTGCCAGCTTTTTATCGCTCGCGGCTTGTGGTTTAGGCGCGGTTTTAACTATATTTCGTGGCCGTCAGTATTCGACGGTCAGATCAGGAGAGTGAATCTTGGTATGCGGGGTCAAGTGTCCGATGTTGATTAAGGAAGTGGATGATCACTCCTGTTTATCCACGCCTAAATGTCACCTCTTTTTATTCTTTCTTTCTTTGTAGTCTGTGACTAACTAGTTAGCACTGAGTTGATTTTTTTTTAAAAATGGAATCAAAATAATCCAAGTTACCGCAGGCTTTAAAACGGCATCCTAGAGTATGAGGATGCTCCGTTGCTAGTTCTAGCAGTTTATGCAATTGTGTATTCGTTTACGATTTCCATCATGAGTTGCGAATGAATTAGATCAGGTTCGTATCAGAGGACGTCAAAACCTCCCAGCAGACAGAAAGAAAGAAAGTAAGAAAGCCCGACTCGAGAATCAGATTCCAAGCGGCAAGAAGACGACAACCATGAGCAGGTTTACGAAAATTACGGAGGATGACTTGGATGACACAGCGCTACGCATACACATCAACCTGGAACCATCTATTACTTAATAACTAAAGCAATCAACTGGTTTTCCCGCCAAGAAAAACACCCTCATGATCTATTGAAAGCAACTCAAGCGGGTTAACTACTGCCCACACAACTTCATTGCGTGTTCCCATCACCCTAAGTCCGTACCCTCCGGATTCCAGAATGAATAGATATGACACTTCTGCCAGCAACGCTATCAAGCATCTTGTCCAAGACCTGGTTCGCCTCCTTTCTCAGAGTCATGGCCGGGTGGCACAGCATGTGGTAGGGAGCCTCCGCCCCGCATCAACACCCAGGTCCATACTCGCAACACATGGGGATATTGGTGATTCCCATGAGCTCGTCGACCACGACCTTGATAGGGCAGCTCGACAGAAAGTACTTACCCAGGGGCCAGCGGTTTCGTGCTTGGAACCGCTCCTACAGGATGGCCGCCAACACGAGGTGGCATGCAGCCACGTCGTTTTGGTTGGTTGTGTCGCGGTTGGCCTTGCAGAGGCCATAGCCGTCATTCATGACTGCACCCTCGTAGATCTGTATGATGCACAGGACCATGTAAGTCTGGAATAGCATAATCTCCTCTGCCATTTTGCCTTCGTGTCAGCCCTTGACTCGAAAGCCCCTGGGAGACAAGAAGGACCGGCAAATGGGATCTAGAAAAGCCCACCAAAGAAGTCCATGGTATATTCCTCTTCCATCAATGGGATTGTCCCATCCCTGAAGATGAGTTTCTTGTCCTTGTAGAGCACCAGGCCCTCCAGAACTAGCTTCTTTGCGGCCGTGATGAGGAGTGGCGTGTAGTCCGCCGCCAGCCCCGCCACAATGGCCTTCTGCAGCTCCAGTGCAGTCACCTCTCCCGTATTAACCTGTACGACACAAGGGGCAGCCCAGCGCTCAACATATCCTTCGAGGCATGCGATCATGTCGAACTTCTTGGCCAGGGTCAAGACCCGGTACAGGAGGTCCAAAGAAAGCTCATCTGGTACGCGTTCGTTGCCGTGGACAACATCCAGCAGTACTACCATGGCCTCAGAGTCTTCGGAAAGACTTACGACCCATTTATCGCACTCATCAAATTCTAATTCTGCATTAATGCGACCTTCATACCTGAGAGTGCCCACAGATTCGATAATTTTCTTTAGCAAGACAGGGGAGGCTTTGGCCAGGGCCGGAAACGACACGTTGAGGAGACAGACACTGGTTGAGCCTGGAGTTGTCACTTCAACGATTACGTCGAAGGCATTTGGGCCACAAACCGGTTGTGTGGTACTGTTGGATGCCATGTTCGATATTGGAATGTGTGGAGCTGAGATTGCGCAACGGCGAGAGAAGGCTAGGGAGATCTGGTTACCAAGCCTGGTGGTTTTGCTGTGTAGATTGTTGCTGGTATAGGTGGAAGACACTGGATTATATAGATATTGGTTTAACTTAGAGAAGACTATGAATGGCCATATTTCATGGCATTCACAGGACCAAGAGTGAACGTTAAGCAAGGACTAGGCCACAGAGCAAGATACACATGAACATCTAACAGCACATATTGCAGTGAATCCCGACCTAAAAAGCACTGTAATGAGTGTCTTGCGCCTTCTGCTTCTGCCTTCTGTTATGACTGAGCTCGAGGGCAGAAATTATACGACTGGCTGTTAGTAGTCTCTTGCAGATAGCACAAACGTCCTGTTGGTATCGGCGCAGGCACATTGGTATGTACACACTGGTCTGACAGGGGCTGGCTATTCTTGTCTTAGAGCGTGGTTCAAACAATAAAAAGGGGGCAATTGAACTTCCATGTGACAAAGGTATGTATACCATACTCGATATTTGGCGAGGGAGTATGATATTCTTGAATAATGGCCTAGTGATATGGTGCCACAGGGGTCACAGCTCAAGACCAAGTAAGTGTCTGGCCAACGAATATATCTCTTATATCTCTTAATGCTGACGACCTGGAAGCGGTACCCTTCCCATGTGGATGAAGGGAGATCCGAATTGGCCAGAGCCAAGCGGCTAGTTCGAGAGGTAGGCACTCGGGAGACTGTTGTTGGCGGATCCACCAACCAACCGGCCCCATTGCAGTGTTGCCAAGCTCTTCGTCCACGTGGTGGGCAGATATCCAGCTCAACAGGAACTAGATTCATGCGGCTGGCTCATGGGCCAAAAACAAAGCCCTATTCTAATGGGACCTGTTCCCTTTCCCTTGAATGCGATGCTGCCACCTCGAAGGCCGAAACTCGCTGGGCTGGCAGACCGTCCCCTGACACCGACACCGGGCCGCAATGTAGGGCTGGGCTAACGTGGGGTTAGAGATTAACCATGACAGCTCGGCAGGGCAGAGATTAACCATGATATGACTACTGCGGTACTAATAGGTGCCTGAACAATCCGTTCCGGCACGGATTAATTACAGATTACCTACGTAATTGCGCCGTAAGGAGTGCGGAAATGGCATCATGGGCAGTGATGGGTTAGCAAAATGCTTCGATTTCGTAGCGTTGCAGCGAAAGCCGAAAGCGGACGGCGCCGCGGCATCACCGGAAATCATTCTTGGATTCGCTTAGTTGACAGGTGGGGCAATGGCAAGGGCCAGTGCTGCAGACGATTCAGATTCAGCCTTGATCAGCGATACCACTGATTTGATTTGACGGAATTGATGGAGATGCTGGAATCTGAGGAAGAAGTGCCAAGGGAGGGTGCGTGGCGTGCCTGGTCACGCGCCATAGTGGCAATCCAAGTGCCGTCCGGGATCCATGACAACTTCCAACAGAGGTGGTGATGATGGTACAGTGCAGAATGGAAGTCAGATAAGAAGTACATCGTACTGTGTATCTCACCGCAGCTGTATGTACGAGCCTGCATGGACTACCAACCAGGTGGTGTAGGCGGGAGAGGGAGTAGGTATTGAAGAAGGGTCTGATGATTGAATCTTAGGAGTCCCCCGGCTTGTCTCGGGGTTTACCGTCGTCTTCCCAGGCATCTTTCGTCTCTTCTCTCCCATTTCATCTCCGCAGTATCACGTCTCTTTGTGCCCCAATTTCTGCCCAAGCCGAACCTAGGTACCTAGCTCATGACGGGGAAAACGGGGCTAACTCCAGTAATTTGGTATGTACCTCGAACCTGGAACCCACAGCCACCGGCCTAACAGCCCGCCCCCCATTGGAAATTGGAACCCCAGATCAACAAGCCGCGGCGTTTTTCCGGCATCCACCTTCCACTCTCGATCCAAACCCCAACATCAGCACAACTAGTCTCACCATCAAACTCGCGCGTCTGCATCTGCAATCGGCTGTCATCCCCTATAGATATTCTTTGTTCTAGAGCCTCCTCCTGCTACAATTGATCGATATCGCAAACTTCACGGCTTCCGTCAGGATGATGACCGGGCGTCGTGCAGAAGTAGCCCTCCCGGAACTCTGACGGCCAAGCCCGTTGATCTCGGTTTGACCCGTGGCCTCGCACCACTCGACACCGCGGACTAGTGTTACGAAAGTGGCAGTTCTCTGCTTCTTTGGGATCTAGTTTTGCAATTCGCGCAGGTCTGCCATCGCCTGCTACTCTTTCCGTTGGTTCCGCCGTTTCCGACCCCAAGTCTGCACTTGCCATCACGAGGAGTTTCCTACCCCTCCACCATTCGAATTCAAGGCTGCGGGCCAAGCGAGACGATCATTGGCATCGACAACCCCTCCACACAACCGTTCCGACCACCCCAGACTTCAAGTCTCTGCAGACTCTGTCAAGCCGCCTCCCCCGCAGTATAACCCTCCACGAGAGCCGTCGTTCACGATTGAATTGCGCCGCCGCACCTAACAAGTATGGGCAACGCCAGCACGAAAGAGTCGCGGCCAAGCGACTCTGGCCATCCATCACGCCGTATCCCTCACACCGTTGGCTTCGACTCCGGCCTCGGCCCATCCGCCCAGTCCGACAGACCGTCCAGCAGGAGAAACCGGGTCAGCCGTGGCGACCTCAGCGGGATACTCGGACTTGGTTCCGCGAACGGTACTAGTTCTCGTGCGGATGGTGCCTCCGAACGTCGGGAGACGAAGCAAGAGCGGGAGGCGAGACGGTTGGAGAGGGAGCGGGTGGCGAGGATCAAGGAGCGAGAGCGAAGCATGAAGGAAGAACATGTGGATGGCGGCTATCTGGTCACCTTGGGGACATACACTGGGCCAGAGGACTTCAACAAGCAGGTTGTTCGCCAGTTACAGGTACACCAACTCCTCCCTCCTTCTCTCCCTAAAAGACAAAAGAAGATGGTCACTTCCTTTGATTGCATGTTGGATGAAAACTGACCAGAGCTGCTACTCAGATCGAGAGGAAAGTTGCGCCTTTTTGGCGCGGGTTAAACGACTTGGATGACAAGTGGGCAGAGCACCAGATCATCGCTGCAGCTCGAGGATTGCCAGTTCCGCCTGCCGACCAGCCACCTCCCGAGGACCTCATCCCGCGTCTGCCATCGCCCGAGTCTCCTGCCGTGTCGACGCAAAATCTCAACAACTTGACGATCCCTATCACTGGCAGATCCCAGTCCGCGGCCTCGGAGCATAGCACATCCAATAGTCTCTCCGCCGTAACTTCGCCTGTCTCTGCGGGACCCATCCGGGCGAGCTCTCCCTTCCGGCCGCGTGGCAAGGCCCTGGCAGCCGTGCTTGGGGGTACGTCTCGGAACGGTTCGACAACCGACATCGCGCCGCGGGAGATTAATCTGCCTCACGATCCATTTGTCAACGGTCAGCCACTGGAGGTTTTCCTATACAAAGACGCCATCGACTGCCCGATTTGCTTCCTCGCTTACCCGCCATTCCTCAACCATACCCGATGCTGCGACCAGCCCATCTGCAGCGAGTGTTTTGTACAGATCAAGAGGCCGGACCCTCATTACCCCGAGGGACACAATGAGGACGATCCCAACCACGACCCCGAGGAAACTGCCGGGATGCTGGTATCGGAACCCGCGTGCTGCCCGTACTGCACCCAGCCCGAATTTGGTGTCACCTATGAACCCCCTCCCTTCCGCCGAGGACTGACCTACGCCACTCCCCACTCGGGCCTGGGCAGCCTGTATACCGCCACGTCTTCCACGAGCTCACTCAACTCGGCCACCGTCTCACCAACACCGGGGTCTCCCATCGGGACTGCTAACCGCCGCCGCACGCAGTCCCTCTCCGCCCACGCGCCGAATGTTATCCCCACGGACAGGATCCGGCCGGACTGGTCTACCAAACTCCAGGCTGCCCGTGCCCATCAGGCTCGGAGAGCTGCTGCTGCGACAGCGCTTCATACGGCCGCCTTCTTGATGGGTGGCAATGAAACCCGACCTTTCCGAGTAAGCCGGTTTGGTCGCCGGAACACTGGTGCGTCCGGTTCGGGATCGGCCGGCGGGGAGCCCGGGGATAACGGTGGCAGTGGCACCGTTACACCTTCCCAGTCGGGCTCAGAGCCGGCCGCCAGGACCGCCTCGGGTCGCGGATTGCTGGTCGCAGGTACTGGAAGCGGGAATCGGGGGCGAAACCGCATGGATGACCTAGAAGACATGATGTTCATGGAGGCTGTCCGCTTATCGCTTGCCGCCGAGGAAGACCGCAAGCGCAAGGCCGAAAAGGAGGAACGAAAGGAGGCAAAGAGGCGTGAGAAGGAAGAACGCAAGGCAGCTAAAGCGGCGGCTAAACACGGTCATGGGCCGTATGGCAGTGGCGGCGGAGGACGAAGTGGGAACAGTTCCGCCAGTGGAAGCACCCTCAGTCTTCCCGGTCTTAGCTTCGGTCGGAAGAGGGGCAATAGTGGTGCCAGCAACCTCCGAGCTGATGCAAGCGTAGCCAACGCGATGGCAAGCACAAGTGGAGCGGAGAACCCCATGGCCAACGCAAACAACACAAGGGATAAGGGAAAGGGCGTTGACCGTGGCCTTCAAAGCACCCCCGAGGGTGGAGACGAAGCGGCGGAACCGACTGCGGCATCGTCAAGCGCCGCTTCCCGGACAGCGTTAGCCTCGCGGCCGATCCCTACGCAACACCAATCGGCGGGTCCGTCCCACCTGAGGCAGATGAGCAACGCCTCCTCGGTCTCTTCCTCCCTCCCTGATAGCCGACCCGGCAGCTTCACACCCGCATCTCACCTTCTGGATCCGCGAGCCAGCGGGCTTAGTCTCGGCAGTCGCTCCGGCGCTAGCGAAGACGGCGGCGACCATGACCGGGAAAGGGATCCCAGCGCAAGCACGGAGCCCATGTTCAACTTCCGCAGCCTGGCTGAAGTGGTCGGCGTGACCCTGGAGGGCGAGCATGCCGGCCGCAGACTCAGCCGGATCGGGGCGGAACAGAAGACAAATGAGAGCGCTGCAGCTGCCGAGCCTGATCAGGCCGAGACCGGCGAGGCAAGCAAAGGCGCCGAGACGGAGCAAGTTGGTGGTAGTTGCGGTCATGCCGATGACGCGGAGCATACATCCGAATCTCTGAAACCACAGGGCAGCACGATAAACGAAAGCCACAATGTTGAACATGATTCTCCTCTACCGGCGCCGGATTCGAGTCATCTCACGCCGCCCAGGGTCATGATCACCCCTGAGACTCCAGGATGCAACGATGGGGATGAGTCAAAGCAACTGGGGTGCGAGACGACTGTGGAGCCACTACATCAGGTTGCACAGTAGCATTGCGCAGTCGGTTTATTTCTCACTCTTCTCAATGCATTGGTCTGGCTGGGAGCGGGGGCAATCCGGCGTGTCACTATAAAGACAGCACTAGGCTGGACCTGACCCATATGGCCTTGAATCGACATTAGCATTAAGACGGGGGAGATTGTTGGTAGATATGGTGATCTTTTGACAGATCATGTTTCCTTTCGACAAGGGTTATTTCTCATGCATTAAGACTGCCTTCTTGTTTACAAGATCTGTAAGGTTGAGATGGTTAAGGGAGGGAGAATGACGAGATATGGACATGGAAAGGGGTGGATTTGGGGGATGGCAGAAGTTGGCGTCTGGGATGGAACAATTCACCTTCTTTTTCCCATGGTCGCCATTCAACACGCACAAATGGATCATCGACACTGCTAATCTCAAGCAAGATGTTTTGGCATTAAACATAGCCTACATGTGCTCAATAGAATGCTCGTTATGCCAGTACCGATGCAGCCATCCTTCCTTCATTGATCAAATCAACGCGTATGCCAAAACTGTTGTAAAACAGGCCGTATTCACATCTGCCTTTTTTATCCCGACACTACCGTCTCCTTCACAACCACCGTAACCCTCGTTTTCACCCCTTGGAACACCTCCACAACCCCATCGTCCCCAAGGACATCTCGCCTAGCCTCCCTCTGATTCACAAACCCCTCCCCGGGGCTAGCCCAGCTATAATCCAACCACTCAGCCCCAAGCGCAGGCCACATCTCCTCCTCAACAAGACGGACGATCTTCCCGTCGCGGCCCCCATCACCACCTCCCTCCTCCTCCTCCACCGCCCTCCTCCTCCCAACCAGCACGCCCTCCCACTCCCCCACCGTCTCCTCCAGCTCCGCCACAGACGTAACGCCCATGACGCTCGCGCCCACGACAACCCCCGCGTGCCCCGGGACCGAGACCGGGACGCCGACCCCCGCGCCGCCCGCCACCCGCGCCCACTCCCCCAGCGACCAGCGGATCGCGACGCTCTCGAGGCGCTCGCCCGCCGCGGCGGCGAGGGCGGAGAGGCGTTTGCAGGCGAGGCGCAGGGCCGGCGGGGAGGGGTGCCACTTTGCGAGGGGCGAGTGGCTGTTGTCGGTGGTCGGGGGTGATGCCGTCGGGTCGGGCGGGATGCCGGCCGAGGTCAGGAGGCCCATGCCGAGCATGCTGGCGTTGAGGACGACGCCTACGCCGGCGGCGCGGAGGCGGGCTAGGGGGCTCGTTGCTGCTGCTGCTGCTGTTGTTGGTGTTGGTTGTGAGTCGTCGTGGCCGAGGGGCAGGCCGAGGGTGCGGTTCTGCACGGTGAAGTGGCCGTAGCTCATGACGGCGTCGAGCGGCTCGCCCGTCTCGCGGCGCACGAGCTCGGCGAGGTCGCAGAGCACGTCCACGGGGTAGCCGCTGATGCCGACGTGGCGGACGACGGGCCCGGCGCCCCCTTGGTCGTCGTCGCGGAGGCGGCGCAGCTCGCGCACGGCCGAGAGGACCTCGGCCGGGGAGACGAACTCGACGTCGTGCGCGTAGACGAGGTCGAGGTAAGGGGTGCGCAGGCGCCGGAGGCTGCGGAATACGCTGCGGCGGATGTGCGAGGGGCTGTAGTCGAACTCGGAGGGGCCGACGCGCCCGGCCTTGGTGATGAGCGTGAGGGAGGAGCGCGGGGGCGGCGGGTCGAGGGCGGCGAGCGCGCGGCCCAGGAGGTCCTCGGAGGGGCCGTAGTAGGGGCTCGTGTCGAAGGCGGTGACGCCCAGCTCGAGGGCGCGGCTAACGATGCGCTCGTAGGGCATCGAGAGAGGGTCCGTGACGTACTGGGTGTTGAAGGTCGCGGTGCCGAGGATGAGGGGTGGGAGGACGGCCGAGAGCGGCGGCGCGGGGGACCGGGGAGCTGCCATTGTGGCGAGCGGTCGTCGTAGTCGTCGGGACGGTGCTGTAGGGGATGGGGATGGGAGTCGGACGCGGGTTCAGAGTGCACCGAGAGGCAAGACTGGTATCATCCTGTGGTGTCCATGACGGATGTATTCAATGTTTATCCGTTCTTGAGATTGGGTGGTGGGGTCTCTCGGAGTTGAACCCTCAAAATGAAGCCAGTCCACAGGTGAGGGAGAGAGAGGGCAAGAAGAGACAAGCGAAAAAGAAGCAGGCGACACTCGTTAAGAGGCTCGCTCACAGACGGGAGGTTCTCGACCAGCGGCAACCGGTGCTGCAGGAACATCCGGCAATCGGGAAATTTTGGGGAGTAACTTTTTCCATCTGATAACAGCGGAAACTGCACCCAAATTCAAGAGATAACGATAACTGGGCGGCAGATGTCGCAATCGGCTAGCACCTGCAGACGCAGCTCGGACCCGAACTCAATTTTTGAGTCTTGACCCACTGCGCGATTTCAGGGGCCCGCCTGCTGATGTAATCCGGCAAACAGGCCATCCAACCATCGCATCCAACTTCAAGATGTTGCCAGCTTCTAACCCAGTATCTCAGTCTCCGATGATAGCACGACCCAGAATTTGAGTCAGAACTGGAGTGGCTACGATTTCGCATCTCAGATGCAGGAAGACAGAGGTGCTGCGACGGCACTCGACCAAACACGCGGCAGATTGCCACAAAGAAGCCGCGAGAGCAGAAGTTCCACATCGTGCTTGCCTACCAGGCTGAGCCAGCAGGTTGTTGCCCATTCGCCTTCTTAGCCTTCGTGTCGTTGCCCTCGGCGAGTGAAATATTACCATTTCCTGAATCTCGGTCACTATCGACAGTCGGCGGCCATTCAATGCCATCTCGATTTGCAGGTGGGAATACGTGCCGTTGAGGCCGAACCGCCAGGCGTTGGCCAAAATCAACCGGGAGCTTATTATAATTACCTTCAATTCCATCATCCAAACCTTCCGAGCCACCTTCGCTTGCAAGTGACCCGGAAACCCTTCACCAGGATACTTCTTCCGAGGATTTGCACCCTGCCCGGGTGTATACCGTATTGCTTCGCCGACGGGGAAGCCGCCTGTCTTGGTCTCGGTCTCGGCACCCATCTGGATGGACACCAAAGACACCAAGGACTTGGCGAGCATCATGGAGCTCTCTGCTCGTTCTCTGCTCATACATATGGTTTGGAAAGCCTGTGACATTCCAGGAATATCTTCATCGTGAGTGGTCTGAATGCCAGCTTTCCCCGCGAAGCATTCCCGTACCTCTCTCATCAAAATCGCTCTCTATATGAATTAGCCTAAAGGAGGCGTTCCTCGTCCGTCGCGTTCCCAGCGGAACTGCCCGGCACTCTCCTGACTCCCAATATACGGTCTTTTTTCTTTGCCTATTTAGACCACAATGCTAGTCTCCAACTGCTACTATCTACGCCCCTGCCTTCCATTCCGGGACTCCAAATAATTCACTCTCGGCCCCCGCATCATCCCTCCCTCATCTAACTCATCTAACTCATCTATCTAGATCACTCTATTTACCCTTCCAATCAATCATGCACGTCGTGCCATCTACCGTCAACCAAGACGTCCAATTATCGTTGTCCTATTTCGCAGCCTCCGCTTGCCCCTGTCACCCCCAAAAGAAAATTGAAAATAATACCTCTGCAGCTTCTCGCCAGGCACCTCACCCAGGATGACTGCCACTTCGCACAGAGGCCGAACTAAGTCGCGACGATTAGAATGGTCCAATTGACTCCGCCAGGTATGTGCCAAACAAGCCATGGCTGGTAGGTGTGCGGCTGGAGAGGAGGAGAAAGAAAGAACCAGGCGCTGGTTCCTGATAATAGCAAAGAAGCGGCAGTCACATCCATATACCGCCGCCCTTCCGAGCTGGAAAGTCTTGGCGCGAGGATCATCCACACGGGATCTGCAGAATCGCCTCCCCCAATCTTTCCCGGCGCGGGTCAGCAACCAACAAGCCACCGAGGGCAGGCCGCTTGGAAACTTTGCCATGATGAGATCCCGCGGATTGATGAGCTGCGAAGGTGACGTGCTGTATATTCGTCAGCGGCTGTCGTAAATTGACACTTTCCCCTTTCGAACGGCCGGAAGAGTCTCCCATCTTGCGAATTCCGGCTGATCACTATATCCAGACCAGCGTCATGATTATCGATTCTTACGGTTCCCGCGTCGCCATATATAGGTGGCTTCCCGGTGACCACTTGCTGCTGGACCCGTTCATCTCTCCCTGGTTACGTTGGTAGGCTAGCTTCGAGATTCAAGATGCGCTGGTCACGCGGAGCTGCTCGTGCAGCCGCCCTTGTGGGCCTCAGTAAGTCAAGTCCCCTTCTCGAGTTGCCCAGCTCCAGCTCTTGTCTGACAGCAGCAACAGCACGTAGACAAGTCCCTCCTGCCGACTCCACGGTTGTGGTCGATGCTGAGACCGGATTCACCTTTGGACAATTTATTACCGACAATGGGATCGAATACCGCATTGCGCTCCCCGACCCTATCCCCGCCAACACGCCTTACGATGTGGTTCTCCAGGTCGCAGCCCCTCACGAAATTGGCTGGGCTGGAATCTCCTGGGGAGGTTCCATGACTTACAGCCCTCTCACGGTTGCCTGGCCAAACGATAAGGATGTCACAGTCTCGTCTCGATATGCCTTGTAAGTTGGTCTCGCCGTCCGGGGTGTGATTTCGGATAGCAACTAATACGCGCACATACAGTGGCTACTATGTCCCACCGCCATTTGATGGCGCCACGTACACTCTGCTCCCCAAGGGCACCCACGTCAACGATACTCATTGGCAGTATACCGTCAAATGTTCCGGCTGCACCACCTGGGGCGATGAGGACACTGGCTACACAACCCTCGATGCCACACAGCAGAACGCCCTGGCGTTTGCATATTCGGTAACCCCACCAGAGGACCCGGCCAGCAACATCTCATCCTTCAGCATCCACGACAGCATCGGTCATTGGTACCACGACTTCGGGAACATCGGGAATGCCGAGTTCGACGAACTGGTGTCGAAAAACTCTGAGGGTGGCAGCACCGGGACGACCCCTCCTTCGACGCCCACAACGACTGCGACGACCACTGGCACAGCGTCGACAACGGTGACTCCAACGCCCACCGGTGTCGAGGAGAGTTGTGAGTCTTGACCAAGACTTGAGGGCTTCGTTCGGCCTTGGAGATTGGATGCGTTTGTACTCTATATACAGTTGGATGCAAGGAGTGCTGCGTGATAGTTGGGGTAGAGCGTAATAGATTAGCACTAGGCCTGCCCCATTCCGCTTGCTCTGTAATTGTGTGCTTTGCTGGTTACTTGATATGTAAAGGACGTGATCTAAGTGTTGCCTACGCAGTTTGAAAATATATCATAGAGGAGTCTAGAACTGGCCAATCACAATCAACAATTGCGACCGTAGCCGCACAACCTTTCAGCTTTCAGCTTTGCCTTTGAATCCTGGCACATCCCCCCAGCCCTGGATGCCTCATGACGGAAAATGTTCGTCCTTCATTATCTCGCTCTGTTCGTCACGGCCGTCACAGTCTAGGTGTCGAAGCCCCTAGCCACCACCCAAGGCAGTCTGCCCTCGTCTATTCTCGGTCCTCTTGAAGGTCAAGCTGGGTGGTCATCCCTCGTCATCATCGGAGATCGGAAGCAGACAATGTCACGCCCAGTGAAAATCCTCTCCCTTGGTAGGTAATTATGCCCATCACCGCCAATTCTCTGCATGTTTCCTGACCCCGGCAACTATGTCTACGCAGACGGGGGTGGCATCCGAGGCATGTCAAGCTTGTACATACTCGAACAGGTCATGGAGAAGATCAAGGCCCAGGCCCCGGGCGAGGATCGCAAGCCTAGTGAATATTTCGATCTAATTGGAGGCACAAGCACGGGAGGGTAAGCGCGACATTCCGGAAAGCGGCAACTATCCGATTTGGCTACCAGTGTCTAATTAATCGTGTGCCAGCATCATCGCCATCATGCTCGGGAGGCTGGATATGGACGTCGGCGACTGTATCACGGCTTACAAGGATGTTGCTTCGAAAGCCTTCGTTCCCAAGACGTCGCCGTCGCGCCTGCTTAGCAGAATTCCCGGCGTGCCCAAGGTCCCTGACCCTGAGGGAGAGTTCTCCGCCAGCGCCCTCGAAGACGCTATCAAGCTCATTATAAGAAAGTACTGCAGAGAACCCACGTGTGTTCAGCTGAGCGAGGAGGACAAGGTGAAAAGATGTCCCCATAGCGACAAACCCTTTCGGGATGGATCCTGTCCCAAGACGTGAGCTTCCCTAGGACGCACAGCCCAGCTCCATGAGAGGTTAACTGAACTCGCAACTAGGGCCGTTCTGGCCAAGACCAAGGACAATGTCGACGCACCCCCCACCGTGCTTAACACCTATGAGCCATCCGCGGAATTCGCCCGCTGTACCATTTGGCAAGTCGCCCGGGCCACGTCGGCAGCCACGACCTTTTTCAAGTCGATCAAGCTCGGGCGCCTTGACATGGAGTTCATCGACGCCGGGTTCGGCAACAACAATCCGTGCGACGTGCTCCTGGGCGAGGCCAAGCAGCTGTTCCCGGATGCAACGACGTTCCAGATCCTCAGCATCGGCACGGGGCTGGGCCGGGTCGTGACGGTCAAGGGCAGGCGGTCGATCCTGGATGCCCTGGCCAAGATGGTCGCCAGCTCGACCAAGGTGGCCCTGGACATGGACCGGCATTTCGCCGACAGCGGGCAGTACTTTAGGTTCAACGTCGACAATGGCCTCCAGGACATCACCCTGTCGGACTGGGAGAAGACCAGCAAGATCGTCGCCCACACCCACAACTACCTCCTTACCCCGACGGTGGCGAGGAAGATCACCGAGTGTGCCAGCAGACTCATAGCAGCTACCGCGTGGCGTGATGACAACTTGGCGGGGGACACTGTGGCCGGTGAAGGCGCTCCACAGGGCCATCTACGCGCCGTTGAGACGGATGGAAACCCGCCGGCTAGCAGACCGCCTACGGCTCCGGGTCTGGGAAGCGTCGAGTAAGGAGATACATTCCAGTTCCGTCGAGTCGCCGTCAGGAGAGGAGGGGGAGAAGGAGGTTGGGATAGGCGCTGATTTTGAATCCATGTATTCTAGGCTACCAATTCGAGAACGCGCTTCTCCTCGACCGGCTCGCGTGACGCCGTGGTCGAGACGCGACATCTTCATGGTCCCCCTAGCCGCGAACAACAACTACGTGCGCCGCGCGAAGCCCGAGGAAGACCTGTGCGGGATCCTCCGTCCCAAAGACGACGGCCCAAGGGCGCCCAAACGAGCCGCCCTGTACGGGCTCGGCGGCTCGGGCAAGACGGAGGTCGCCGTGCGGTACGCCCAGGACCACCGGGACCGCTACGGCGCGACGTTCTGGGTCAGCGGCGCGGACGGCGCGCGCCTCGCCGACGGCTTCGCTGCCATCGCCGGGGAGGTCGGCGAGGACTCGTCGCCGGGCCACGGGCGCGAGGGCGCCGTGGACGCGGCGGTCCGGTGGCTGACGCGCAACGGCGGCTGGCTGCTGGTCGTGGACGGCGCCGACGACGACGAGGCCCTGCGGCTGCTGCAGGGGGGCGGGTTCCTCCGGGCCGGGTACCGCGGCGACGTGCTCGTCACGAGCCGGAACAGGGGCGTGCGCGGCCAGTTCGACGTCGTCGACGTGGGCGAGATGAGCGAGGACGAGGGCCGGGGCCTACTCCGTAGGATCGCAGGGCCGGCGGCTGTTGGGGATCCCCTGGGTGGCGATGATCTTCTGAGGTTCCTGGGATACTTGCCTCTGGCCATCGACCAGGCCGCATCGTACGTCCGGCACACGGAGATCTCGATTGCCGAGTACTACGAGTTGTTGCAGCAGGATAGGGCTACTTACTTGGCCAAGCACCCTTCTACCCAGTACGACGGCACGGTGCTCACGACCTGGAATGTGTCATTCAAGAAGATCAAGAATGTTCAGCCTGAGGCGGCAAATCTGTTGCTCTTGCTATCACTCCTGGAGACGGATGACATTCCACTAGAGATCCTTGAGAGCTGCTTGAAGGGTCAATACGAATGGGGCCCAGACGGGGAGTTCACGAGGGTTGAGGTTTGTGATGAATGGATCCCCGGTGAGGTCAGTAAGGCATTGTCCAACCGGCCTGGATACATCGAAGCCAAGGCCGTACTGCTGCAATTTGCCTTTATCAGGAAAGGCTCGGAGCCATCCAAAATCTACATTCACCCCCTCGTGCGGTATTGGGCCGCCAGCGAGCTGTCGAGCGAGGAACGTCTTCTCAAGGGGAAGTTCGCCACGTGCCTGATAGGGCTGGTGTCGTCTTCGTTTGCGAAACAAGATCGTTTCCCGCCCATCTTGCCACGCACCCACGGCAGCAGGGGGATGGAGGAGGCACAGCTCGGCATTTGGCCTTGGAGGCGATATCCGGCGCTGGCAGGTCCGGCGAGAAGGTGTCTGCGCCTCGCGCGCGAGCTCGACCCTTCTCCCATGGTCGCGCGCCTCGGCCTCCCCCTCCTGCAGGTGTTGGAGTATTCGACTTTCGGGAGCTTCGAGGACGACCAGGCCCTCAGCATCGAATTCATCGATTCGTTCGACCTCGGCGAGGATGACTACACCGGCTGGGCTCTTGCCGTCTGGAGACTCCAGCGGTCTGACCTCTGCACGTGCCGGAAATCTTTTCGCTCCATTTTGGAAGGTATACAGAAGCTCAGGAATCCGCTCAAAACTTTTAAGCCAGGCCAGCCCTCTCCAAGCATGGATTTCGGTTTCTGCGAGGATTGCATCATGACGTTCAATATCATATTCCGGAAACTGAAGGCGGCACCTGGCTGTATCCGATGCCAGACAGCTTACAGATTCTTGGCCTTCCGGCTCGGATCCGATCTCATCTGGCTGTGGTATCTCAGCACGAACCGGCACGTGGGAGAGGAGGACTTGTCCGCGTTGGAACCTAGTGATTGCAACTGGATGGATATCCGGATCTGCTCTGCGCGGCTGCAAGGATTCCGGCTGCGATGGGTCGGCGACAACATGCGACACTTTCCCGTTGGAGGGCGAGACGACCCGGCCTTGGCCAGGGCGAAAGCTGTCTCCGTGGAAGACCGGGCAGACCGGGAGCTCACATGCTGGGTCGACCTAACCGATTGGGACGAGTCGAGCACGAGCGTATCAGGTGAGGGGGGGTTCTCCTGGACGGACTTGCAAAATGGTATTAGGTACTTGGGAGTGCGGAGAGACAAGTTTTTGGTCCAGTGCGGCGCAGTGCCTGCTCGGTTTGAGGCCACGCTCCGATTGCCCGACCAGCTGAAGATGCTCGAGGAATTTCTAGAACTTGGACCAGGTGGACTCGTACTTTCAAGTCTGTCGGCGCCGGCGCTTGAGGATCCCGAGGTACAACAGATCCTTGAGTCGACCTGCAGACTGAGGAGCCGCGCCCAATGGTGGCGTTACATCAATGCAAAAGGGATGGAATTCGACATGTTTGAATCCGCGGACCGCTCATGGTGGCCTTTGCGCGCAGACGTCCTGGAGAAAAGCACGGGGGACTCGTGGATCGAGCAGTACGGATTCACCCTTCGCTGCTACCTGATCCTACGATCGGATTGTGAAGGTGCGATGGAGCGACACTGGTCGGAAGATGAAGCTAGAGTGCTGGGACGCACCTGGAGCGCGATGGAGAGACTCCACGGCCCGGATTCCGAAGAGTGTCGGAGGGCGGCGTTCTACTCGTGCAAGATGCGCGGCCTGCCAGTCGATCAGATTATTGAGCGTTTGCGGCCCCACGTCGAGGCGTCGATTGCGCGGCCGAGCGAGAGCTGGTCGCACGAAAGATGCATCATCGAGTACGTCCGGGCCCTGATGTCCGACGGGCATTCAGACGCGGCCCAGCAATGTCTTCGGGAGGTTCGCAGGGCCTACGACGCCTCCGGGCTGCATCTAGTGACGGTCGACATGACCCTACTGCACATGACGAATCTGGAGACGGCGAGCGAGGTGACCCCCCCCCCCCCCCAAATAGCTTGCCTATCAGTTCCGGATAACTAATTTCAAGGACCAGGGAGATTCGCCCCAGGACAAGCCAATCCAGGTCTTCGTGAAAGGTTTCAGCGGGCGGTCATACACTTTGCAGACCAGAGCAATCGCGACTGTGTCCAGTCTCTACCCTCAGATTATGGATCGGGAAGGGACAACGGGAGCCCACATACGTCTACTCTTCGGAGGGAAGGGACTAGAGAAGGACCGGCTGCTGTCGGACTACAACATCCAGGAGGGATCCACCCTGGATCTGGTGTACAGGTTGCATGGGGGAGTTCAGCCACCTTGGCTCCTCCGCGCTGACCTTTGGGCTCTGCGTGTTTGCCAGCGACAGAGACGGTAATGCTGCGAAAGATATTGTCACCAGTTCTCTACCGGTATCTCGAGCCGGGTAAGTTCCTCTTTGAGCACGTCCGTCTCAACGGTAGGGAAGTTGAGTCGAAGTCCATGTTGTTGTGGCCAGCAGCCATGAGGGTCATGGTGGGCCGTTTTGAGTGGCTGGAAGAGAACACCGAGTGGCGAGGGCCCCGGCGGAATAACGAGGTGCACGACTTCCAATAGTTAGGATCTTCCAATAGTCAAGATACGAGATGGGGAGGGGCTGTGGTGTTACCCTGTTCAGGCTTGGTGCTGTTGTCTGCAAGACCCTTTCCGCGTCACCGACTCCCAGGCCATCGACAATGCAGGCGTATGGGAATGTGACCTTGAATGCGCCTTGCTTGGCTTCGTCTGTATTGGTGATGGGAAATAGTTTGTGGCTGTGGCGCTGACGCACACCTCGTCGAGACTCGCAGCAGCCCACTGTCTGAGCCTTGAGGCCGATTCGACGAGGCCCTGCCCACACTTGCCTGAGAGATCCTTTGCTTGAAAACGAACTCGGAGCCGTTCTGAAAATGCTAAAGGTCAACCTGGATCAGGCTGGGGTTGAAGTGGGTTAACTAGACTGTTCGCATTCCGGACTTGATTGTCTCACGCATGGTCGCCTCCTTCGGCGCCAGTCACACACCTTGCCAGAATCAACATCGGGGTTCTCCCAATCGGGCAGGGGCATTCAGTTATCGAGGCAGGGGCATTTAACTGTTCAGGTAAGAGCATTTGGCTATTTGGGCAGGGGCAATTAGGTATTCGGGCAGGGGCACTCAGTTATTCAGGGAGGGGCATTTCTGCCCAGCACAGACCCCCCTGCCCGCAGAGACAAGCTCACATTAAAACATCACAGCGCAACACCAAAACCCAACCGAAAAAAAAGACGCCATCAACATCGTACCTTTCTTTGAATCAAAATGAAGGAATTGGGCATGCTAGTCCCTACGGAGGTCATCGAGGACGCCGAGTCGAAGCCCAAGCTCCGGAACTACCAGATCCCTCTGAGTCGGATTCAGAAACCACACAAGACGACGACCCCAATGCCGAGTATATCTGCATGACGAGGATACGGCCAGAGCCGACCAACAAAACGCCAAATGACAACGTTCCTGGCAGGGTAGTCTCGGAGGTCAAGGAACGCGAGTATAGAGTCGTTACCGCGCCCAAGGTGCGCGAGCTAGAGGAGCGAGGCTGGACCGTTTGGCACGCCCCACCTCCGGCTCTCGACATCAATAAGGGTTACAAGGATGTTCGAGGGTGCTCTCGCTTCTTAGACGTCAACACCACCGACAATCCGGCTGCAGATAGCGCGTTCTTCCTTGGACGAGCCAATGTCTTTGCCGTTGCCACCATGACTGATGGAAAGTGGCGCCCGGGTCAGTTGCTTGGTCCTGGCGGCTCGGAGGAGGTACTCGCCAAATCCCCTTCCTTCGCCCCGTTTACTCCGGTAAAAGACATGACCGAGACGCGTTCAGCGACCTCAACCGGCCATCTCCACCAATGGGTGCGACCAGCCGGCATCGGAGCTGGCTGGGGCGCCTACGACGACTTCACTACCTTCCAATCCTACGGTCGTCGAATCGCGAAGGAGTTGGTCGAAGAGAGAGAATGGTCGACCGGTGTAATGGCGCCATTCGAATTCAAGAGCGAATCGGGTGGTGAAACCTTCAGGTGCGACTCCATACAGATCACTGATGAGATCCCGGTCAGGCAGAAAGAGCCAGTTCCGCTGCGCCAGGCGATGGAGGCCACGCAGTCGAACCACGGTTGTGGACGCGGTGGTGGACGCGGTGGGCGTGGTGGTGGACGTGGTGGCCAGTGGGAGGGGCTCAATGATCTGTGAGGCTTTGTCACTCATCCTCGCCTTCGGGCTTGTGAGTACACCTTCGCCTTCGGGCTAGAGAATAACTAAAGGTTGTGGTGGTGTACCCTGTATATCTGCGTTCGCCGCTTTGGCTAATGGTGATGCCGGGGGCGGGTTCGACACCCGTGACAACCAGATACTTCATTTTGCGCTCTGCGAGCTGAGGAGCTCACCCTGACAGCTTTGTATGGCATTCCGGATGCTGGAGAACAGCTGGTCTCGATGAACGGAATGTGTACGTGGATCCCTAAGTTGATATGATAGTCCCTCCCAGGTGGTATAGTCGAAGCCGCACTTGGTGCGCAGTTTGATGATGGTATCTTCGTCGTCGTGCTTAAGGGCGGTGAGCTTGCAGGCGGGTAACGGTGCTGGCAAACGACATGTCGATGGTCTGCTTGGCGCCGCACTTGGTGCTGATGACTATGATGGCTGCATGCTTGATTCAACTGCCGTCTACGGCACTACCTTGCTGTCAAGCTTTTGTTGGACGGTGCCCAAGCCCTCCGCCGAACCGTTCTTAGTAGGCGTCTTGATGAGAAATCGCAAAGGTAGATCTGCAGGTTGTGCGGGGCTTACTTTGGCTCACGTGAGTACTGCTCGAGGATCCAGCAAATTAGGTCTTGGGACTCTAAGTTTGCGGCAGGCTTCATCGGAGCGAAAAGGCGTGAGATTTGTGCCACGTGTAGAGTCACGTGGGGGGGTGGGGGGGGAGAAAACGGACCGGTTTTCTTGGTACTTAGAGAAGGAATGCAACTACGTACTTTTCGAATATACGGTCGAAGACCGTCCTCACTTTCTTACATGGCCGTTGATCTTCCTCCTTGTGTTTGTTTGTTGTTTTGCCCTGTTTCAGGAGGTGTCATAATTGATGTTCTCCGGATTGACAACCATTAATACTGTTGAAGCTCTCAAGCTCCCTGAGGCCGTTGCGACGCGAACTTCCCGATGTTTTCAATGCTTTGATTTATTCGCTTGGCACCCCATCGTCTCTTAGCTTCCAAGACGTTGTGTCACTCGATGAGCCAGATCTTCTTCCTCATCCAGCCCTCGCTTTGATACTTGTCTTTCCCACGACGGATAGCTACGAAAGGCGGAAAGCTATTGAAGACGCAAGACGTGATGAATACAAAAGCAGCGGGGAGGATGAAGATGTCATGTGGTTTAAGCAGACTATCAACAATGCCTGCGGGCTTTACGGTATTCTTCACGCACTCAGCAATGGCGCGGCCCGGGATATGCTCGGTAAGCCTCGTTTTCCAATCCTTATGGAACTTTCTAGGCTGATGAAGGTAGAACCGAACTCTCTCGTCACAAGGCTTCTCGAGACTTGTTCTTCCTTGCCACCTCAGGAACGTTCTTTGGTTCTAGAAAACTCTGCAGAACTTGAAAGTGTGTACGAAGAGGTAGCTACACAGGGCATATCGAGCATTCCAGATAACGCTGAAGACGAAGTTGATTTCCACTATGTGTGCTTCGTTAAGTCGCACAAGAGTGGCCGATTATACGAGCTGGATGGCGATCGAAAAGGTCCAATAGATAGAGGAGTGGTGGTTCAGCCTGAGGAGGATGTACTTGCTCCGGGTGGACTAAATGCCATACGAGAATACATTGAATGCGAGCCAGGAAACACAAACTTCAGCCTCATGGCATTAGTATGTAGTTAAAGCCACCTAAAAGAAAGTAGAGATTGCCATGACGCTCCCGTACGGGCCATGTTGCTCGTGACTAGCTAGAAGCTCGATGAATGCCGCATCTCCTCCGCTATCGGCAGCTAGCTGAGCAGCAGATTTGCCATCACTAGTGGCTGCGTTCCAATTCAAGTCCTGGCCGGCGTGCTCTATAAGAGTGCTAACGGCAGCATAGGAATTCCAGGATGCAGCTACATGTAACGGCGTCCAACCCTCATGATCAATGGCGTTGGCATCAGCCCCTGCCAAAAGCAGCACCTTGACAATGTCCAAGAATGCCGTATCCAGTTGTCCGGAGGCCGGCCCAGCTAGCGCGAGATGTAACATAGGTAATCCAGACCGCATCCGTTGGTTGACATTGGCGCCGAACCTGATCAGAGTTGCTGCTGCATCCGTCCAGCCGTGTTCGATAGCCCAAGAGAGTGCACTTCTGCCGAAAGAGTCTGTAGCATCAAGCAGGTCTAAAATTGTCCCCTCAGCAGCTGCATAGTTAAGATAGTCGTCCAGATTTCCACGGTCGTAATTGATCCCGAGTAATACCTCATGCAGTTCCGTAAAGCCTCGTGTGTCTCTGTACTCTCTCCAAAGATCGACAAAAGCCTTTCCGAATAATTGTCCGACCTCTCTAAGAGCAGAGTAGAAATGTTGACCACGCATTGCTGACTCTGCCAACAATGCGTCGATCATTGTCTCCATGGGAGTACTGCATGATAATCAGTACTGTACAAGGGGGACGTGCTGATGCAGACATACTTTCCTATCTCATCTACCCATTCATAATTGGCACCAGCCTCCAAAAGTGCTTTGCATGTCGCCATAGCAGTTACTGTACCACAGCTCCGCCAACAATAATATGCAGCATACTTGGCAGGTGAATAGTTAGTGCTGGTCTTAATGCATGGAATAACGTCTTACATAGAGCAAACCGAGACCATATGGATCCATTACATCGATAGAAGCTAGACCCAACCGCCAAAGCTCTCTCAATCCAGCGATGTCGCCGCTCTGCACACAGATAAATATAGGTGAATCGTACGGGATAATAACTGGAAGCCGATAAAAGATCTGCTCAGATGGCCAATGGAATTTCAGGTTCGTGGACGATAAGCCGGCTTGACGCATATTATCTCCTACGCAGCTCCCTTCACCAGCTGGCAATAAGCTAGCTGCCCTGAGCGGCTGAAGTAGATATCCCAGGATGCTGTCACCAACTCTATCTGCGTCAATCTGGGCTGCTTTCTCCACGATGTTGAATCGTTTCAACAGCGCAGCTGCTTGTTCGAGATATCCGCCCTTCAGTGGCAGCCGAGTCTCCCACCTGAGAGAGGTCAGACCTTGAGAAGTGTTGTGGCAGGTTTTCACTTACACAGAGTCGGGAATGGCAGGAGGGAGCAGAAATATGCACCCTTTTCCCAATATAGATGCCAAGCGCCTATACTTCTGGCCACCATACTCCTTGCTGTATGTTATCTCTTCGAGCATATCACGGTTGCGGTAGAATCCGTGGGTTTCGGCGTAGAACAGCATATAAATCCTCAACCTGACGCGATCAATAGGAAGTCCTGATTCCAATAGGGAGGCATTGCGACGTTGCCTAGCCAAGTATGCTACCAGCCCACCGTCCCTCCTCATATCAAGGGACTCAAAGAAGGTCGCCGGGTTTATACTCCAGCGTTGATAGTCTGGTACAAGGCTTTTATGAAGGGAGATATCAGCTTCCGTGAGCGTCAGAAACCTCTTCAGGTCGTTGCGTTTCAACAGGGGACACAGATTTAGGTCTGAGCTTTCCTGTGGTCGACCTTGTGCTGACTGCACCAAGAGTGACAGGTTCTGCCGCGACTTCTCCGATAGCAACCGCGAAGATAAAATGAGTTTCCTCACGAACTAACGTGATCAGTATCTGAAATAAACGGGTGAATTTAGGCTTACTTCGTCGTCTTGCAGAGCAGCATCCAAGTCGGACGTGTCGAGGCCCCCCACAAGGTGGGTGGATACGCAGCCCATGCTGACAGGTGTAATCGGCTGGGAGCCAAAGCGATACAACGAGGTGGTTATAAAAGCATCGATCACGAACTGTCGACGAGTCGTTGTGGAGGACCGCACCACGCTCCAAGTATTTCCTCTACACCCTAGCCTAAGAAGGCAATAGCTGAATAAGGTCTCTTCTAATAGCAGTAAGGCGAAAATAAGACTTGTGATAAGGTGTCTGTGGGGGATGTGTGAAAGCAGGTCTGGTGAATTACGTTATCTGCCAATGCATACTAATCAAATTGCACGAGTAGATTTGCAGGATTTCTGCACAAGACAGTCGTTATATCTGCTTACCCCACACACCCTCATGGCGCCCAACACCTACCTACTTTCTGGTGTGCACTCATCCTCACCACGCTTCCCAATGCGTCGGCGTTCCGAAGGTTATAAGGATGCCCAGGAGTCCCTACTGGGTAGCTGAGTAAAGTCCTCTGTAGCTCGACATCTACCTATTCTCACCTTCAACCCCTGTCTTCTCGTTAACAGCTTGAAAAAATTGATCCGGTTCATTATCACTAGTACTTACAAGCTGCAACGTCCTTACCACCCCTACCATGTGCAAGCTCGCCTCCTACACGAAAGTATACAACAACTGCAAACGCGAGGAGAAACACTATGTGACCATGGCTACGGTCATCGAAGAGTGCGACGATCCGCTCAAGGGCGAGTTTTGCCCAAGTGCCTATCTCGATAACAGTATTATCCTTGGCTCGGTTACTGCCCGAGACAATCCTTGCCCAATGTGCCCTGTACGGTGAAAGCTTTGATTTAGCTCTCTTTGACGGTTTTGCGCTCTCCTGTACCTCTTCGTTTCTAACCATCTATTCGATATCTAGGACTAGGTACACTACCTAACAGTACGATAATGGACGGGATACTGTGTGGTGGGTTGGTTAGGGGCGGCTAAGGTGGAGAGAAGGCTGGCTGGTAGAGAGAAGACTGGCTGGTAGAGAGGTTAGTTGAGACTTATGACAAGTGAAGGTTGGAGGAAAATGGAAGGGAGAATGTCTTTCGATTGGATTGTATCGGCATACCATTGAACGTTGGGAATTCTTTGAAGTTATGGTTAGGGTTTGCGTGGACAGAATACAAATATCCCATTTTGGCAAGAGTTAAGCTGTCTCCGTTGCGTGATAAGGCATCGTGTCAGGACTGCCATGCGCCCTTCGCCTATCCATGAGCCCTGGGTTGGCTTCCGGTCGGCTTGCTGTGAGGAGTGTCGCTGTGAGGCGCTGTCCCAAAAGCTCGCACGGACCACGCCTGTCCAGGAGCGAGCCTCCATTCTTCTACTGCCTACTACTCCTCCTCCGCTAGAGTTGGACGTTGCCTCCCCTCCGATACTTGGCAATCGTTCTTTAACAACTCAACCACCTCGTCTGCACAGTCATAGACCTCGTGCCAACAGTTCCAGACAGCCTGCGCGGCCGTGACTGGGATGCCATCCAGAGACGGGAACTCGCTGCGTTCGTATCGCTTGGTCACCTCACTATCGCGTAGGCCCTGGAACGGCCGCATCCAGGCCATAATCTCGTACATGCACGATCCGAGCGCGAAAAGCTCCCTTTTCATAATCGGCCGCTCGTGCATATCCCGTCCACGACACGGTAGCTTGTACTGAGCCTCCTCGGCCACCGTGACTGGGAACGATGACTCGCGGCCCCCGATGATGGACCCGCCAAAGTCGCCAATCTTGACGCGGTAGCCATCAAAGAGCATAAGGTTCCGGCAACTGATGTCTGAGTGCCACACGCGCCGTGAGTGGACGTAGGCGAGCCCATCAGCAACGTCGCGACACATCTGTAGCCGCGTCTGCTCGGGTAGCGGGTCGCTAGGAAGCTTCTTCTGGATAAGGTCGCGTACGGTGCCTAGCGGCGCTAGCTCAAGGCGTAGCGCGTGCACGCTTGGGCGGCGGATCTCGTCGAGGCCGAAGCAGCGCAAGATGCGATCGTGCTTGCCGAGGTGTTTGTAGATGGCATATTCACGCGTCAGGTCCTCCTCACAGCCTTCCGGGTAGTATGACCGCCGCCGTCCGTCTACCCAGATCTCGTAGCTCTTATGGACGGTGCCCTCATCGACGTACGACACAAAGCACGATCCCCCCATGCCTAGGATGGCGCCAAACCCGGGGCCCATATCAGGAAACATGAGAGAAACCATGTTTGTGAGCGAGAGGGAGTGTTTCGGGTAGGGTCGAGATTGGGGTAGCGATAGGAGGGAATGTCACGCTTATCAAGGTAGCCAATTTATTTTTGGGTGTGCGGATAGACTTCTGCGGAACATATGGCTCAACATTATGCGCACGCGTGTTTTTTGGGGTGGGGCTGAGGTTGGACGTTTTATTTTTATTTTTCCAGCACCAGCACAGGGCGGCCCCGACAGAGCACGTGGTATTAATTAATCAGCTGCGAAAATGCACAACACAACGGCTTCCGTTGGCAGAAACCAGTGGTGCGCCGGTAGCTTAGTTGGTAAAGCAACCTTGGACGCCAAGACCTGTGCGACTCGCGCCTCGCGCCTCGTTCCAAGCAAAGTCGGTCCCGCAACCCTAGCGCATGAAGTGGGAGCTTCCCAGAACGCCTACCAAAAGCCGTCCACGGTCTTGCATAGGCCGGCGAAGATGTCGACGCCGGTGGGGAAAGGGTAGGTGGAGAGACCTCAGTCAGCCGAGCTGACAATGCGGCAGTACCCTCGAGGTTGTGTATGAAGCCGAAGCTGTGCTGCTAGGTGACGGCTCCACAACGTCCGAGACGCCATCCATGTGTAAGACCAGCCCTTCTCCGTCCTGGCGCTGCGGTAGCTGCGGAACGTGTCGTATGTTCGGATGTATTGAGGGTCCTGTGGGATCGCTGCGCAGTGGCCGCCTGAGAACGGCGCCCTTGAGCCACGGTGCGCAAGCACGCGACGTACCAGATGCCCGCACAGCGTGACAGCGAAGTCCGCCGAATTGGTCCGTACGGGCCTCGCCGGCGCCGACGAAGCAGTCGCCCCAGACCTCGAAGTTCACATACTTCCCGCACTTTAAAATACTGACGAGTTGGCTAAGAAAGGCGCTAATTCGGGGAATGATTTTGATATGGGATACTAAGTAAGTCAGAATAGCTTCATATTTGGCCAGATTTGCCAGATCGACGGCTTCATCTGGGGGGTCTGTCAGTTTCGAGGTTAGGTGACCGGTTTCGGGACCCAGGACCCAGATGTCTTGGCTATGCTACTTGGGTGGAATTTCTTAGAGTCTGGGATAAGCCCACATTAGAAGAACACGCAGAACAGTCAACCACCTGGTCAATCCAACAGAAACAAAGCAAGCAAGCAAATACAATCCACAAAATCCCTCCCATCACGGCAAAGCACAGAGAGAAGCCAACTTGGCCCCCTCAACGCAATTCCTCTCGCGCGGCGGCAACAGCGCCATTGATCTCGTAGCCGGCGAATTTGCGGCTCGACACGCGCCTCTCGAACATGATGTCCAGCTCCTCAAACGTCCGGCCCTTGGTCTCGGGCAGGCAGAAGTAGCAGTAGACGGCGCAGAGGGCGCCCAGGCCGGCGAACAGGAATCCGATCTTGCCGCGCCAGTCGCCCTGGTCCTCGTTCATGGCGTAGGGGATGGCGACGGCGCAGACGATGGAGACGACGTGGCACGACACGGTGGCGAGGGCGATGGTCATGCCGCGCAGGCGCGCCGACGACACCTCGGCCAGCAGGACGAAGCAGTAAGGGCCGATGGTGACGTCGTAGACGAAGTTGCACACCAGCATCAGCGAGCACTGCGCCCAGGTGGCTGGCGTGGCGGCGCGCGGCGGGGCGAAGTCGAGGGTCGCGATCACGAAGCAGAGGGTCATCAGCGCGAGGCAGCCCCAGAGGTAGGCCGTGCGGCGGCCGACGTAGGAGAGGAGCCACCAGGAGAGGCAGGTGCCGGCGAAGCCGATGGCTGTCAGGCCGAGGTTCATGCTGAAGGCGTTGGAGGAGTCGAGGCCTGCTAGTTCGAAGAAGTAGACGGCGTAGTCGATGAAGAGAATGTTGCCTGTGAAGGCTTGCATGTCGTATGCCATGACCTGGTTGGGGGAGGTTAGCACCAAGCAAGCACACACTCACACTTCCCCGTATGGGAAAAAGAACAATTTTGTTCTGCTACAAGGAAAGACGGGATGGTACTACAATCTCAGGCACATACACAGATGATCAGACGGCGCAGGTTGGGCCCGCGGAAGCAATCGAACAGGTTCGGCGCGTCGTCGCCCTTGAACGAGTCCTCGAGGCGCAGCGTCTCCTTGACGTGTGCGAGCTTGAGGCTGGGGTCGACCGAGGCGGTGGCGAGGCGGCGGATGGACCTCTCGGCGTCGGCGTACCTCTTCTTCTTGCAGAGCCAGAAGGGCGGGTCCGGGCAGAAGAAGATGAAGATCAGCATGACGGCGGGGAGGGCCCACTGGGTTGCTATGGGGATCTTGTAGGCTAGCTTGTTGGGCATTTCGTTGGTGCCCTTGAGGATGCCCGATGCGACGAACTGCCCGACCACGAAGGCGAGGTTGGTCATGGAGGCGGCGAAGCCGCGCAGCGCGAGGGGGCAGACCTCGCCTACGTAGGCGGACGCGCAAATGGGGTAGAAGGCGATGATGCAGCCGTTCAGCAGCTGGCCGGCGAACAGCTGCGCCGGCGTGGAGCTGAAGAACTGCACAAAGATGAAGGCGACCGAGCCAGTCGAGCAGATGGCCATCATGGGGCGCGGGCCCAGGCGGTCGTAGGCGAAGCCGGCAGTGAACGCGCCGACGATGGCGCCGAGCTTGTTGGCATAGTTGAAGGCGCTCAGCCAGTGCGCCGCGACGATGTAGCTGCCGTTGTACAGATAGCCGTACTGCTCCTTGAAGGGCTCGATGCCAATGAGAGAGCCCACGATACCGCCATCCATGCCCTTCAGTACGGTGGCGAGGTTGATAAAGAGGGCCCAGCAGACGGCTGGGTAGTGGATCTTGATGGCCGCCCAGAAGGTCAAGGAGTGCTCGACCTCAGTATACTGAAGGGACTTGGTAGCTTCCTCCTGAAGGGAGTCGGCATCCACGGACTCGTGGGTTGACTTCACGTCGGCCGATGCAGCATCGGATGTGGCCATGGTGACAAGAGTTGGGCCAGAACGAGAGTGAGCGACGGGGTCTGAGATGACTCGTCCATGTCCGTTATATAGTTGAATCGGGGGGGTCCCATATCACCGGTTCCAAGCAGTTATCGCTTATCAGACACTTGGTGTGGGTACCGCCAGCTAAGCGGTATTCAACAGCTCGGGACTGGCTGAGCGTCCACTAGGGTCCAATATCGGCCGGGGTGGGTGGAGAGAGCTGTTGCAAGGAGTCAAGGATCGTGCTGAAGTGGGGAAACCGGGGAAGCAAGAACGACGCTGGGTGGCCTTGATATGCCGGCGGTGATCAGGTGGGTAATCTTTGCAGGCGAAAGATAACCGGGTTGATATAACAGCTCCTCGAAGAACCTCAAAGGGAGTAGTCAGGGTGGAAGGTGGATAATCTGTCACGCGATGACCGGGTTCCTGCGAGAAAGGCACGAGAGACCATCGGCATTAGCGCGCACTAGGCGCATCCCCGTAGTGCCCAAGGTAAACCCCATCCGGAAAGCTTAACAGTTGAGGCTCCGCAATTCGTCCCATTGCTCCGCAACCTTGGCTCCCTCGGCCGATCTCTTGCCCAGGAGGGTAAAGCTGCAGGCCCCAAGAGTCTGTTTAAACTGAGGGGGAGAGAGACCCCGGTCTCTTTACTGCCGAACGGTGACTCCGCGAGTATGGTATTCACAAGAGCTGCACGAGTTGCCGAAAGCGGTTCGATCTGGTAGCATATATTCCAGTATTTGTCCGTTGCATCCTCAGAGATCCTAGGCCATCCCCGAGGTTTCTCAACAATGCCAATAATCCATTTCCCTACACCCCTGATAGCTGCCTCCCCATCGACCAGAGTGAATCGCCATGGCCGCCACGCCCCAAGTCACGCTCATCGAGCTCACGCCGGAAGAGCTTGAGACGAAGAAGATGGGCTCCCACACCCTGCAAGCCGCAGTCGAAGCGCTCCACCGTGACGGGATCGTCGTGCTCACGAACGCCGTTGATGTGGCGCACCTCGACAAGCTCAACGCGCGCATGGTGCCCGAGGCGCGGGAGCTGTACGCGCGGCCGGGCACACACCGCAACTTCGGCGCCAGCACGGGCAACATCCAGCAGGAGCCCGTGCTCGAGGACGGCTACGTGTTCGAGGACGTGCTGGCAAACCCGTGGGCCGCCGACGCCATCCAGTGCATGCTGGGTCCCCGGCCGGCGCTGCGCTTCTACAGCGCCAACACGGCCTTCCGGGCCGAGGGCCGTCAGCCGCCGCACATCGACATCGACTTCGACTTCCCGCGCGTGCCCTTTGGCTACTGCGTCAATGTCAACCTCGTCGACACGTCGGCCGAGAACGGCGCCACCGAGGTCTGGCTGGGCACCCACGCCGACACCGACAGGGGCGTGCTCGACCGGGGCGTGAGCCACAAGCAGATCCGCGCCGACCTGCTCGAGGCCCGGCGCGCCGTGAGCCCGCCCGTGCAGCCGAGCCTGCCCAAGGGGTCGCTCATCATCCGCGACTTCAGGCTGTGGCACGCCGGCATGCCGAACCGCACCGACGAGCCGCGCGTCATGCTGGTGTCGGTGCAGTTCCCAAGCTGGTACCGGAGCGATCTGAAGATGAGGCTGCCGGTGAGCATCAGGGACAAGGTGCGGTGGGGTGATGTCGAGCCGTGCGTCGAGTGGGTGGAGGACGGGTTTGACTATCTCAAGGGAGCTCATGATCATGACTTCTCGCTGAAACCGTAGGGTGGGCAAGCAAGCAAGCAAGCAGGCAAACAAACAAGCAAGGGTAGTCAGTCGTAGAGTCGAATCTCAAATCTTAGAATCACTCATCGTTGATCGTTCTCCGTTCTGAAATGCAATCTGATCTCAGGCAAGATCCGCCTCTCTCTGGCGGTTCTCCAAGATGAATCTCACGCAGTCCACGTCATCCATGCCCGTCAGGCTGCGCTGGGCATCCTTGGTGAGCCAGACCTCCTCCATGTCGTCCTTCATCCTCCGCAGCGACGGCAGGTGGCGGACGCTGAACATGGCGTCGAGCCTGTCGCGCACGAACCCCCTCGCCCGGCCGTCGACCGACTCGCAGCCGGCCGTCCACAGGGGCCAGGCGTGAGCTGACGCGAGCGGCGACGTGATGGGCACGTGCGACAGGTGGTAGAGGCAGCGCTCGGCGTGTCCGGCCGTCGAGGGGTGGGGCGCCCCCGAGGAGAGCCAGACCCGGTACAGGTAGATGAAGGCGGCGTGTCTGTAGGCCCGCGTCGTGTGGCCGATGTCGTCGAGCCCGGCGCCATCGCCGGCGGTGCCCATTATGCTCGCCTCCAGTGCCTCCTCGACCGCGTGGGCCTGGGATCTGTCGAGCTCCGGCGCCTGGCCCTGCATCCTGCTGATCGTGCCCACGAGGCCGAGTACGGATGCCAGTTCCTGCATGCAGGGCAGTCCTTCGCTGGGGACTGAACCGCCGAGGTCGAGCAGCGGGGTCGTGCCCCTGGAAACCGAGGAGAGTACGTCGTGATAGAAGGATACGCCGAGGAGAAATTGGGCGCTCGAGCCCGCCCAGCCAGCCAGGCCTCCTCCCTGCGTGATGACCGCCTTGGCGCCGGAGAGGTGGTTCACCTTGTTGTCGGCGGTGAAGAGTCGGTCGGAGACCTGCAGCATAAGGATGGCGGCCAGGGAGAGTTCCGGGTCATGGGTTTGGATTGTTTGGCGGAGTGACGAGACGGCGCGTAGCCGGTGCCGGGATGCAGTTGTCTCCATCGACCCGTCGGCGTGCAGGACGGCCAGATGGCTGGCGGCCATGGCCGAGATGGCGAACCGGAGGGCGGCTGATCGGAAGAGCATTGGAGTGAGATGGACCAAGAATGGGTTCTGGTTACTCGTGGGAGCCATGGAAACCACTGCGGCCAGAGTTACGGTCCAGTGGTGCAGCAGCCGTCGAGTTTCGGGATCGATATCCGGGGGAATGTAGGATGGGTTGACCGCAAGCACGGCTTCTGTGTCCTGTTGATGATGCGGGGTTGCTGAACCGAGGGATATGTCGTCGTTTCCGGCCGCAGGAGGTGTGTTGTTGAGGCTCCGTCTCCTCGCCGGTGTCGCTGTCTTCGTCTTTGATGTTGACGGCGGCGGGGACATGGACGAGGATGAGGACGACGACGAGGACGGTGTCTTACATGCTTGCCATTTGAGCACGAGGCCGTATCCTTTGCAAACCTTCTCGAGACGGACACACCGGCCGCAATATGGCCGCTGCTCATCGCATTTGTATCCCTCCTCTCGACAGGTAAGACAGCCCGTTCGAGTTCTAGAGCGCCTCATGATAGTTGTGTCTCTTTCCTGCCGTCCCAAGTCCTAGTGTAAACCAAAATATGCCAAATATGCCAATCCTTACTGGTCAAAAGGGCAGGCGAAGAAAGTTGGAGTTGCAGGTCGGCAGTGTTCCGAATTGCGGGGGTTCGCTTCGAATCCAGGCCGGCCCACTGACGGCACCATGCTCAGAAAAGTAAGCGCTGGATGGATACCATGCTTCCCAAAAGAAGACAAAAGATAACAGAAAAAGAAGACAAGAGATAACAGAAAAAAAAGACAGAAAAAAAAGACAGAAAAAAAAGACAGAAGGAGAGTATGTACTGTGCAATTAACCTCGCGTTGTAGAAATATGGCAACTGTTTAAAACTTGCAGGGCAACGGCAACGGAAGGAAATTTGGAATGCTAGGACAATAGAGAGTACATAACCAAGGAGTTCCGGAAATAGTTAACCGTGGCGTCATCCTCTTGGTTGAGTATAAAGACCTTTCTGTCCCAGAGGAACCACACCACAGCCACCACTCGATGAACATATTGTGAGATATATTCAACCAATGTCAGGCTTGAAGCCTTATTGTCATTGTTTCCTAGCCTTTCTTACTCACCTGTTCCACCTACCTATGCTGTCTCTGTTTTTCTCTTCAGGGCAACAATCGATCAATAACTCGACTTCCGTATGGACCTCCTAGTCTAGCTGCAGGCTAATTATGCTATTTGTTTTTCTTTTTTCATAGCTTTATCCATGCTTTCAAAGCAGTCCAAAGCGTCCCAGTATAATATACCTACGCAGTAATAAGAATAACTCGGTAAAGATGCCATACCCTGCATCTTATCCCAATAAGTCTTTCAGCAAGTAGAAACACAATAAAACCTTGGATATGCATTTCCCAAACCACAATCCAACCTTATTTCGAACCAACTTCCAGGTTTCTTCATTGCACATGGCAAAAACCTTGTCTCTTTCCCATAAAGTCTCTCCCCCCCTTGTGGCCCTTGCCCTTCCATCCTTCCACCTTGCCAGCATATTATCTAAACTGCCACTCCACATGCATCACTACATGATCTCCCCTTCCGTCCCCGCTCACACACTCAGGCCGTTGGCGCAGCCGTCTCGGAGGCAGTGAAAGAAGGCATCGACGACGACACCTCAGGCCTCGGCAACGGATCCGCCCTCGCAGCATAGATGTGCGTAGCCGCCTCGCCACCGCAGTTCACGTTTGCCCGTCCCGTGCACGCCACATTGCAGTTCGCATCGGTATCCAGGGCCGTCGCCGCCGCCGCCGCCAGGCCCGTCCCGCAGCGGCAGGTGTTGCCGTTGGCCACGCCAAAGTACGGATACGTCGGCAGACACAGGGACGCGCAGTTGCCGACCGTGTTGTTGGTCGCCCACGTGGCGCTGGGCCCGGAGCCCGTGATGAGCGCCGAGTTGGCGAAGCATCCGACGTCGGTGAACTGGAAGGTGAGGAGGAGGGTTGCATCGCCGTCGTCGTCCGACGAGAGGCCGTACAGAGAGAGGGCGTTGTCCTGGTTGGTGGCGCAGGTCGAGGTGGAAAGCTGGACCGAGTTGATCGACACTTGGTCGCCGCATAGACACGTGTCGGAGCCGCTGAAGCCGGCAAGGGTGAATCCGTCGGTGAAGCAGGCCTTGGCGCAGGTGTCGAGGGTCATGGTGCCGTCGGTCCAGATGGAGCCCAGAAGGACTTGTGACGAGTTGTCGAGGTTGGACCAGCACCCAAAGGGCTTGGTGGTGTAAGTGCGATTGCTGGAGCCTGCATAGGGGTTGAAGACGGGAGACATGCAGTAGGCGTAACCGGGGATGATGGAGGCAGAGCAGCCGCCCGAGGTTTTGGCGTCGATGGAGGGGTTCATCTTGGCGAACAGCGAGAGGCCGATGGAGTAGGTCATGGTGATGTAGGCGCACGTGTCGTCTTGCTGCGCGACGTACCAGCGGCCGCATTCCATGACAGTCCTGGGTGCGACCGTGGCACCGGTGGGGGGGTCCACGGCGACGGAGCTGTAGTTGGCCATGCCGCCGCCGGGAATGCCCGAGGTGTTGGTGGCCGTGCCGGGGATGTAGGTGCCGCCGAGCGGGGAGGCGCAGAGGACGGAACCCAACGTGGCGTTGGCCTCGTGGAGGTTGTCGCAGCCGTCGTCGATCCACGAGTTGTACACCGCGATGTCGTCGATGCCGGCGCTGGCCGAGGCGGTGAAGCAGTTGTCGGTGGACTTGACAAGATACGTCATGCAGGTAAGCGGCAGGCAGATAGTCAGACCGGCGGGGAGGTCACTGCACCCGCGGGCGGATCCAGCAGCCGTGGCGGCGTAGAAGACATTGGCCGACGAGACGTCGTTTGCCAGGGCGATGGAGTTGCAAGTGTCCCCGGCCTGGGCGGTGTAGTAGTTGCCCGACACGCAAAAGGGCTCGGGTGTGGGGACCACAATCAGGGGCGGCGGCACTTCGGTCGGCATCGGCACCTGTAGCGAGCATCGCGCCTGGATCGCCTCGAGGGCCATCTGGTACCAGGGGACCGTATTGTAGACTGAGTAGGTGCTCTTCTGCATCATGCGGACGCGGGCAGTGAAGCATCCGGAGCAGAGCTCGCTGTTTGGCATGCCGTCGAGCGTCTCGGTCTCGCTGAACTCGTCAATGACATCGTTGCAGTACCGGCCGGTGCTGGTGTCGGTCAGGCAGCTCTCGTTGTACCCGTACCAAACGTACCCGCCGGCCATCTCCAGGGGGGCACCCGAGTTCCACGTGTAGTCGGCGCAGCTGGTGGAGACACCCTGGTACCACGACGCCAGCGAGCTGCGGCAGCCCACGTCACACACCTCGTCCTGCAGGGTTGCATTGCCCAGCGAGCCGCGGTAGGCCGGCGAGGTCCACTGCATCGTCTGGTCGACGCAGGCGAGGGTGGCCGTCAGCGCCGTCTTGCACTGTTCCGAAAAGCCGTAACTGGCCAGGTCGTCCCGTGTATAGAGCGTGTATCCGGTAATGTTCCTGCCGCCCACCGTCTGGTTGGCACCCCCAAGCCATGTCACGATGGACGAGGCAAAGCCGTTGCGGTTGTTAATGGCGATAACGGGCTGCCCATTGAGAGGCGTGATCATTTGGATAGCGCCGATGGTGATGAGATTGTAGATCCAGACATCGTAGCTCTGCTCGACATAAAAGGTGCTCAGCTGGCAATCGTTGGCCCCGCTGTTGACACAGTCCTGCGAGTAGTCCTGGAACCACGTGTACAGGCCGCCGCTAATGACATAGACGTTTGTGGAATCTACCATGCGTAGCGACCAGGCCATGGCGCACGTCTTGGAGTTTGCAGGGCAGTCGGCAAAGGTCGGGTCGTCTTTGAACACAAGCCCCTTTTCAAAGGGAGCCGGTGCCTTGGGCGACGGCTGGAAGTAGGGCGCCTCGGTCTGGATCAAACCCATTACGACGTTCTTGGCCCCGGACAGCTGGTACTGGTAGAGGACGGCATGCTCGGCCGCGGTGCCCCAGAGCCACGTCGGGCCCTGGGACTCGATGAGGATGCCGCGAGCCGCATACACATTGATCTGGATCTGATCGGCATCCTCCATGTCATGGTCAGCCACCCACATCCACACGTTCTCGAGGTAACCAGACGATTTCTCCGTCATGTGCATCATCATGGACGCGGCAATGCAACCCTTGTTCTGCACCGTCTTGGGACACTCGGCCTTTTGCAGGTCGCTGCCCTTGGCACCACCCACGCGGATGTGCGAGTCCCAGAGACCGGCAGACCCCTGGGTGGACTCGTGGACGTTCCACTCGACAAGCACGGCGCCGGCGGTGGGACCCCGGACGGTGAACATGACGCACTGGATCTCCATGACGCCGACGGACCCGACGGCGCCGACGCGCACGGCGGCCCGCGGGTTCGCCATGTCCTGGAACTGGGCGCCGGTGGCCATGATCTGCGGCCAGGCCTGGCCGATGATGCGCGAGCCCACGGGCACCTCTAGCGTGTCCTTGATGATGTAGATGCCGTGCGGGAAGTAGACGATGCCCGACACGTTGGCGGCCACGTCGAGGATGCGGTTGAGGATGGCCGTATCGTCGGTGGTGCCGTCGCCCTTGGCGCCGAGCGCCTTGACGTCGAAGATCTGGCTGTTGCCCGGGTCCGCATAGCTGGGCCGCGTGCGGTGGAAGAACTTGGCGCGCGGGTGGATGTCGTCCGAGACGAGGAGCGACGCCGGGTAGTCGGGGGCCGGCATGTCGGCGCCATTCATGAAGCCCGTCTCGCCGCTCGGGTCAGCCACTTTGCCGAATCCCCACGACATGACGTTGGTCAGGCCCGCGGCATTGCCGGGGTAGAGCACGGTGTTGGTCTGGCTGTCGAGGACGATGGTGGCGCAGTTCTCGAAACCACCATTGCTGATGTGCAGCGCCGTCGAGTTATCAGCGAAGAGGGACGTCTCGACGACGACGGGCACACCCCACATGTGGACGTCGACCAGGGACAGGGACCCCACGCCCTGGCCGGTGCTGAAGGGTCCGCCGGCGCCGCCCACAATGACAATGCCTTTGCGGCAGTTGTAGAATTCCGTGTCCTGCATGGTCCACCCCCAGTCCCAGTGGATCTGCAGCCCCGTGCGGCAGCTGTCGAAGAGCAGGCCGCTGGTGGTGAACTGCTGGTTGCCAAAATAGGCGCCAAAGTTGCCGCCCACAAAGACGAGGTCGCTCATGAAGCCGCCGCTGCCGTTCTCCATGTAGATGCCCTGGTGCGTCGTGTCCTCGTACTCGGCCGGCGTGGTCGAGATGAAGGCAATGTTCTCGAGCGACGTGCCCTGGGCCACCTGCCAGTGGATGGCGCACACGTACGCCCACTGCGGCGTCGGGCGGATGTCCATGACAAAGTTGCGCACGCTGCGGAGGAAGTTGTTCTGGTTGAGGTACCACGTCACGTCGTCGTCCACATAGACGTCCGACGTGATGACACCCAGACCCGAGAAGCTCTCGGCCGCCAGGATGACGGGCGGGTTGAACGGGTCGCCGAGCATCTCGGTGTTGTACAACTGGATGATGGGGCTACTGACGAGGTAGGTGCCGGCAGGGAAGTAGACGGTGGCTGGGAACTGCGTGCTGGCCGGGCAGCCCGCACCGCACCGCCCGCCTTCCGAGATGGCCAGGTTGATGGCGGCCGTGTCGTCGTGGATGCCGTCGCCGTACGCCCCATAGTCCTTGACGTTGCGCCACACCTTATAACCCGCCGGCGCATACGGTGCACTGCCTCGCTGCGTCATGGTCTCCATCCAAAACGTCGTGGCCGCTCGTTTGGCGAGTTTGGCGCTCGGATCCGCCTCCTCGTCCGTGTCGTCGAGATAATCATCCACTGGATGCTCGGGGCCTGCCACCTGGGTGCCGTTTTGGACCGTGATGGCCAGCTCCGCCGGGGGCACGTACTCGACGAGACCCGAGGGACGCTGCATCTTTTGCGGCATCATGTTGGTGTCATTCAAGTGCACTTTGCGCTTCGCCATCCGCGCCCGGACATCAGCGAGGAGGACATCGTAATCAGCAGGGGGGAGCGGGTTCGCTTCGGCCAAGATGCGTGCTGCTTCGGCCACCTCGGGCGGGACCGTGTAGGACTCCCTGGTGAAGGTAGTACTGTTACTGTTACTGCCCGAGACCGTGGTTCCGTTGGTGCCTCTCCGGAAGACGGTCCCGTTGGCGTGCTGGTGGAAGTCTCCCGAGTAGTCCAACGGCTGCGCCTTTGTTCTCTTGCGCCGACGCGTCGTCGAGTTCTGAACCTGGGGAACATTCTCCTTGGGGGCCTCGAGAATAGCTTGGTTGGCAACAGCCATGGCTTGCTGGAATCGGGCAATGATGTCCTCGGCCGATCCCGGGACTGCAGCCGCGGTGCCGTTGCTGGCGAGCGAAGACGCATTGCGCCTCACATGATGTTCATGAAGGACTTGGTGGATCTTGTCATGAGTGCGGTGGTTGTGCGAGTGAGCCACCAGCGGCTGGGCGGCATACAGAAAGCTGACGAGAAAGAAAAGTAAAAGTTGCTGAAGAGCGAGCGCCATGTTGGCGAGGGATGTCCCAAATGTGTGAGTGGACGTCCCGAAAAAAAACAAAACGAGTGGACGCAGTTGTTGCTGCGGAAGATTGAGTAGGACAAGTCCTCGACTCGTACGGGGAGATGGGGGAAGGCAAAGATACTAGTAATGATGAGTCCCTTCACGATGCCGAACTCCTGTTCTCGGGAGAGAAAGCCGCGAGAATTGTTCAGGGATCGTTCATTCGGACCGCCGGGATCCACCAGCCTCTCTCCTCGGGCCGCAGTCTGCCTTAGCTAGCTGCCGTAACGGTACTAAATTCCCATGAAAAAAAATTGCGAGATTGCGGTTCCTGGGAGGTAAATCCTATCCATGGGTGTTTGAGATGGGTTTTCACTACTGTGGTAGTACTCCGCGCTACCACTGCAGTCAGCCTACCTAGTCAGCGGGTCCAAGTGGATTAAACGGTTGAGACCGTTGTATTCTCATGTAACGAGCCGGACCGGACGGCCCGCACCTTGGTAGCTTTCCCATGTGCTCATCTCCCGGCCGGATCTAAGTCGGATATGTAACCGGGGGTGGGGGGGTGTTCGGGGGGGTTCAAGATGTCTCCTCCCCCTTTTCCTCGACTCGAGTTTACTGTGTCGAGAAAATATCATAATCACCCAACACCCGCATGCGGCCGCAGAAACTAGGTCGAGAGGCACAACCCCCTTCCCTACCTTTAGTCACTCTTTTCATCCTTGGTCCGCCAGCACCAGAAGCTCGGCACACGACGCAGTGACGATGCGTTCCACCACACTCCTTTTCTCTCTCCTTTCCTTCCTCTTAGCCGTCCTGCCCGTGGAGGCTCAGGAATGTAGCGCCACTAAAAAGTGCGCAACGGGCTGCTGCTCCGAATTTGGCTTCTGCGGCACCAGCGAGGAGCACTGCGGCGCCGGCTGCCTGAGCACCTGCGAATTCAAGCTGGGATGCGATGTCAACAACCCGTGTCCCGACGGGACATGCTGCTCCAAGTTTGGCTTCTGCGGGTTCGGCAAGGATTTTTGCTCGCGCGAGAACTGCGCGACCGGCTGCGATGCCAAGTCGCAGTGTGATCCGGGCACGTTTGGGTCTGACTTTGTGGAGCTCAAGAAGTGCCCCCTGAATGTGTGCTGTTCCAAGTGGGGGTACTGCGGTGCCACGGCCGAGTTCTGCGGTGACAAGAAGGTCAACAGGCCGTCGTGCGCCGTCGACAGCACCAAGTCGGTCAAGCGCGTGGTCGGCTACTACGAGGGCTGGGCAGCCCGCCGCAGCTGCCAGGCCTTCATGCCCGAAGACGTGCCCCTGGGTGTATACACGCACCTCAACTTTGCATTTGCCAGCATCGACCCCAAGTCGTACAAGATTGTGCCGGCCCAGGCCGAGGACATTGCACTCTACTCGCGCCTGACGGCCCTCAAGAAGTCTGACTCAGCGCTCAAGGTCTTCATCGCCATCGGCGGGTGGACATTTAACGACGACGGCCCAACTTTCCACACCTTTTCGGAGCTGGCAGCCGATGAGTCCAAGCAGAAAGTATTTTTCGCGTCGCTTATCAGCTTCATGAGCACATATAACTTTGACGGTGTTGACATCGACTGGGAGTACCCCGTGGACAAGGACCGTGGCGGCAACGCGGCTGACTATGACAACTTCCCCAAGTTCATGAAAAACCTCAAGGCAGCACTCGACGCCGGCAGTGGCGGACGTAACGGTATCTCCATCACGCTCCCTGTATCCTTCTGGTACCTACAGAACTTTGATATTGTCGAGCTTGAGAAGTGGGTTGACTTCTTCAATATCATGTCATACGACTTGCATGGCCTATGGGACAAGGGTAATAAGTGGCTAGGCGCCTTTCTCAACTCGCATAGCAACATGACTGAGATCACCGAGTATCTGGACCTCTTCTGGCGCAACGACATCAAGCCGGAAAAGGTCACGCTAGGACTGGCCTTTTACTCGCGCACCTTTTTGGCAGCCGACAAGGGATGCACCAAGGCAAAGTGCATGTTCGACGCCGTGGGCGAGGCCGGGCCGTGCAGCAAGGACGACATTGGCGGCACGCTGACCAACGCCGAGCTGACGGACCAGATCCGCGCGGCGGGCGTGACGCCGACCCTTGACAAGGACGCCATGGTCAAGGTGGCCGTCATCGGGCGCAAGTGGATCTCGTACGACGACGAGGACACGTTCAAGCTCAAGGTGGACGCGGCGCGCAAGATGTGCCTCGGCGGCGTCATGGTGTGGGCCGTCAGCCAGGACTACACGGACAAGACGGCCAAGGTGGCCGCCGCCGTCGGGAAGAAGCGCGCCGCCTCGGGACTCTTCGACACGCGGTACTCGGCGCAGCTGCAGTCGGCCACACGGTACAAGTCGATGAAGGCCGTGACCGTCAAGCGCGACACGGGCGACATCGACCAGCCATCACCCAGCATCGTCCGTAACCAGTGCTACTGGTCCAACTGCGGCGCCGGATGCGGCAAGGGCTACAAGGCGGTGCCCCGGCTCGACAACGACGGCCGCGACGACGAGGTCATGCAGGACAGCCGCTACTGCCAGGGCGGAACGCTGCGCCACTTCTGCTGTCCCAACTCCAAGACCATCCCCAAGTGCGGCTGGTTTGACTTCTTCAACGGCAAGTGCGGCAAGCGCGGCGGGTGTCCGGCCGGCAGCGAGGAGATCGTGGCCCCGGCGGACCAGCAGCGAGAGGTCGGCTCGACCCAGGTCGCCTGCAACAACGGCAAGGCCCAGGTGGCCTGTTGCCAGACCGAGACCGAGTCTGGCAAGGCGCTCGACTCCTTGATAGGCTACGACATATGCAAGTGGTACGGCACCACGACCGACAAGTGTGATGCCATCGGGGCCATCGACAACGACCCCGACATCGCACGCTCTGAGGCGTGCAGCCTCAAGGATAGCGACCGCCCCAACTACATGATCGAGAGCCTCTGGGGCAGCGGAGCCACGTATTGCCGCAATCCCAACTTTTACAAGGACAACGACCAGTTTCGCCCGCTGTGCTGCAAGCGCCCCGAGGTCGACGTGCAGTGGAACAGCTGCACCATGGTGTTTGCCGAGCGCAAGGACGGCAACTTTTGCCAGGCGCACTGCCCGGCCGGCACCATCCGCATGGCCATGGAGCAGCCGGCGGTGTACGAGAGCTGCAAGGGCGGTGCCAACGCCATCTGCTGCGAGCCGCGCTTCCTCACCGAGGCCAACAACGCCGACGAGGTCCATCACGGCTACGTCCTCGCCCTCGAGAATGTGCTCCAGAACCCGGACATGTGTGAGTGGGGCGACATCGACAAGGACACCCTCCAGAAGCGTGGTTTCATCGACTATGCGGCCGACTGCAGGATCGCCTTGCAGGGCACCATGAACATGCTGGGGTCCCCGGACATTGGCGTCCAGCAGAGATACGTCAATGATTGGAATCTCGCCGTCAACCAGGCCGGCATGTACGGCATCCCGGCCTCGGCCATACAATCGCAGCCCGAGGGCTACGCCTTTAGCACCGCCCCCTCGGCCCCCATCCAGACCGACGTTGCCGAGGGCATCCTCAACTCGGCCAAGGATCTCAACGAGCAAAAGCAGAAGCCCGCGAAGCACAAGTGGACCTGCCCCGTCGAATGGATCTGGGATGCCAGTCTCGATATCCGAGTGGATCCGGACGATGGCGGTTGGGAGGTGATCGAGCCGGATCTCCAAGGTGTACATACCCAGCTTCGCCGTCGCGATGATCTTGGTCCCGAAGTCCCGATCTCGGCTGTCCAGGAGGAGGAGGATGGTGATTATGAAGCTCCGTCCGACAGTCCCTCCGACTCCGACTCCCACTCCCACTCCCACTCCCACTCACACTCCCACTCCCACTCCGACTCGACCAGCTATCCCAGACGTGTGAACTGGCTCGAGGGGATCGCCAATCTGCGCCGCTTTCATCTCAAAAACAAGGACAAGGACAACACGGCCGACACACCCAACAAGCCCAAGCTCCGTCGTCGTGATGCCGACAGCTGTGAGCAGAGCTTCCGGTGCCGTGCCGGGATGCTGGGCTTCGATCTCTCCAAGAGGGAGGATAGACTGGCTTATTTCAATGTCACCCTCGCCGAGGCCCAAGGAAGGCCCAAGCGCTACGCCGAGGCGCTCGAGCGTCGGAACCGGTCGAAGAACAGGACGCTGGAGGAGCGCGACTCGTACCAGATGGGCCAGCCGAGATCGTACACGGTCAAGTCGTGGCGGTACTCGGCCAGCCAGTGGCCCGGCGACATCATCGAGTCGTCGCAGTATCCCAACGGCAACCAGGGCGACGACCTCATCTATCTCAACAACGACCCGTCCCGCTACGTCGTCAAGTCAACCGGCTGCGGGCCGCAGGACTACACGCTCAAGACGCGGGCGGCCAAGAACGAGGTCAATGGCATCTGGGTCACGGAGCACATCCTCGAGCTGAATACCGTTGGCCGCTTCATGACGGCCTCGCTCGACGGCGGTCTCGGCGGTCTCGGCGCGCCCAGCCACCTGCCCGGCTTCTACTTTGGCGAGGCCGCCACCCTCCACCAGGTCCAGATGTTCGCCTACAACTTTGTCGAGTGGAACAAGCACACGGCCCTCACGCCCGCCGACACGTGCCTGCTCAAGCTGGGCTCCATGGAGGACCGTTCCGGCCTGGTCGTGTGCGACTCGAGTCTCAACCTGATGAAGACAAAGATCTACAAGCTCCAGAACCCCGTCGGCGACACCACGTGGCACGCCTGGTGCATCTCGCCCCTCCCCGCGAGCCTGGAGCGGGGTCTAGCCTACATCCAGACCATCATGGCCGTCTTCGACTACTACGACGACCGCAACGTCAAGAACCGGCACGCGACGGCCTACCAGTCCGTCATGGAGGAGATGGCCTACTTTGAGATCGCGTACGAGCACCAGTTCGGTCTCGACATCTACGGCGAGTGGCAGCAGCGGTGGAAGGAGTTCATGGAGGCGCACTTTCTGCGCGTCGTCACCCACACGCGCGTCTGGCTCCTGGGCCAGCTCAATGACCTCTACACCATCTGGCACACCCTGCTGCAGGGGTGCGCTGCGGGTGGGTGGGAAATGTGCGCGTACTGCATGGCTGCCGTGTGGCTCATCAACGATCATTTCCAGGCCGTCTCCCAGGGCCAAAAGATTGCCTTTGACAGTAGTATCTTTGACGATCTGTATCTTTGAGGGTCTGCTTGTGGACATTCCGGGGGGGGGGGTCCATGGCATGACAGTGATGATGAGATGGACACGTCTTGTAAGAAACAGACCTTGCAGATTCCGTGTACGTTACATACATACCTAAGTAGGTACATAAGTTAGTTACCTTAGCTACTAGACAGTATCAGAATAATTCCTTGCCTACCTATCCAAGTTCCCCATCGCTCGCGCGTCTTTCCAACCATGTAATTAATCTACAAGTTCCTCCCCTGCCGATACGCAGCCCGCGCAGCAGCATTAGCCGCGTTGGCCCTCGCCTCATACGCCTCCCTCTGCCCCTCGGTCAAGGCATCCCACCCTCTCAACACCTCCTGAAACTCCATCCCCGCCCCCAGCTCATCGCGAAACACCTTGAGCCCCGTGATAATAGTCGGCATGCCCGGCACCCCGGGGAACCTCTCTCCCCCGCTCTCAAGCCCTGCCAAATTCCCCGGGCGCGGCTGCCGCTGCTCTCTCCCGGGAAGGGCAAAAGGTGATGTCCCCTCGGCCACAGCTGTCTCATGCTCGGCCCAGGCCTCGCGACGGAGCGTCTCGGACCGGGCGCGGTAGGCTTCCTTCTGGTCTTCGGGCAGGGCAGACCACGCCGGCAGGACGTCGAAGCCCGAGAGGTGGTGGTGCGTGTCGTCGTCGCGGAAGAGGGCGATAGGGTCGCGCGGTGTGGCGGCGGGTGGCCAGGGGCCGGATCCGAAGAGGTCGGTGCGCGAGGGAGGAGGGGGAGGTGCCGCCGCGGGCGGCCACCACACCACGGGTGGTGATGGTAATGCTGATGATGATGGGAAGGCGGTGGGAGCAATCAGAGTGGGAGCGGCGGGGTAGGGAAGGCGGGACTGGGGGGAGGAGGCGGTTCGGAGGGCGGCGAGGTAGTCCCTGTTACGGGCGGCGACCTCTTCGTCTGTCACGTTGCCGAGGTCGCGCTGCTGTTGTAGAGAGGCCATGGCGCCGAGGACGGTGTCGAGAGGCTGCTGTTGTTGTCCCTGCCCGAACTGACCTTGCGGTGCTGCCGTGGCGGTAAACCCCCCCAGTCCTGGCATCGGAAGAGACGGCACCGTGGCAAAACTGGGACCGGGACCGAGACCGGGAAATGCCGGCGCCATATGTCGCATCTGTCGCATCTGGTGCAGCGCAGCAGCCTGAAAGACGGCGAGATCCAGTCCCAGCCGGCTCGATAGCAGCGCCATGGCCTGCGCGGTCCCCGGCGCACCAAGAGCCGCCATACTTGCTCCTGCGGAAAAGGTCGTGTCGTCCATGGCGTGGAAGCTGCGCGCCGGCAGCGCAATCTCGTCGTCGCTCAGCATCGTCTCGAACTGGCCGCGGTCCATGGCATCCTTGGCCTTGGCGTAGAGCTCGCCGGGCGTGCTGAGCCTCCCGCCCGTGGCGCGTTGGATGTTGGCGCGCACCACGTCCGGCGGCGGCCAGTGGAGGACCTGGTGCACCTCGTCGGCGGTGAGGGAATCGGGATGGGCGAGTGCCTTGCCCACGACGTCGCCGCGGCTGAGGAGGAGACGGCGTTCCTCCTGTGTGAGCTGGTCCTGCTGGTTTTGGGCCTTGATGTAGAGGGCCTGCGGGATGGCGTCATGGGCTGACTGCGGGTTTCGTTGCCAGATGGAGCGCTCGATAGTCGCATGCAGAGCAGCATCGGCACGACGCATGGCCTCGGCGCCTTCCTCTGTGTCGGAATCTACGTCGATTTCAGGCCAGTCCTCCTCCCCAGTGCCGAGGTTGGGGTCCATGTTGCGTGATTCTGCCATCTCGAATGGGACCGGAAAGTTATCCGGGATGGAAATGGTGCTGCATCGAGTCGTGGTGAGGGCCGAGCTGAGGGAAAAGGAGGCAAGCAAACAAAAAGTTCACTGACTGCAAACGTGGGGCAGCGTGGGTTACCTTGTGTGTGGGGTTGACCCACGCTACTAAAGGCAAGCGCGTTTATGCCATCCTACCTGTGGTTTGATGCATGAAACCCGGAGTTGGAGGGCCGAAAATGCATGCCCCGGCCACGGGCGGGGCCCGGAAGGCCGGGAGTGGCAGGACGATGTCCTTCTTCGCCAATCGGCCACGGACATCATCGCAGCCTCCACCATCACGTTAAGGCGTCCTGGGAAGAAGCCAAGTCCATCGCACGCTCCCAGAAACTTAGAATAGCCAGTCTCTAATAATAAGGTCAACTAAATACACTCAGGCCCGTGATTTAACGCTGTAGACGCCTTCTCTGCGAATTCCAATCCCAGCCTAACCAATCTTCTGGGCGGTCCAATCGAACGCCATCCAGAGGCATCTTCGTAATCGCTTCGGAGTGGGGTTCGTCGGTCAAGTACCTACTTGCATGAGACTCTTAAAGAATCGATGGATTCAATCTGCAGAAAAGCCCCACCAAAGAAAGCTGTTGAGTGTGATGCGTGGTGTATTTTTACGTACCTAACTATGTGGAAATCCGCAATATTATCTAATTAATACCAAACTGCCCTACTCAGCAGGGGCGTGCGCCTGCTGTTAGATGCGGAAAAGGAACATGAGTGTCCTGTGTGTATTGCTTTAACCAACCAGAAACAGAATCCTCTGCATTCCTCAGAGCAATTTGACCCTCTCGAGCACACCGGTCCTTAAGAACGGCACATCCAAGCCCAACACCTCCCCCGTTTCGGCATCCTTGACAAACACAACCCTGTCAACCGGCTCGCTCCCGTAGTAGATCCAATCCGTGAGCGTCCAGCTCATACAATTGTGCTCGCCCAGCGCCCTGCCGGGCAACTCGGTGCCCGAGTCGGCGTCGACGTCGAACCAGATGCGCCAGTCCTCCCGCACCACCTCCCGGCCCTTGTACCGGTCCCGCGTCTCCACCTGCGCAGGGTACACCCGCCACGTACCGTTCTTCTCCAGCGGCAACAAGAACTGACTCAGCGTGACCGCCCACACCTCCCGCAGCCCCTCCAGCACGTCCGACCCGTCACGGTACAAGCCCTGAATGTGCACCGTCCCGTCCGCCCCCAGCGCCGCCGTCGCGTTACAAGCCACCGATCCCGTCTCGGCCGTCGACTCCCCCACAAAAGTGGCCTCGTACCCGCGCTCCACGGCCTCGGCGTGCGCGGCGGCGTCGGCGGCGGGCACGATGGCGCTCAGCGCGGCGTCCAGCACGAGGGCGGCGACGTTGGGGGCCCCCGCGGTCAGGACGACGATGCCGAGGCCGTACTCGTCAACGACGGCGATGCGGTTGTGGTAGCCGTACGCGGCGCCGTCCTTGGCGTACACGGTGACCGTGTGCTGCGCTGCAGCAGAGGAGGCGGGGAAGAGCAGGTGCGGGGGCGGGCGGAAGATCTCCCACGGCGCGCCGACGAGGCTGTGCGCCGAGCCGGCGAAGGCGCGCGGCTGCAGCCACTCGCGCACGGCGGCGGGAGAGTTGAGCGCGGAGCGGTCGAGGATGGCGACCAGGAAGGTGGAGAGGTCGGCTAGCGTGGACACGAGGCCGCCCCCCGGGGCGTTGACGCCGTAGTCGGAGCCCCAGCTGTTGTCCACGGGCGGGATGACGGCCAGGTTGTCGTCACCGGGGCTCGGGAAGGTGGAGGTCAGGTTGAGCGAGGCGGAGATGTCGTGGACTAGCTCGGTGTAGTTCTTGCCTGTCTGGGCCTCTAGCGCGTAGATGAAGAGCGTGAAGGCGATGCTGGAGTAGACGGGGCGTGTCTCGGGTGGGGCGACTGGGTGGATGGAGAGCATGCCCTTGAGCAACTCTGAGGGGTTAGGTGTCAGCGAGTCGGGAAGGGTAAGGTAGGATCATAGCAGTATTGTGGAAGGAGGGGATACGCACCCTCTTTGGTGCATCCAGAACTGAAGCCCGTGATGCCGCAGGCGGTGTATGCACTGTCATTCAGGTGCGGGAACCCGAGCTGTTCAAAATAATCCTTCAAGTAGTAAAACTCGGAGAACCCATCTATGTGCAAACAGACACATGTCAGTGGAGCCCAGGAAAAAAGATTTGGTGCACCTCACAGTTGGGCGGAATCCCCGACAGCTGAGACGCCAAGGCACGCAGCGTGATGCTATCCCAGTCTATCAATGACGAGGAGTCGTTCAGCGATGGGATATACTTGGTGATGGGGTCGTCGATGTTGATGCCGCTTCGGAGCAGGATGGCGTCGGAGATGACCTTGGAAACGGAGCCGATGAGGTACTGGGAATTTCTGTCGATGGACTTCGTTCCGTTGACGTTCCCGGAAGCAAGGTGGTGGTACTCCCATAGAGGCACTGCTGGCTCCTCCTGGTCCAAGGTGACGACACCCAAGGAAATGGAGACATTGCGAATATCCCAACCGGCCTTGATCTCCCCGCTAAAAGCTGCGTCGAGCGTTTGGGTCAAGTTGTCGAGAGCAGCTAGGAAGGGTTTCGAATGGGTCAGGTTCCCCGGTCTGGGCACAATGGGGCCTTCAGGGTGGCATTCCAATGCCGTGGCGATGCTCGCGGCACCAATAAGACGAAGGACAAAAGATGTCGCCAACATGGCTTCAGAGAGATATGGAGTTACAGGAATAATTCCAAACTGACTGTGTTGGATCATCAACCACGACGAGGCTCCCTCCCCCTTATATATTCGCGAAATAAAAGATGTGTCGAATGAGCTGCCATACTGCGAATGCCGTCAACGCAAATGACGCGTGGGTTTAGGAGGCTAAGAAGGGTGATGTAAGGTTTTGTAAACGATTTACGGAACCAATAATGGCGATGCACATCACGATCGCCTCGCTTGATACTTATTCAAGCCCTGCGTAGATTGACAAATCGAAAAACTGGAGAGGCCCGGCGAGGGCGACCAATGACAAGCCGACTCTGTCTTTGGAAATATACGAGAAATGCGAGAACGGTGCAACGGCGGCGATGGAGATTACGGCATTGTACCGACCCCGGAACTGCCACACAAGATCGGCGGCGGGGTTGTGAATGTGGGGACGGCTTGGCCAAGTCGAATACGAAATACGGCCCCACCGAAGCTCGGCCCCGATCCGTTGAAGAAGGAGACTGACCCGTCTTCCATTCGTCTTCCCAGAATTACCTTATTCATCTGTACGATTTATTCCACGGCCCCTCACTCGTCAGCTTCACTTCCTCTAGACCTGGGGTTCTGTGTGGCAGGAAGGCAGGGTAAGAGGTTTCCCAAACCCACAAACCCATCATCCTAGTCAGCCAGCCACGCTAACCGCGACGCTACATAGTATCCACTCTCTTCTTGGACCGCTACAACAAAATAGGTGCTGTGAACGAGATATTTGAATGGCAGGGAAAAGAAGGATAAGTTTGAAGGCCAAAAAAAATCGACAACGATGAGATTCGAACTCACGCCCCCGAAGGGAAGAGCAGACTGCAATAGCAAGCTCTCGCGTTAGACCACTCCGCCACATTGCCTTAGAGTGTTCATGGGCAGTTAGCCTATACCAGAGGGGGATTGCTAACGTAACCCTAACCTAATTGAGCTAATCCATCGGTAAATTAGGATAATTACAAGGTAGTTCCCCCTGTAATGCCAGTCCAAACGCCCCTAAAAACAAGCTTATGGTTTTGTAGTACGTCACCGCGAAGCTTAATGCGTATTCCAGACAACCCTGATCGCCAAGAACCCAACAGTTCACATAACAAACACTCTCGCCTGGGGTAACAGCGTAGTCCACCTCTCCTCGGGGCTACGTGCCCAGATCTTTCGCAAATACTCGATAGCCCTCAGCAAGTTGACGAACCCGTTTCTCGCATAATGCTCCAGCAGCACACCCTCGAAGAACGCCTTGTGCTCGTCCAGCAGGCAGTCCGACGCCGCCACGAAGGTCGCCCACACCAAAACCTGCTGGCCGGGCGACCCGTGCGGGAACGCCTCCAGGGTCTCCTTGAACCGCTGCACGCGGCCGATGGACTCGGACATGGCGATGATTTGGCTCGGCCCCGGGGGCGAGGAAGCGGGGTCGCGCTGGAGCTTCAACACCTGCTGTAGGTAGATGTCGCGCGCCTGGTGCACGATGTCCGTCACGAAGGACACGGCCAGCGCGTGCTCGGGCCGCTGCTGCGAGCAGTGGTTCAGGCAGTCGAAGAACTGCGCGATCTGGTCCTGGGAGGATATCGTCTCCAGGCCGGTCTGCTCGCTCAGGAGCGGTGCGGCGTAGACGCGCATCCTGGGGAGGTGAGTGAGGCTTCCTGTTAGCTCTGCTGGCTGCAATCTAGAGATGTATCCGGGGGGTTCTATCTTGACTCACTTGTGGACCTGGCGGATGATGAATTCGGCCATCTCGCTGCCCCCAAGCCCTTGTTCTCCACCTATCGCATCCAGCGCCGACTGCAGCATTCGGAGCAGGGTTGGGAAATCCGAGTACCCCGTCACCATGACCGCGGTTAACAGCACCAGAATGGTCAGCAAGATGGAATGCTGGCTTGAGAGATCGCAGTCTCTCAGTCCTTGTCGTTGCCGCAGACCCATGATGGCGCGTGCATACAGCTGATCCGGGTCTGGCTGCTGCGACCGACAGCGGTGTCGGCCATGGTGATCCCCTAGCTGTCTGGGTATATCTTGGCGGTCACGGCTGTTGGGGGATCTGCTGAGCGACTGGTGGAATGCGGAGACAGCGAGGACGGCGTTCATCACCAACTCATCAGCATGTGCAGCGGGAAGAATCAGGTGGCGCCAGCCGTTGTGGAGTCCATCTATGGCGACCATTTCTTTGGCGATAGAGTCGGAGACTGTGCCATGATTGTGTAAGTCAATGTTGGAAGATGGAAATGACGCGGAGTGGCCCTTACAATGCAAGAGCATAAGCCTCTCCCAGGGGGAAAGGTTGTCTGGTGACGGCTGGAAGACCAGGCAATCTCCAGACGAGGAGAAACTGCAGGCTGTTATACCATTGCCTGCGTCGTTCGTAAGAGCAAGAGTATCAACCGCCCTGTCGCTTTCGGGGAATTGTAACAAGGCGGTGCTGCTGCTGCTACTCTCCAAGAAAAACGAGCCCTCGGAGTTAATAAGACCTCCAGGAAAGGGATCTTCAGCACTTGTTACAGCTAGAAGGCATTCCCACAAGTCTTCTGTGAAGTCTCTAGGAGTCGTCTCCTCGTCTTGGGATGATTCACCAGGAGTTGGAATAGTCTCTCTCTCTTGACGTTGCCGCTCAATCCGCTCATGTCCCTTCATCCTACATGCACTATTAGTCTCCTTCGCCTGGTACGAATAATCTCGGCGTCCTACTCACTCTTGATAGACAACTTGCATAGTCTTCCCCGTCCACTTTCCCCTCGATGCCACTCCATTGTTGAACCGATGCCGAACGCTCAAGCCGCTGCATTTGAGACCTTTAGAAGTGCATTTTCGGCATTCCGGCTCGGTTCGGTCACAGTGTATACGTCGCTGTGAGCATTCATAGCAGCCTAGAAATACAGTCAGAGTGTCCCGCTCAATTCTTCCTGACAAGCAAGCTCATCGACCTTTGATCTTGGGACTGTAAGGACGCTTCTTGCGCGGCATGATACGTCCCACACCCTGTTTTCCCCGAGCGTCGGATAGAATCAAGTTTTCACCTTCGGTGAGATAACATCGGGAATACTCGAGTCCTGAGCGCCGGTAGGGGTTTTTCACGGAGGTATTGCCCCTCGCTCAGCTGATTAGCCAAAGTTCCGAGCTTGGTTCAGAAATAGCATCGATGATGGGTGTCAGCTGTGACTGCCAGGAAGAGAAGTTTGAATGAGATCGTAGTGCGGGGGATCGCCGGCGTTTTAATTCCTAACCCACACGGTCGGATACAGGACTCGGAAGAGCTAAGCAAGTGGCGATCCAGACCTCCATATCTTTCACTAGTCGCTGCGGACCGGGTTATACCCAAAGAGGAATGTCAAATGAGAACCACCTCCTCCCAAGCTAGTCACTAGCTAGCACGACTAACGACAACACTACCTACAGACCTTGGGCATCGTTCTGTACCTTGATTTGGGAACTGTAGGCGACATCGAAAACACCTCAAGTAATCGCCAACCAATATCGCCACTTCCCGCCTCTCTGTCTCCTTCCTCGCTACATTCTCTTTGCCCGCTGACGCCGAAAGAACGAAGACGTATCGCCCATCAGTACATTGAACGGTAATACATCCTGGCACAGGTAATGAGCCACACAGTAATACCCCAGCAGGCTGGAAATGAACCCAAAGACCCCGGCTGCTTTCAACAAGGCCACGCTCGTCCCCTGCTTCCCGTCGGCAAGGGCGAAATACGAGGCTGCGTCAAGGCTGAGGCAGAGTTCGAGGGTTATGAAGATGAGTATGTAGACGAAATTGCTGTGCAGGACACAATTTTAGAGCTGAGAGCGTGGGCCTGCATGGGCAGGATCTTGGGTACTCACAATGCGAGGGAGGCGATGATGAAGAAGATATTCAAGACGGCCCAAACTGTGCGTGTCAGAAATGATAGTCAGGCATGCAAATGAAGTTTAGAAGGGCAATCCCACTCAAGACGAAGAACCCAAGGGCGTTGTAGTACTCGGGAGTCAACCCGCCGTAAGCCTCGATGATTCCGAACCCTGGGATTAGGGTCGCCCCGTATCCGCCGTAGAATAATCCTATATCAATGGAATCAACTAGACAGCTCAACGGCAGCAGAAGCCTAAACCGACGGGGTTCAGCAGGAGACCACGCACCAAAAGCACTGAGCACGGTATAACCAAATGTATTGCCCTTGACCATCTCCCACTGAGCCGAGATCAGCAGGCCGATGCAGGCAACAAAACAAAGGTCTCCAACGAAGATTGTCTGGACCGAGACGCCTCGGAATCCCATCATAGCCAGCGAAAGTGTGAGCAACGTTGTGGCAAAACCACCCATGGCCAGAGGAGTCTGTGCCAGATGGTATTAGTTGTTTGGTGAGCAATCCTTGTCAGTTATGGACAGAGAGCAACTCTTACCGGGTTTCCAATCCGCTGCTCCATCCTCGGATACGCTTCGATGCGCATCTCGGCGACTTCTTCGTCCTTTTTGGTGCAAGACATGGCCGTTTGTGCGTGTAGGCGTCTCAGCGAGGTTTCCTGCTCTGAGAGTCCGGTTGGGGAGTAATTACTGTATGATGGAATTTTTTGCCAAGTCTCCTTCAAAGAAACCTCTACCAGACGCTTCTGTTGGGAAGGATATGAATCTGGGAAATCATGGAAGAAGACGAGACGCGTCGACACCGGTCAACGCCGGGTCCCCCTTGGGAGAGGGTTCTCATTCCACTTGGTGGAGGTTCTCATTCCACCTTCCAAATCCAAAACGCATTTTATAGCGCCACTTGTGACGATCATCTGCAACTGAAGTCTTCGTTATCTGCTCCCAATGACACACTCCCATGCTTGCAGAGCCGGCCTAGCATCTCCCGTTATCGGAGGTCGTGATTCGTCAGAAAAGGGGGCTATCAACTCAAGTGAAGAATTTACACAACCAGGTGCCGATCTCACCAGCTCATGTAAAACAGGAATTCAATTTCGTCAAAGCTATTGTATCGTGTGATCAGAAGACTTACAGCAAAGCCTGTTTTCGCCATCGACTTGCTGGAACACAACACTTCTCAGCATGGCTCACACTGTACCTCCGGTAAACTCAATTCCCTTCAACCTCCTTCGCTACTTTGAACGCCATACTAAACAACCTCCAATAGCTCAAGGACCCCTCACTTCTCATCGAGAAGGCGTGGATCAACGGGGCCTTCGTTTCCTCTCAAACAGGGCAGACATTCCCCGTCCACGACCCAGCGACAGGAGCCGTCATCGGCCACTGCCCAGACCTCACGCCCCCCGAAGTCGAGTCAGCCATCGCCGCCGCCGCCGCCGCCTTCCCCTCCTTCCGCGCCACAACGGGGCGATCCCGATCGGCCCTCCTGCGCCGCTGGCTCGACCAGGTGCTCTCCAACGCCGACGACCTCGCCACCCTCATCACCTGGGAGAGCGGCAAGGCGCGGGCGGATGCGCGCGCTGAGGTCTCCTACGCGGCCAGCTACATCGAGTGGTTCGCCGAGGAGGCGCCGCGCATCCATGGTTCGATCATCCCAGCATCCTCTGGTCCGGGGAGATGCGTCTGCGCGTCGCGCGAGCCCGTCGGCGTGTGCGCCCTGATCACGCCGTGGAACTTCCCCGCCGCCATGGTGGCGCGCAAGGTGGCGCCGGCGCTGGCGGCCGGGTGCGCGGTGGTGCTGAAGAGCGCGGGGGAGACGCCCTTCACGGCGAATGCGCTGGCCGAGCTGGCTGGGCGGGCGGGGGTGCCTGCGGGGGTGCTGAATGTCGTTACGGCGTTGGGTAATACGGTTGCTGTTGGTAGGCTGCTGAGCATGGATCGGCGGGTGAAGAAGCTGTCGTTTACTGGTAGCACGGCTGTTGGTAAGATACTGATGGCGCAGGCTGCGGGGACGTTGAAAAAACTATCGATGGAGCTGGGGGGTAACTCCCCCTTTATTGTGTTTGACGACTGCAAGGGTCTGGACGATGCTGTTGCCGGTGCTCTTGCTGCCAAGTTTAGGGGCTCTGGACAGACTTGCGTGGCGGCCAACAGGATATTCGTGCAGGAAGGGATCTATGACGAGTTTGCGAGGAGATTCACGGAGAAGGTCGAGAAGTTCAGGGTTGGCGGCGGTTTCAACGAGGGTGTCACTCACGGACCGGCCATACACGAACGCGCCGTGGAGAAGATGGAGCAGCATGTCTGCGACGCCCTTGCCAAGGGCGCCAAGCTGATGACGGGTGGGAAGAGACTCCCAGAGTTAGGAGGCAACTTCTTTGCACCGACCGTGCTGACAGGGATGACGCGCGACATGCTCATCTTCAGCGAGGAGACCTTTGGGCCTGTAGCCGGCCTCTTCGCCTTCTCGACCGAGCGGGAGGTTATTGAGCTGGCAAATGACTCCGAGGTTGGCCTTGCCGGATACGTGTTTAGCGGCGATGTCGACCGCGTCTACCGCGTCGCGGACGCTCTCGAGGTGGGCATGGTGGGCATCAACACGGGCATTATTAGCGACGCGGTCTCGCCGTTTGGGGGGGTCAAGGAGTCGGGCTTCGGGAGAGAGGGCTCCAAGTACGGCATCGAGGATTATACCGTGTTGAAGGCGGTCACGCTCTGCACCAAGTTGGACTCTGATGAAAGGGGAAGGTAGACTGAGATGCAATTAGTCGCTAGTCAACTCTAAATTAACCCCTTTTGTTCTCGATTTTGTGTCGTCACTCGATTTGGCCGAGACACAGCAATAATTACGCCACGAGGTTAGATACGAATACTCCCGAGATTGTCTGATTCGACTCTCGTCTCGGAATGTTGTGCTCTCATTTCTACTTCCCGATTCGTCTTAGACGGAATCGGTGCAAGTCGCCGTGGCTGGTCGTCGGATGTGGAGAGAAGTGGGGTAAATTGGAGATCTACCCCAGAGAATTCACCGTCTCCGCACGAATGTTGCGGGGCGCACGGACCATTCTACAGGCCTCAATTCTTGATTCGCCCCCAAATCCATTTTTGCCAAGTCTTAACCAACACATTCGCATCCCCAACTTGTGGAAGAAGTCTGGGCATCTAAGACCTCCTGGAAAGAGGACTCCCCTTCTAGGTCTGTCAGGGGTGTTCAAACTAATTCGGGGAACGGGGCTTAGAAACCTGCTTCTTCGTCTATAAATCTGCGTCGATCCTACTTGCAGATTCTTAGAATGCGCAGAAATTTCTCAGGCTATATCCATCCCACACTCCTGGTGTAAAAGAGGGCTCGCCTAGATACCTACTTCGCCTCTTTCTTCCTTCACTCTTTCGCATCCAATCATCCGATCCTCGGATCCAATTTACCCAATAATGGAGAACCGTGAGCTTCCTACAATTACCTCAAAGCAGTACATTTTGACTAACTGTTGCCTCCCAAGGTTCATCAGATACAAGCAAGGAGGGACTGGGCGTCCCCGGGAGCCATCATGGTAGGTGACAGCTTCATCCCTTTGTCTCCAACAGCATCTCGTGCAACTGCTGACAAGTTTCTGGTTTGAGCAGAGACTATCATCGGTAGAGCAACTGACCAACATGAAATAACATCGAGGGTCCTAGCTAACATAATGGATTCCTAGGCTCCCAGGCTGATATTGAAAAGAGTGAGTCTTATATTATCGTAACTCGGTCCTTGATAATGTAGCTTACAAAAAGCAGATGATTTTAGTTACAACGACACCAACCTTGTTCTTGAGCGACTGGGTCTGGAGCCACAGATGAAAAAGACCCTTGGACCATTCGCCATCGCATGTGTCGGCTTCAACATCTGCAATAGCTGGGTCGGATTGGCAGCTACCATGGTGATAGGAATGCAACAAGGCGGCAGCGTCACCGTCATCTACGGCATGATGGTCACCCTTGTCGGCCTGGGGTGTTCTGCTGCCACAATGGCGGAGCTGGCCAGCGTCTACCCGACTGCCGGGGGGCCTTACCATTGGACGTCTATATTGGCTCCCAAGAGAGCCCATCGTGTGTTGGTATGTCAACCAGTGCTTACCGTCATGTTGTTTTCCACGTGTTAACCATGTCATCCCGTTGCCTATAGAGTTACAGCTGCGCCTCTCTCAACATCTTTGGGTGGCTCTCGATTTGTTCTGGCGTAACCATCCAGCCGGGCCAGTTCATCGAAGCCATCCGTATCTTCTACAACCCCGGATTTGAAGCTCCTCCCTGGCAGTATTTTCTCTTCTTCCAGGCCACGAACATTGCAATCCTGGTACACAACATACTCATGCAGCGCCGTACCAGCTGGATTCATGACGTCGGTTGTGAGTATTACTTTGCCCGGTGAATTTACACAGCCTGGGAAAATGCTAATCAAACTATCCTCAACACAGTCATCTTCTCCTTGACATCCTTCTTCGTCATCCTGGTTAGCTGCGTTGCCCGCGCTCCGTCGTATAATTCGAACGAGTTTGTGTGGACCAACTTTGTCAACAACAGCGGGTGGAGCTCCGGGGCGGTCGTCTTCTTGACCGGCATGGCTAATCCCAATTTCATCTACGCCGGCATCGACGGCGCCGTGCACCTTGCCGAGGAGGTTTCGAACGCAGCCCAGGCGGTCCCGCGTGCTCTCCTGAGCACCATCGTGATTGGGTTCACCACCGCGTTCGCATTCGCTTTGGCGATGCTGTACAGCCTGTCTGATTTTGACAAGGTTGTCGAGGATCCCACTGGGTAATTACTTGCTCTTCCTGAAAAAATCCCTTCTAGCTTTCCTTACCCCTGAACACACAAGCACATAGTCCCTTTTTTCTTCTCTCCAGCTTGGCTAACCCACATATTCCTAGTGTTCCTATCTACGAGATCTGGTACCAGGCCACTCGTTCTGGCGCAGCGGCGACCACGTTCGTCGTGATCTTGCTCCTCATCGCCTGCTTTGCACTCAACGCCTGCCAAGAGGTCAGCTCGCGCCTGACGTGGGCCTTTGCGCGCGACAACGCCCTCATCGGCTCGCGCTTCCTGGGCAAGATCGACCCGACGCTCAAGGTGCCGGTGTGGGCGCTCGTGGCCAACGCGTTCGTCATCTTCATCATCGGCTGCATCTATCTGGGCTCCTCGACGGCGTTCAACGCCTTCATCGGATCTGGCCTGCTGCTGCAGCAGTGCAGTTTCGCCTTCCCCGCCGCGCTGCTCCTCTGGCACCGCCGCTCCGACGACGTCCTGCCCAAGACCCGGTCTGTGAATCTCGGCCTGTTTGGCTGGCTGGCTAACCTCGTCACGCTGCTCTTTGCGCCGTTCATCACCATCATGTACTGCTTCCCCATCGAGCTACCCGTTACGGCGGCGACCATGAGTAAGTCGACTCCCTTCCATTTTCTCGGGTCATTGGCTGGTTTCTTTACGAGCAAGAGCGAGCAGTGCGCTGACGCAAAAATAATATTGCAGACTACACGTGCGCCGTCGTTGGTGTCATGTTCCTGTTCTCGCTGGTGAACTGGTTCTTGCATGCACGCAAGGAGTACAAGGGTCCGCGTCTGCCACAGGGGCAGTTTGCCTAAGCAACGCCTGAAGTGCTGTATATATGTTTATAAGTAGGCGAGTCGAATATATTCAAAGATGATGAAACTGTCTCCGAGCAGGGTGTGCGGCAAGTTTGTTGGTTTCAGTAGTCTTTTTGGTCGCAGATATCTATACAATAGACAAGAATGATCTCCACCTAGCTCACCGTGGCACACATAAATCGTACGAAAGGAATGATTCCACCCGTAAATGCAATGCTAGAGTCTCCGGCTCGGAAAGCCACTCGCTCGTCCCTTCCCCCCACACCCTCTATCACTGTTTCTCCATATTAAACGGTATACGTAGTCCTGCGGGGATGTCGATCCACACCTTGTGTTATTCCCAATCGGGCATGTAAAATGAGACCATTTCTCCAACGGGTGTCTCGTTTTGCCTTCCAGAAACGAAACACTAAAGGCGAAGCACATCACAGCTAAAACAACCCACTGCGGGGATTCATACGATAGTTCTTAGTTTACAATGATATATATTCTCCGCTGTCTACGCTGTGGCCTTGAGGAAAGCTCATGCACTCTTATCCCTTTTCAATAAGATAACCCCTTCAACAGTCCACCTCTGCTTCGGTCGTTTCCCCGAATACAATGTCCGGCGCTCTAGAAGGCATCTACGAGCCGGGGATCGTCGATCCCGGCGTCCCCGTCTCCAGCCCAACAAAGCCCTTCTGGCACTCCAACCCGCACCCCCATGCCAACCACCAATCCCCCTGGCCCACGACCGCAGTAGACGTAGTCGTCATCGGCTCCGGAATCTCGGGCATGAGCCTAGTCCGCACCCTCCTGTCCACGCATCGACCAGACCTGCGCGTCGTCCTCGTCGAAGCCCGCTCCCTGTGTTCGGGCGCGACGGCCCGCAACGGCGGCCACATCAAGACCATGACCTTCGCCATGTGGGAGGAGCGCCGGCGGTCGTTCGGCATCGCCGAGGCCGTACGCCTGTCCGAGTTCGAGCACAGCCACCTCGAAACCATGGCCGCGGCCATCCGAGAGGCCGGTGTCGACTGCGACCTCGTGCTCACCGAGGGCGTCGAGGCGTATTATGATCGCAAGTCCTTCGATAGGGCTGTCGCGGGACTCGAGGACATGCGCGCTCACGCGCCGCATCTGGCCGATAAGCACACCGTGTACACGGACCGGGACAGGCTGCGGCGCGTCATGAAGCTGTCGCCTCGGTGCGTGGGCGCCATTGGGGTCCCTGCCGCGTCGCTGTGGCCGTACAAGTGGATCACCGGTGTATTGGGCGGCTTTATTGATGCGGGGAGACTCAACGTCCAGACGCACACGACAGTACGGGCGGTTGAGGACCGCGATGGAGACGAGTTCGCCGTCGTGAGGACGGACCGTGGGGACATCAAGGCGAGGCATGTGGTCCATGCTACGAACGCCTGGTTGGGCCACTTGCTGCCCGAGCTGCGACCGTTCATCTCGCCAGTCAGGGGTAACGTTGTACACTACGGCCCCGTGCCAGCAAAAAGTAAGAGTGATAACGACGACGACAACAGAGTCAAGGCGGACCAAGCAAGCAGCAAGGCGACGAATTCAGCCCTCGGCCTCGACCCTCGGTTCTCGCTCTGGCTCCGCTACGGCGACAAGGACTACGACTACGTGATCCAGCGGCGGGACGGCGGCGTCGTGGCCGGGCGCGCCAACACGGGCCGCCGGACCACGGGCGACGACGGCGAGACGGACCTGCCTGCCATGGCGCACCTCCGCGGCCTCGGCGACGAGGTGGTGGCGTCCCCGGTTCCCGGCGCCGCCGCGCACGTCACGCACGCGTGGTCCGGCATCCTTGCCTTCTCCCAGGACGCCGTGCCCTTCGCCGGCCGCCTGCCGCCGGCGCTGTTCCCCGGCCGCGGACACCAGTGGGTCTGCGGCGGTTACCATGCTACGGGGATGATCAAGGCGTTTCGAACGGCGCAGATGGTGGCGCGGTTGATACTTGGAGAGGACGTGGGCGATGAGTATCCTAGGTCGATTCTGGTGACGGAGGGGAGGATCGCGGCGCTGAGGAGATCGCTCGATCTTGGGGAACTACCGGTTTTCAAGGCGAAGCTTTAGTTGGAAATGTGGTTGGTAGCGATGTAGATCGGGGGTATCAATTAGTAATTGGCCTAGATGTTGTCAAATTTAGTGTTAAAAAGGACTCGGGCTGTTCAAGTTTCTGTTCTTCTCTGGAAACCATCAATCTGATAGATCTACATCTGTGCAATTTCGCGGAAAGGCCCGTCCCTAGTTTATACCTTACTTTTAGCAGTGAAATGAGGACAGAGGCGTAAGGCCAGGGGTACTCAACAACAACCCCACCCCCGGCGTGGATTTTCCACCCCTGTCTTTCCTTTTCGGTACCCTTCAATATATAGCCCAATGAGAATACGTTGCCCACAACCACTCTCGATACCCAATCCTACCATTACTTGCTCCCCTCTCTCCCGAAACTTTGCTGGCCATCGCGGGATTACCCACACGACTCGTTTGGCCCCAACCAGGATGGGCCGCGTCACGACCCTCGGCCTGGCAGGCTCCTGTTTTCCTGGGAGCGTGCGGGAGCGTGCGGGAGCGTCGTTGTAGCACCATCCGGCACCGCCGAGTGTGACCAGGCTGACGTCAGTATTGATGTGATTTATAAGCAAATGTTGCAGGGTACATGGCGACTGGCACAGAACCTCCGGTACTTTCAAGAAGTGGTGGAGTCCGAAGCTGTACCTAATTGGCTCTGCTGTTGGCTGATTCAGACTTGCATGCAGATGGTGTTGGTGGTGGTGGTGGTGCATGTGGCGGTGCATGCGGTGGTGGTGGTGGTGGTGCATGTGGCGGTGCATGCGGTGGTGGTGGTGGTGGTGCATGTGGTGGTGCATGCGGTGGTGGTGGTGGTGGTGGCTTGCAGCGAGGTATCCTGCCCTTCTGGTCATCTGTCCTCGTGGTGCTCTCGTGGTGGGCTACGGCCGGGCGTAGGGTCCACCTTGGACGCGTTTGACGCGTCCATCATGAGCATCCTTCCGTCTATAAATTCCAGCTGATGCCCCCTTCAGTTCTACACTTCTCAGGGCACAGCCGGATCCATTCACCACCCCTCTCGATACGCTGCCGATCCAACACCTGTCAACAGGGACATTCGATACAGCCATGGACTGGCTCCAGACACTCAATCAGGCCGTCATGGGCAACCGCCCTGATGAGGCTGACAGCCCCATCACACTGGACTATGGTGACCTCTCTGGTACAACAGCTGCCTACCACGACCGAAATGACCCATTTTCAAATGATGGTAGGACTTGGTCGCAATCCTTGTCAGTGTTGCTTTCATATTCCTCCCAATTTTCCCCTACCAAGGTCGAAATAACCTGCGGTTTTCAACGAGATACTAGACGCAGCCCTCCCCATAACAGACAAAGGAGACGGCCGACCATCGTCATGGATATTGTCGAGCCTCATTGCCCAGGGACATCCCATGTACTACCAAGTCCATGGCGAGCCCAACCAAACAGACCGCAGAATCGCGTGCAGTACTAGATGTACTGTCGTACAGGGTACGAAGAGCGTCAGAGGGGAAGATCTGTATGCCAGTTCATGCGTCAAAAGAGCAAAAAACCGTTTGGGCAATGTACAAGGTAGGTTGTTGGGTAGGCCTCTTAGCCTTCCCAACTTCGCTCTCGCCAGCAGATGCGGCGATTGTCTCCTCCATGCTCGGCGGTACCGACCTACCAAGTCGGCCGCTTTTGGTCCACGCGATTACCCAGACTTGTTGCACCCCGTTCAATCGGGGGCGTCTGGGGCCTTACTCGCTTGGTAAGATACACCTCCTATTTTACTGACAGCATGATGTGGAAGAGTTGATTGGGATACAATGGTTCACGCGGGTGAGACTACCTACGCTGGCCCATGTGGAATGGACACCAGGTTTGGCCAGGATATGGGTCTGCCTCCTGAGGCTCCGATAATCAACAATTCCCTGCCCATGACACTTGATGGAGCCAACAGTTTTGAAGAGAGCATATCTTTCATGAGAAAGGACGACGAGCGAGAGACAGCTAGGTAAGTCTTTACCACCTTGTCCCACCAGGGTGGAAAACTCTATACTCATATCTCCAGTCCTCATCACGTGAACCTAGCAATGCTACAGCTGAGTCCTACGGTGGACGCCTTCTCTTACCAATTTCAGACCGACTTCCAGATGGACGGCTTCAAATATTCTGATCCCATGTAGACGAAGCTTCCTACTACCCCCATCGGAGCCTTCCCTATGCTGACCTATGTCAAGGCACAAAGATATAAACCAGGTGCACAGGAATCAGAATCTGTGCGAAGTCTGCGGCAATCCATTCAGTCGATCCGATGCCCTTGGCCGACACCAGGATATACACAAAGAAAAACGTCAGCGATATGAGTGCACGGGGTGCGGGCGGTCATTCACGCGGAGGGATACCCTCAAGAGGCACAAGCGCAAGCATTGTCATGGTCCTGGTGGCGGAAATCAAGGTTAAGCGTCAGGGGGATTTATTGGAGATGAGGTTGTATAGACAACATGGCACCTGCTCTCTTGTTAGCCGCAGGCAGTGCCTGGAATATATTTATCCCCGCACTTGCGGGAGCTGTTGCCCTGCCCTCAACACAGTAATAATTCTCTTCACTCTTCTAGAAACCGCAGCCTTAACGATGATGAGCCAAAGCGCTGCCAACTTCACTCCAACCCTTCGCTTCATTCATTCCCTCGGGTGTTCCAGGGCTTGAAGGCATCTCAATACTGTAGATACTCGTGTCGAAGAACTACAAGCCAGGCATTTTCAATATTCAAAAACTTCAACGACCCATTCGAGCTATTTGCGCAACAAGATAGCAGATTCGAAACTCTTTGATCGCCCTGAATGGTTGGGCATCAATGATGTGGCTGGATACCAGGCCTTCCCCTCATCGGAATACCGTATCTCCGCCAACACCCCGAGTCCTTCCTTCAGTCGCACCTGGCTCACCTTATCATCAGTCTTCCGCTCTGCAACCAACGCCTGTCCTCTTTCCTGATTCTATCAATGCTAAGGTTGACTGTGAGAGCATCATGGCCGGCAAGGGGTTTTTTTCTAGGCTAAAGAAACTCCATTTCCCTCGGCGCAGGCGTCGCTCCGACGGCGTGACAGACCAAGATGGGCCCGATTTGTCTGGGAGCAACGCTACTACAAGCAGTAAGCCCGTCCCCGGACGAGCTGCTGTGCCTCCACCTATGAGCACTGAGCCCGTCCCCGAGCCAGCTACTGTGCCTCCACAGGTTGCGGCGCCATCGCCTACTGCACTAGACCCAAACATCCAGCCCAATGGTGCCGACAGAACAGCCTCCATCCCCTCCGAAGACGCCTCCAAACTTGCGGCAGACCCCAACATCGAGTTTGATGGTGCCAACAAATCAAGCTCCATCTCTTCAGAAGATGCCTCGGAACTTGCGGCAGAGCTCTGGGACAGGGCCTATGACAGTCTCAAACTTGACGAACCCACGATAATGCAAAAGTACGAAATGATACTGTCCTGTCAAATAGAGCGCAGCTCCGTATCCGAAACAGCAGAATCACAGGCCAACATCATTGCCCAAGATCTCCCAGACAAGAGACGTGATCAAATGAAGAAGTTGGTTGTCGACGGCCAGATGAAGACAGCGCGGGAGGCCGAGATTAAAGAAACCACTGGGACGGTCTTGCGCGTCGTCACGCAGACGAAGAGCCTCATTGATGTGGCTGTTCAGGCCGTGCCGCAGGCTGCCCTCCCCTGGTCCATCGCCTGCATCGCCATTAAGGTAGGTACTTCTTCTTCGTCTTCTTCTTCTTCTTTTTGGAGCGTGCGGGTCTATGTGGCTAACTTATGCAGATGCTCACCAACTCCGTCGAGACAACAGAATCGCATCGCAAGGGACTTACGCATGTCATCTCTAGGATGGACTGGTACTGGGCTCTCGCCCAAAGCCTTCTAGAACCTAGCCATGCCTCCGGCACTAGGCTCGGCTTGGAGAACCAGATTGTTGATCTGTACAGGAAATTGTTGCTGTACCAGATAAGGAGCATCTGCTCTTTCTTTGGAAAACGTGGCGTCGTCTTCATGCGGGATCTAATCCAATTCGACGGCTGGGAGGGCCAACTGGAGTCTATCCGGAACGCGGAGGATCAGTTTCGTCATGACACCATGACATATTCGATGCTGCGGCAGTATTCTGGATTCGAGGAGATCCGGCACCAACTTGCACAACTTGCGGAAGGCGTCGAGTTCCAGGCCGAGCAGCTGGCCCATCAGTGCATGAAAGACTTGCTTCTGACCGATCCGGAACTTGATAAAAAGCGCATCGAGGATTCCAAGGGGGACCTACTACCTGGCGCCTACCGATGGGTCCTTAAGGACTCGAACTTTCGACAGTGGCGCGACGGCAGTGGCAGCCAGCTGCTCTGGGTCAAGGGTGATCCCGGCAAGGGCAAAACCATGCTCCTCTGCGGCATTATTGACGAGCTGCGGCCGGCAGTTCAGTTGACGAAGTTTCGTCCGACACAGTCGTTGCCCACTTCTTCTGCCAGGCGACGGAAGCACGGCTGAACAGAGCCTCGGGCGTGCTGCGAGGGCTGATATATATGCTCGCCAAGAAGCAGCCTTCACTAGTCTCGCACATCCAGAAGCATCATCAAGACGCCGGTCAAAAGCTATTCGAAGGTCATAACGCGTGGTTCGCCTTGCAGGGCATCCTTCAAGACATGTTACACAACCTGGCCCCGAATACCACCACATACCTGGTCATCGATGCACTGGACGAATGTAAGGAAGACTTGCCTCAACTTCTAATTAACGGGTTTCCTGTAGCTAACAATATCTAGGCTACATCACAGCAAGGGGCGTTGCTAGACGTCATGCAAGATGCATATCGCTTCACACGATCCTCCGTGCGGGTGCTGGTGAACGCTCCGCTTCAGGTCTATTCATCAGCACTCATGTTTAGTCCAGCACAAAGCAAAGTAAAACAACGCTTCGAAACGCTCGAGCCAGACTGGATGACACTGAAACCAGCTATAGAGCAGGATTGGAACCCATGCCTTATGACCATCCTGCACGACTACGGCATTGGACACGTGTCGATCTCACATGACGGAAGATATCCTGCTTCAACTGATTGGGGGTATTCCGTGATTGCTATACGGGATGCTGCCACAGGTTCAATCATGCACGAGATCGTCATGCACGACCCTCTTACCAAGATTAATGAAGTCTATTCGCTAGCCTTCTCACACGACAAGCACACTCTAGCATCAGGCCATAATGATGGGACCATCCGAATTTGGGATCCAATCGCTGGCCGATGTCTTCAGGTGCTTCAGGGCTATGACAAAATCGTCAACTCCGTATATTTTGCACCAAAAAGAAAGCGGGCTGCTCGCATCAGGGTCGGACGATAAGACCTTACGATTATGGGATGTTGCCACAGGAGAATGCAAACGCATTCTCCAGTGGTTGATGATCCGGTTTGTGCGGTCGCAGTTTCACCCGACGGCAAACAGCTAGCATACGAATCTGTGTCTGACGACGGCGATACAACCCTACAAGTCTGGGATGCCACCACAAATAAATGCAGGCATCTTGTGAGGGTTGGCGGCGGCACGACTTGGGCCTGGGGAAGGAAAATTTCGTTTTCGCACGACAGCAACCTGTTGGCTCTCAACACATATGGCAAGGTCCAAATCTGGAATGTGATCGAGCACAAGTATACCAAGCTTCCTATTGAACTTGGGAAAGTGGCCTTCCTGAACGATAATCATCTAGCAACCACCGCCAGTTTAATGGGTGATACTGTCCAGATTTGGGACACGACCACCCTGAAATGCCTCCGGACATACTCCGGTCACGCTGACTCTATTTCAACTCTTGCACATTCGGGCAACTACCTTGTCTCAGCCTCTTACGATCGCACTATCCGAATTTGGGATGCATTCGCGATGCTGACCAATCACACTCATCAGACCAGCCACCATTTGAGCACTATTACGACTTTATCCTTCTCTTATGATGGCCACCACCTCGTATCAGGTTCCAACAACAGCAATGTTAAATAAAGTCTGGGAAGTATCGACCGGTCGGTGTGTGAATACGCTGAAAGGCCATGCAGACGGTATTTCGGAGGCACACTTCTCTCGCGACGGCCAGTGGATTGCGTCCTCGGACAACCGTGACTTGCGGGTTTGGGAGGCGGCCACAGGCAAATGCATGCACATTCTGGAAGTTCACGATGGACTCATAAATCGCACCGCCTTCTCATCGGATAGCAGACATCTGGCGGTGGCTTGTAAAATTGGACTTCACCCCCTCCTTAGTCATGATATCCAAGTTTGGGATGTGGTCCAAGGCATGCTTATCCAAACCCTTCAAGTCGCCAGGGACGAAGTTGACCACGATGCCCTGGTATTTTCGGAAGATGGCCGGTATTCCGCAGCTTCATCATCTCGAGTGACTCACATCTGGGATACAACCACATTCCCATACGAAATGGCACAGAAACTCAAGCATGATTTCTTTCATGGGCAACCGGCCTTCTTAAACAACAGCAGATATCTTGCAACATTTGCAGGCGAGTCGGTTCTCATTTGGGATATTAATCAAGGCCAACCCATCCACACCATCGATACCACAGTTCTTGATATGAGACCCCTCTCATTTGATATGAGGTGCCTCTCGTTTGATATGAGGTGCCTCTCGTTTGATATGAGGTGCCTCTCGATTGATATGAGGTGCCTCTCGATTGATATGAGGTGCCTCTCGATTGATATGAGGTGCCTCTCGTTTGATGAAAATAACTTCCGGGTTGCAGAACATGGGAAGGTTAGTATATGTGTCCGTCTACCATTTTCGCAAGGAGGTACTGTAGGCTTTCAAAATCCTAATAGTGCTGACAACTCTCTCCAGGACGCACTACCTTTCGAGGAACTTCTTTGGCCTGGCTATGGACTTTCTCGAGATCTAGAATGGATACTTCGAGATGGAGAGAAAGCCATCTGGTTGCCACTGGAGTATCGAGTAGGGTGCTATCGAGTTCTAGGACGCACCATAGCATTAGGGTGCTTCGGGGGTCATGTTCTCTTTCTGACTTTGTCTGAATCATGTTGAGAGGATATATATTTTGAAGAGTATCAGTCCCTTCCGGTCAGCGCATGCCATGACGGAACTCCCAGGTGTGAGTTAGGCAGCATCTCCTCCACCCGATGCTGAAAGAATCTGTTCCCATCCATACATAGCCCTCCTAGCCGTCCCACTCCTCGCCCTCCTCGCCCTGCTCGCAGCTCCGCGGCCCGCCTTCCACGGCGACAGGGGCATCCCTGGCGTCGACTTCAGCCTGACGCCGAACCACGGGAGAGAAAATACGCACAATCTCCTCGTGGGCGATGAAAGCCCCACCGTAAACGGGTTGGGTGGCGAGCATGACCCGCACCCGAGCTCGTGCTCGCAGTGGAGTACGGCGAGTCCGGGATGAGGGCCGAGGTGTTCTACCCCGACGACGACGACGACGGGCACTTTGCCTCCCCCGGGCGGGACTACAAGTTTAACATCATATCATCGCGCTCGGGAGAAGATGCGTCTGGTGGTGGTAGTCGCTGTACACTAGTTTTTGCCAACATTTGATGCCTCTTCTTCTGGGCCTTTTCAACCAGCCGTTGATGATCATCGAGAGAGGATTAAGTCATATCTTGCCAATACGCTGTAGACAAACCCACTGAAGGAGTCGGGGGTTATAACAGTCCCTTTCAAGTCTGACATTGATGTCGGACTGCCCCACGGGTCAACTGCTTTCTGCGTCGTCCTCTGCCCTCTCCGAGATCTCGTCCTCCTGCGACCCATCTTTGCGCATTCTGCAGAAATAGGACATGTGATCATGCACCTAGATAGTAACTAATCACGTCTGGATGCTGCTCTGGCTCGTGATTGACAGCTGAATCTGGAGATAAAGTAGCCCCGCTGCGATATCTCGGCGCGGAGAATGGGAAGGGGATGTTGATATCAGCACTTCGTATTTGCTTTCGAACAAGGTCGCGATTCATGTCTGCAATCTTAATCTGCCAGTACCTTATCGCGCTTATCTATCTTGGTACCCCCTGGCCTGGAACACCGCCCTTTACAAACGAAGCTTACGGATTACAGTTAGTGGACTGGCGCCACAGCAGAGCCGCTGAAGAGCAGGGAAGAGATTGCGCTTTACCTCTTTCGGGTCGGTGTGACGGCACTCCAGGTGGCAACCTGGTAGTGGCGGCGCGAATGCTTCGAACGTCACTTCCCTCCGTGCAAATGTAATTGCCCCGCTGCAGATTTTCATGGAAGCCCTGGCAGGAGCTCTTGGCGCGCCCCAGCCTCAGGCTTGCCCCGGATTCCAGTTGGGCGAGCTCGGTCAAGCTTCCAAGACACCTGCTTATTCTGGATGATAGCCGTCTTGGCACGCCCACCAACCGTTCGAGTGCATGGTCGTACGAACCACGGCTGGAGAGCAAAGGCAAAAAGGCTCAATCAAACGGTCCACTCCACCGGTGTCCAAGCCGAGGCTGGCCGCTTCCATTCGGTGTTCCTTTGGGGACAAGGGCTTATAAGTACCTAATGGTACCATCCTTCCACCATGCCCGTTGACGCCACCGAAGCCCGATTCTGGGGAAGGAGGCCCCACCATTTGCAAGTCATGCGTCCACTATCGTCACTGAACAACGGGCGACCTACACTAGAAAGGCAACGCATGGATCGATATCGCTAGAAAACTCTGCTCAAGGAAGTGGGCAGCAAATAACAGGTATTGCAATGTACATACATACATGCCCGTTCAATACATTGGTAGATACCTAGGTACTGTACCTATTGATCTACCCGACCCGTGCTACCCCAGCAGTTCTCGTCTGCATATTGCCAGCAATACTTTCGCATTCCAGTTAGATGACCAACAACCGAACTGCTCTTCGTTTGGACCAGCAGGTATGATGGGGCTGATACCCCTCGGTATGTACCCCAGCCTCCACAACTACTTATCTGTGTAGCATTGGGCTGTACCTCGCCCAAGTCGTGCAGGGTCTCGGTGACCAAGAATGGACGTCATCGGCCTGGGCCGCCAAGATGCAACGGCCGTTCCCCCCAATCAGAAAACGCCCGATGTCCAGGGGGGCACATACCTGCCCATGTATGCCACTCGGTTAGCTGCAGTCGCACGCTGTCTGAAAGTATTGATAAGATGTCGTGCCAACCAACCTCCCTCGATCTTTCGAGTTCCCAGAAACCCACCCTTCCCTCCTAGGCAGCGTGGTCGAATAGAGCAAATCGACCTTTTCTCTAGAAGCTGCCAGACAATTAGACGCCCAACACCATGTCGTCAAACGAGGGAGTACACGATGCCGAGAAGTCAACTGGCGAATATGCCGTCCACAACGACTACCCCCCCGGCACCAACCTCCACATCCGGGGGATAGAGACGGACCCCAACACGTCGCTGCACCGCGGCCTCAAGGCACGGCACATCACCATGATTGCCATCGGAGGCGCCCTTGGGACCGGTCTCATTATCGGCACTGGCAAGGCGCTGGCACAGGCCGGGCCGGGCTCGGTTTTCCTCTCGTACAGCATTGTCGGCTTCCTCGTCTTCATTGTCATGTCTGCCTTGGGCGAGATGGCCGCCTGGCTGCCCATGTCGGCTGGTTTCACCGGTTACGCCTCGAGGTTCTGCGACCCCAGTCTGGGATTTGCCCTGGGATGGACGTAAGTCTTTGCGCTGTGCCCAACTTGATCCCCTGTGATTGACTGGCAACTGACTCGCGGGGAACTGCAGGTATTGGTTCAAGTACATCATCATCACCCCGAACCAGCTGACTGCGGCATCCCTGGTTGTCCAGTACTGGGTCGATCGCGATGTTGTCAACCCGGGTGTCTTTATCGCCATCTTGTTGGTCGTCATCTGCTGCATCAACTACTTCGGCGTCCGTTTCTTCGGCGAATTCGAATTCTGGCTGTCCAGTTTCAAGATCATCACCGTCGTCGGTGTTATCCTCTTGACCTTCATCCTTGCCCTGGGTGGTGGCCCCAACCACGACCGAACGGGCTTCCGGTACTGGCGTGATCCTGGGTGAGTCTGCTTCCTCTCCGATGCCCCTGGGGCTCCCTCGGTGGCTCTGTGGAACTAGACCGGCAATTCAATGGCTGACACTTTGAACAGCGCCTTCAAGCCCTACATCATGAAGGGTGCTGCCGGTAACTTCCTTGCTTTCTGGTCGACCATGGTGATTGCCACTTTCGCCTACTTGGGCACGGAACTGGTTGGCGTGACCGTCGGCGAGGCACAGAATCCTCGCAAGACGATCCCCCGCGCCATAAAGTTGACTTTCTTCCGCATCGTCGTCTTCTACGTGATCTCCGTCCTCCTTCTCGGCATGGTCGTCAAGTATGACGATAAGCTACTCGTCTTCGCCAACGGCGCCTCGACGGGCGCCAACGCGTCTCCATTTGTCGTCGCCATCACCATCGCGGGGATTAAGGTCCTCCCCGACATACTGAATGCCTGCATCCTGATCTTTGTCTTCTCGGCTTCGAACTCGGATCTGTACATCGCAAGCCGCACCCTGTACGGGCTCGCCTCGGACGGCAATGCGCCCGCCATCTTCAAACGCGTCGACAAGAGGGGTGTGCCGATCTACGCCCTGGGATTCTCGGCATGTTTCGCGCTGCTCGCTTTCATGAACGTCAGCGACGACTCCAAGACCGTCTTTAGCTACTTCGTCAACCTGACCACCATTTTTGGCATCTTGACGTGGATATCCATCTTGACGACCCACCTCTGGTTCCTCAGGGCCCGCAAGGCCCAGGGCATCCCCAACTCGGCCATGCCCTACGTCGCCCCCTTCGGCATCTACGGCACCTACTTCGCGCTCGGCTTCTGCATCCTCATCGCGCTGACTAAGAACTTTGACGTCTTCGTCATCTCCCTCAAGGGCCGCTTCGACTACCAGACCTTCATCACCGGCTACATCGGCATCCCGCTCTACTTCATCCTCCTCTTCGGCCACAAGTTCGTCACCAAGAGCAAGGGCGTCAAGCCGCACGAGGCCGACTTCTACACGGGGAAGGACATCATCGACCGCGAGGAGGAGGAGTTCCTGGCGGCCAAGAAGGCCAAGATGGAGTCGACGGGTGCCGAGAACGGGAACTGGTTCTACAAGAGGTTCGTGTCGTGGTTGTTCTGAGTGGGGGACCTGGGGCCGTCGGAGATTGTTGTAGAATATAGTAACGCATGCTATGATTAATGAATCTTTGTCAACTGAACCTGATGCTGTTTTCGTGGAATGTCCCATTGCCACTGTTACTGTGGACGTGCGATCAGAATTTTCGGGTCTGAACCATGATAACCCGGCACTAATCTGGGGCTCCGAGAAGTTGCCGCTCTCGATACGCTTCTTGACGAAGATGAAGGCATCCATAATCAAGATTTCCGAGCAGAGCGTTCATGCAGCGTTGGCGCATCTAGTGTAGAGATTTAGACCTACATTCAGGGGTGAAAAGGGGTAAATTGGTCTGTGTGAAACTCTTGGTCGTGTGGGGATGTCATCTTCCACAAAGTGATGCGCCTTCTTTGTCCCTAGCCATTAGTAAATCCACGTGGCGAAGCCATCCTCGCTGACGGCAACTAGTTAGAAGGCCATGATATGATTCAGTTCAGTTCAGTTCAGTCCAGTCCAGAGGATGAAGAAATAGAGATTCATCTAGGGTTTTATGAGAAGGCTCTCAGGATGGGGTGAGTGGTGACTGAGCCTCTCGTCGCTGATGTCAATATCACGATAGCCAGGGTGATTCTCTTTCAGAAACGTAAGCCACGTTCGGACTGCCTGCTGTCGAACGCAGAAGTCCCGACGAAACTGGCGGATGATGTGACCTTGCTGGACGGCATTTGACGGCCGCAGAACGATGATATCTAGCTCAGGAGGGAGCAGGGGGAGCTGGGAGTAGACCTTCCCAGTGTCACGAAGGAAGTTGACAACAAGGCCTTTGGATTTGTACTGCTGGCCGCGTATCTGGAACACCTCAATGTGGATGCGTGCAATAAGCAGCTAGACCTCAGAGGGGTCCATTTCTGGAAGTCTGCGGGCATGCGCCATTCTCTGCAGGCAGGTGGCAAGTTGGCAACAGCTGCATTGCTGTTACTATTGCTATTTCTAGAAATGGCAATAGCGATAGACAGCAACAGCAAGAGTGACAGCAAAAGCAATAGAGAGAAATAGTAATAGCGATGGATAGCAAAGGCAATAGGAATAGACAGCGACAGCAAGAGTGATAGACAGCAACAGAAGAGCAATAGGCAGCAATTGTAAGAGCAATAGACAGCAATAGTAAGAGCAATAGACAGCAATAGTAAGAGCAATAGACAGCAACAGCAAGAGCGATAGACAGCAATAGCAATAGCAATAGCAATAGACAGCAATGGCAATAACATGGAATAGACAGCGACAGCAATAGGCGACAGCGACAGCGACTGCCACCTGTGATTTAATGACCGCCTGCCCGCGGAGCAAATAGCGAATGCCCCTGGAGAAATTCCCTTCTGGAACCCAGGTGGCCCAAACTGTGCCCTCGCGAAAAGCTATGCATTTGTTTATTTTCAGAGCCCCGCGGAGTCGCAGCGCCCACCCATCTGTCTGAACCAGTTTTGACGGCATTCCTGATCATATCCTGAGTAGCGCCTGAGTAAAGCGGCGAGACGTGGTGAAGAACAACTTACGGCGTGCCAAGCTGTACACATTCACCTTGGACTCATGGTGCATGAAGGTTTTCATTCGTCGAGCTTGAACCGTACGTGAATGGAGTGATGCAGCTGGATTCACCATTCTCTCTTAGTCAATCAGTTGCTCCGTCACACACAGAGCCGATGGTGAAGTCAAGAAATTCCCCGACCTATATAAACCTGCCTTGCATCCCTAGATTTGGCAACGGGTCTGTCTTCGACATACACAAACCGTTGTCAGGCATTAGCCACTCCGCGACTGGGAAAGCCACTTCCCCTCACCACCATGACAATGGAGCCCTTGGATCCCTGGGATCAATTTGCCATGCGCGCTTATATGCAGGTTGCTGTCTGTTTCCCTTTTGATGACAACTGCTCCAAGATAGAGGCATCACAGCGAAAAGGCGATGTCCTGCATCATCTGAGGGCCGCTCTTGACACGCTCGCCAAACAGCGTCCAAAACTGGCTGGAATCTTGCAGCTTGGCCACGACTCCGATCAGTCTGGCCGGATTTTCTATCGAGAGTCTTCTAGTGATGCCATCCCACTCAGTCTCTTCGCACTCGGAGACCACTTTCCCTCCAGCTACAACCAACTCAAATCCAACGGATTCCCCCCCGACATCTTCGTGCATCCAACCTTTTCTTTGGACGGGTCGCTTCGTCCGGGTGAGCCTACTGTAGCTTCTCGCGTACGCGTCTCCTTTATCTCCGGTGGTCTCATACTTTGGCTGCATCTCCATCATTCCCTGGGCGATGGAGGGTCTCTCAACATGTTTCTTGAAGATTTTGGAGCTTGTACCCGTGGCATTCCCCTGAATTCTCCCGGAATTCGCGCCGTTCCCAATCTCCCGCTCACCAGTCAAGATCAAGACGTCCAGACCTTGCAGGAATTGTTGGCTGCATGTCCGGAGTACAGCATTCTCCCGAACCCAATGGGTCCCACAAGTCCGGAACTCCGCCCGGGTGGCACAGCAATCGGCGAGATCAAGAAAGCAGGAAAGATCTTCGTCTTCCAAGAGAAGCGACTCGACGAGCTAGCGGACGTGATACGTTCTGAGGTCGGTATATCCATTAAGGCGTCCCACTACGTCTGTCTCGCAGCTCTTACCTGGGTCCATACCACCATCGCACGGCTCGAAACCGAGGACTTCGTGCTGCCCTCGAATCGGGTGCAAGATGCGAAACTTTTGACACCCTTCGACTGGGCCTGGCGCTGCCTTGGAGAAAAGACCGAGAGTTACACGGGAAATACAGTGGGGACACTCCTGACGCAGATGCAGGTCTCAGAGCTCATACATGCACATGACGATGCCGAGGGGCTCTCCCGAGTTGTCCAGTCTCTCGCCATGTCCCTTGCTTCGGTGGCCAATCCTTGGCTACTGCATCGTAACAACCTCCTCGCCAGGATCGAAGACCCTCGCTTGCTCGGGCTAAACTTCGACGCTCGACAGCCACAGGAGCTGGGCTTTAACACGTGGCGGTCCATCGGGAATAGGGCTAACTGGAGCATCCCGGGAGTCCCGTCGCACGCCTCAGACGCGATCCGCCGCGTCCAGGGAGAGTGGAACATGGCCGGGGCGAACATCATGCCTGCGCGAGGACACTCGGATGCCTGGGAACTTCTCATTACGATCCCCGAGTGCTCCATGGATGCTCTTTGCAAGGACCACCAGTGGTTGAAGTGGGTTGACGAGATTATCGATGAAAAGGGCATCCGCCAAGCTCAATCCCTGACCGAGGTTGATTCGACTCTAGAATAGGGGGAACATCGGAAACTTTTGATAGACATCAGTTTTCTTTCGGAGGGAGGGAAATACAGAACGCGAGGTGTAACTGAGGCACTGGAACTGTTGTCCCCGTGAATGACTCTTGATTTCCTATGTTGAAGCTTAACGTTTGGTAGCACTTCGTAGGACTTTGCCTCAGCTTGCCAGGCCCTTGAGTCTCACAGCCAACCTTCACTTCTTGCCTAGTTGTCTACAATACCTTGCCCTCTTCAGGCCATCCTCATCAAACGCTGCTAAGCCGCATCCACCCATCCACCACCATCCTCGCGTACCTCCTAGCCAGCTCTCTGTCGTCTCCCTGCGCGGTCCACCTCCTCGACACCATCTTGGCTAAGGATCCTGATGAGAGTCACCCATGCTGCCGTTATCATCTGGACAGAGCGAGAGACACAGAACCCCCCATACCCGTGATAACCATCCACGTATCACAACGGCTTGAAGATGTCGTTTCCAGTGCCAACACAGCCACAGCCACACCCTTCAGTATGATGAGTCATCCGACGTGCCAAGATGTCGGGTCAGTCTCTTCGGATCTAGTCGGCAATTAGATCTCCGCTCGGTTACGGGATTGGCCGGTTCCAGGTCTAGGCCAGGGGGTGGCCAATGGGCAAGCCCATCCTGAAGCGGTGTGTGGGGAGGTGTTATCGTATCGTCTCCATCGTCAACTTGACCATCCAGGTACTCCCCATACATGTGTATGGTGTAAAGCGACTTCGTCAATTGCGCTTCTCAATCACAACCAACCTCCTGTCGCCTTGCCGTAACAGCATATCTCGAGTAACTGCTTCCTTCTCAAAACACAGTTGCCATGATCTGCCTGTCCAAGGCCGATGAGGGTGCCTTCAGGCACCTTCTCTTCAACCAGAGCCCAGGGCCACTGGCTGCCCATCAGACGACCTGTGAGGACCTCAATGGCATCTCTAACCTTCGGGAGCATGTCAACGCATGTCAAGACGGCGGTGGCGGCGGAGCCAGTGGCGGCATCTTCTCTGCGCTTGACGAGAAAGACTTGCTTCATTCCCAACAACCGCCGGGCACTGAACCGCCCGTCGCGAATGCGGGGAAATGGTCCTCTGGTATGTTTCTCGCTGTGCCTTGTCTGTTGCTTGTCCGCTGCTGACTTTGTTCTCCAATTCTCAGGATCATCCTCGCGCCCCGAGACGGAATCCGGTGGTGATGACCGTAACCGTCTCTCCTCGACCCGCCTGGCGTGCCTTGGGCGCGCCCGGAGCTGGGTCTTCCTGGTCCTTTCAATTCTTCCAATCGCATTCATGCTCTTTGCCGTGTCTTCTTACCTGAAAATTGTGCCTTCCCGAGTCGGTAAGTCTCCCCTCAAACGCAGTCAGTCGCGCAAAGGGAGCAACTGAGCTTCCCCGTGAAGCCGATCGACATCTAACTCGACGTCCAGAAGGCCCCCTGGTCTCCGCCAGCAAGCCAGCTCCCTCCCGTAAGAGGTCCAGCTGCGTCTCCGGCGGTGTATCGGATGCCAAGTACAACACGCCTCTCCACGTCGGCGCGCTCCTGATCATCCTGTTCGTCTCGACAACGGCCTGTGCCTTCCCCCTGTTCGCCGTCAAGTTCCCCGCCCTACGCATTCCCGGCCGCTTCTTCTTCGCCGTTCGGCATTTCGGCACCGGTGTCCTCATTGCCACTGCCTTCGTCCACCTGCTGCCTACCGCCTTCCTCTCGCTTGGCAACCCGTGCCTGTCTGGTTTCTGGGTCAAGGATTACCCCGCGATGCCTGGTGCTATTGCCCTGGCTGGTATTTTCCTGGTGACTGTGATCGAGATGATATTCCATCCTTCTCGGCAGATCACGCCTGTCCAGGTTGTATCCAAGTACCCTCATAACAGCCGACCGTTTGACAACCGTACGGAAGAGAACGTGGCCCGGGTGCGAGATCTGGGTCCCTTGAACGGCAGGACCTCGAGCATCGGCCACCAACTGACCCACCTGACACGACAACAGAGCTGCAGTGGCCGGGTTGAATCATCGCCCGGGGATGGGAACGAGGTTGTGCGAACGAAGTCCGATCTCGACTGCAGGCCCGCCGGCGACCAAGAACGATTCGCAGATGACTCTCAAGAGCCTGAGTTGACTCCAGAGCAGAAGCAGCGTAAGGAACTTCTGCAGTGTATCTTGCTGGAGGTCGGGATTCTCTTCCATAGCGTCTTCATCGGCATGTCTCTGAGCGTCTCGGTCGGCAACGAGTTCATCGTCCTGCTGATTGCTATCGCGTTCCACCGTGAGTATTCCATGGAACCCCCCAACCCCCAAGTATGCAATCGACCTCTGCTCTAACCCAGCATCCGTGTCGCAGAAACCTTTGAAGGTCTCGCTCTCGGGGCTCGCATCGCGGCCGTCAATTGGCCCAAGCAGCAGTCACAGCCATGGCTAATGGCCCTCGCATACGGATGCACGTATGTCGCCCCCCTCCCTCCTCACCCCCTCCGTCCACAATATCGCACACACAAATACTCACGCGCAAATCACACTCCAGGACCCCTTTAGGCCAGGCGATCGGCCTCGCGACGCACACGCTCTACAACCCGGGCTCCGAGGTCGGGCTGATCCTCGTCGGGGTGATGAACGCCATCTCCGCCGGCCTGCTGACCTTTGCGTCCCTCGTCGAGCTGCTGTCCGAGGATTTCCTGAGCGACGCGAGCTGGCGTTACCTCCGGGGCAGGCGCCGTGTGTATGCCTGCCTACTGGTCTTCTTCGGCGCCTTCTTCATGAGCCTCGTCGGCGCTTGGGCCTGAACTCTCGCCTGGGTTGCCTTTGACGTGTCTCTCATTTTATCTCGGGACGCGCACGCAGAGTGTGCGATCTGGAGATTGATTGGACCAATCTACCCCCCTGAAATACGCGCTTTGATCTGGCTCTCGAGGCCACCTCTAGCACTGTTCGTTTCTATTACTTTCCTTCGTATTCTACTTGAGCCCCGAATTTGTCATGTTTTCGTTATTTCCTCTCTTCAAGAAAACCAGAAAACCCGAGAAGAAGAAAAAGGTGGAGGGGAGAGAGAGGTGGAGGAGAAAGAAGTCAAAAAGTTTGTTGTTTATTCCGTGGGAACCAAAAGGTGTCCCGGCAAATTCAACATTTGCCTGGCGAATCTCATTTTCTTCAATCAACCCATATGTGTTGTAGCTTACAGGGGACGGGAGGTGGAGGAACTGAACTTCAGGTGGATTTCTTGTCTTTAGTCTCTCCATCTTCGCCCCGTTCTGAGGCACTTGTCGGCTTACGTCGGCCTCAATCGGCACCTCCAGAAAGGAGATCACTTAAACCGGACCTGCATAAGCCGTGACTCGGTGCTCCCTTACTGGCACTATGACAACACGGAGAGCATGACCGACCAGCTCCGTGATATGCAGTCCCGCGAGTTTGCAGCGGACAGGAGTGGGGGTGCTGCGACTGCCGGGCCGATACGGGCCGTCATGGCTCTGCCTTCAAACTTCGTGATTCACGATTATTCCATGCTAACTTCATCCCATTTCTACCCACCAAGCAAGGCCGCCTATACCTTCCACCAGCACGCGCAATGGCGGGCGGCAGGAAGTCAAGATCCGCCGGCCCAGTGCCACCGTCGACCACCCTCGTTCTCGACAACGGCGGCTATTCAATCAAGGCGGGCTTTGTAACTGCCGACAAGACAGACGAACCCCGGGTCATCCCCAACTGCATCGCCCGCGACCGGCAGCGAAAGATCTACGTTGCCTCGGACCTCGAGAAGTGCAAGGATTTTGGCGACATAGCCTTCCGCCGCCCCGTGGAGAGGGGATTCATTGTCAACTGGGAGGCGCAGAAAGAGATCTGGGATCACGAGTTCTTCGACGCCAAAGCCCCTCAGAAATGCGACCCCTCCGAGACCCGACTCATTCTCGCCGAAGCCCCAAACTCCTTGCCCGCTCTACAGTCACACTGCGACCAGATCGTGTTTGAGGAGTACGGCTTTGCGAGTTACTATCGCGGCATAGGTGCGTCGCTCTCGTCCCGAGCTACCTAGCCAGCTTCTGAGCTAACAACCGGTCTTCATAACAGGCCCGGCATTCAACGCGTACAACGATATTCAAGGGATCTTCCACACGCCACGAGAAGCAGACGCCGCCGTCGAGATCCCGGCCGAGATCATCCTGCTGATCGACTCGGGCTACTCGCACACGACAGTCAGCCCAATACTCCAAGGCCGGCCCCTCCACCCGGCCATCCGCAGGCTCGACGTCGGGGGCAAGCTCATGACGAACTACCTCACGCGCCTCCTCTCCGTGCGCCACTTCGACATGCGAAACGAGACGCACATCGTCAACGAGATGAAGGAGAAGGCCTGCTACGTCTCGCTCGACTTCAAGGGCGACCTGGAGAAGACGTGGAAGGGCACCCGCGGCGAGCGCCGCGAGCCGTACCTGACCGGCGCCGGCATCGCAAAGGACTACGTCCTGCCCGACTCGCACACCCGCTTCAAGGGCATCGTCCGAGACTACGACCCCGCCGCGTCATCCCGAGCGCGTCGTCCCGGCGGCGCCGGCGGTGGCGGTCCCGCCGCCCCCTCGAACGAGGACGTGATCACGCTGCGCAACGAGCGCTTCACCGTCCCGGAGCTCCCGTTCAGCCCGTCGGACATAGGGATGCGGCAGCCCGGGCTCGCGGACCTTGTGATGCAGTCGCTCGCGGCGCTGCCGGCGGGCCTGTGGCCGGCGCTGCTGGCCAACATGGTCGTGGTCGGCGGCAACGCGCTGCTCGACAACTTCATCCAGCGCCTGCAGACAGAGGTCCTGCAGCGCGTCCCCGACGACTGCATCGTCCGCGTCGCGCGCCCGCCCGACCCCGTCGCGAGCACGTGGCTCGGCGCAGCCGGGTTCGCGACACATCCGCACGCCGATAGGCTTGCTGTCACGAGGGAGGAGTACGAGGAGAACGGCGCGGCGTGGGTGGCGAGGAAGTTCGCTGCTGGTCTTGGGGCTGATTAGGCGGTGTGTTGTTCTTGACACAGACGGGGCGCTAGTTCTCCTCGTTGGGGAGAATTGGTCTTCGCCGTTGACAGGCATATCAGGTGCCGACCGCTACCTCGGAGAAAGGGCCGCTGTTCCTACGTCAGGGATACCGTTTGAACCCTCGGACGTTGAATGCCATTTACGACAGAGCTGCTACCAGATCGAGCAGACTTTGGCGCCGACTCACCGTGTTGGAGACCTCGATGCTGATGGCCACACACTCTCAAGCCTACCATTCTTGCCAGTGATTAGGTCAGAGACGATTCGATGAGCTGCTTGCCGTCACCCTTCATGTCGTCTATCAAATGTTTCCCGTCATTTTGATATTGCATCCATCCAGAGTACGTCTAGTTGATTGGCCATACCAATCCTCTCATCCGGTGCTGTTGCGCTGACCTTGACCAAAGGGCCTATTTGGATGCAACACACATTGTCGTTGGGCATGGCGAGGAAATATCAATCGTGCGCCCATTGGGTAGTCTCAGCTTATTGGAAGCCCGAAATGGTCAGGCGAAGCACTCTTGGAAGACATCACGGGGTAACATCCATTCGTGAGTAGACTTGGATTGCTGGGTGGAAATGGCGTCCCGTGTTTGGGAGCACACCCACAGAGAAGCAGACGGTAATCCGAGAGGTCAGCTCTGAGATAGATAGGCACCGAGATCAAGCACTATCTCGCCGTCAGAAGGAATTGCTCTTGCCAACGCAGCAATTGGTGTTGATATTTCATAAGGCCTGTTTCTAGTCAAACCAAGGCTGCGGAAGGCGAGTGCTAAGATATTCGTGTATGTACATAGCAGGGATGAGAGGAGAAATGCAGAGCCAACACAGATCATCGCAGTCGTTAGGGAGTGGGTATCCATATCCATCATCATCGTGTCATGTAACGTAAAAATGACTCCTCGCCAGCGCCAAACATTTGAGGGGGGAGGGAGAGAGGGCGGAGGGTTCACGCCAGACGTGGGGAAACCCAGGACGTCGCAGACAGGGGCTCGATGAGGGGAGAGAACTAGATAGGTGGAAGAAAAGAAAGAAAACTCCGCCGGGGGGGGGGGGGGGGGGGTTATTCGGGCTGCCGAGGCTCAGTACAGATCCTTGTACCGACGGCCCCTTTTCGAACACCCTACATCAACGTGTTAGCGAGGAACCATGCTTCGTTCAAGGCATCTCTATTCGGCTCGCTCAGTCCGGGCAAGGGGTTTCCTACAATCACACTGCAAATCCGAGTTAGCAAAACGTGCCCTAGCAGATATCAGGAGACTGTAGATTGAAACTCACATGAACATGGCTCGATCCTTCGTTGTGGATGATGCAGTAGCCGCCGCCACAGTTGCGACACATGCGCTGTGTGGTGTCGATACAATCGTGGCACTGGCGCTTGTCAGCTTTTCATCGGGTTCCGGCAATATTTCTCCCTCCCTGGATGGGCGATTAGCAGGCCGAACTTACGTTCATTCCACATTCCCAACAGCTTTTCGCCACCCGGGTCTAGACGAAGTCAGCATCCAGTACCCGATATGTGTGAGTATGCCAAACGGTGGCGAGAGAGCGAAGAAGAGGAGGGGAGGCAGGGGAAGGACGCCCCGAGAGCAGGTAGACGCCTCGAGGGGCATTGACCTTGGCATACAATTTGGGCAGCGCGCCTTGGGCTCAGGGACAGGAGGGGGGATCTCAAATGGCGGGTATGTGGTGTGCATCTCTCCCTTGTCCGGGAACTCTTCCCCTCATGATCCAGGTCAAACTTCCCCCCTTCTTCTACACGTCCCGCACCACCTCCATTTGGAAGCGTTCGATCCAGCAGCGACCACCGACGTAGCAGAGTCCGTCCCGTACCTTGTGCTTTGGATCACCGTTGTTGTTCGTCGCATTCGCGCCACCCGCCCCGATGAAACCACCACCGCCCACGACATCGCCGCCCGGGTCCGCGCCACGGGGCACCTGGGCCCAGGGCCCCGCGTAGCAGGATTCGCACCACCACCGATGGCAGGCCGTGCAGTACCGGTCGCGGAGGCAGGCGGCGCACCGCGGGATGAAGCGCGCCACCGCCTCCCCCGCCTTGTACCGGCCCCCCAGGCCGCGAGGGTTGAGCGCCTGCCCGGACGGGCACATGGCGACCTTGACGTTGGCCGAGTGCAGCGGCGCGTGCCGGAGGAGCGGGAACCGCCCAATCTCCGCGCTGGTACCGGCACTGCTGCTGCTGCTGCCGTTGCTGTCCCGCCTCTCGCCCCGCCCGCAACCCTCCTCCTCCCCGCCACCACCCCCGTTCCCCCAGACCGTCCACCCCTCCGGCGCGCACCCACAGCCGGCGCAGCCGCCCAGGCTGTACACCGCGACGCCCCACTGGGGCACGTCGGGGGGCCCCGCGGCGGAGCGGGCGCCGTCGACGTCGACGGCGGCACCCCAGGCGCGCGAGTTGAGGTGGCGCGGCCCCGTGCAGAGGACCGCGTCGAAGGCGATGACGCCGTCGCAGGCCACCAGGGTCTGGGCCCAGTCCGGGTTGACGGGCCGGCAGCCGTCGAGCTGCCAGCCGCGCCGGCCGTACCAAGGCTCCGCGTCGGCGTCGGCGGCCGCGGCCGCCGGCGGGGAAGACGCCGCGAGGGCTTGTTGGCTGCGCGCATTCCACGCCGGGCCCACGGCCGCGGGGATGGGGCGGGATGGGGCGGCGGGCGTGGGTGCGGGCGCGGGCGGCGCCGGCGCCGCTGGCTGGTCCGCCTTCTTGCCGAAGATGTAGAGGCCCTTGAGGCGCGGGGTGCCCTCGGGTCTGGAGGCGCGGCAGGCGTATTGCAGGGCGCCGCGGAGCTTGCGCTCGTTGAGGTGCTTGCACTCGCGGAGGGAGAGGATGCGGACCGAGTAGGACGCGTCGGTCAAGATGTCGTGGACGAGGTCGGCGGTCACGGACAGGCCGTCGAGCACGAGGACCTGGATGTCCCGGAGGATGTTGAGGCGGCGTAGGTTCGAGAAGATGCCGCGCAGGGGGCCGGAGTAGAACCTGGGGGTTTGTGAAAGAAGGGTGGTCAGTTGTCGGAACGGGGTGCGCGATGATCGATGGTGTGGGGGGTACTCACTCATCCTCTGTGAGGTTCTCGTCAACCTGGACGTTGCGCCATGTCTCGCCGCCGTGGTCTATGCCGTCGATTTCGAATTGGGCGGTCTTGCAGGGCGTCAGGTCGAGGCGGCGGAAGACCTGAGGCGTGTCATAGATAAGATAGCGGAAAGCGCGGGAGGTGGCGGCGAGATTCAGGACATCAGCGACAGGCAAGTAGGGGGCGGTATGCCCCAGAATCAATGAATTCGACAGCAGCTGGAGCAAGGCGCTGTGCTGGATCTCGTGTGGCAGGACTTGGCACGAGTCGACTTGGTTCATCGTTCGATAATGGGTTCTGGGGATGTTGTTTGGATTTCGTGTCGCAAGGTGCGGCTTCCCCGATCAATTAAATAACTGTCCCCGGAGTCCGGGCCGTAATTCATGGGGCTGCCGTCCCGCCAATGGCCTATATCGGATCAGGCGGTAAGTACCAACCGGTGGTGTGGTGGTCTTCAGTTGGCCAGCCAAAATATCGCGCAGGAATTACATGTATGTACCAGTCCGGTTCTTCATCCTTTGATTTGAGTGTCCTCTAAAAACCCGCGGTAGGAATCTATTATTCTGATGTATCGCAATCGGTGAACCAGCAGGCATGGAACTCTGAGCTCAATGGGACAGGTTGCAATTTGACAGGTGGCAGCATGTGATAGCCGCCAGGTACCTATGCCATACTGCGGTAGATGTTCGACCAGATTACCCGGTGGTCCAAGGAAATGGCCCTGATGCGCTATGGCGGCCATTCCGGATCGAGAACGTCCGACTCGAATCGAGACTTGAGCGGAGCTGAGGCAAACTCCAGAGACGCGATATCGACGCATCCCACTCTCACACCATCACAGGACAATTTTATCGGGCATGCATGGAGGGGTAACAAAGCTGGGGCGCTAGTGCGGGCTCTACCCCACGCTACAGGCGTGCTACGGTCTTGGCCACAGGCCGATGATGATGGAATTTACAAGAATCTGCTGACTGATCATCTTTGCCGCTGCGCCTGCGGTTTGGCGACAGCGCCCTGCTTTTGCTTTTTACTCCCAGCAGAGCATCAGCATTAGTCTGCCATGTTTTGTTTAGGTAGAGCTGCTAGGCACGCCACGTCACCGACGTGCCTGGTTTCTTCCTCAGCATCCTCCTTCCTCGAATCTCCAATCCCAGCCCTTCCATCGTGACAAGACCCAAGACCCATATATTCAAACCGCGTACCACCGTCATAATGGCAGACCAGCCAGTCCAGCTTGACTGGTCAGCCTCTTTCGACGTCGGCCATCCGTCGCGATACGCCACCAAGGACCTTCAAGGCGACAAGATCCTCCTCCCACAGTCTGCTCTTGAGCAACTCCTCGCCGCGTCGACAACGACTGGGCCGTCAAGTTCGCACACCTTTACTGCCTTCGACCCTTCCAACCCTTACTCTGTTGCTGCCGCGCAGCAAGAGCGCTCACTTTATCGAGAGACCTTCCAACAACTGCCCCATCCGCTGATGTTCCACCTCGTCAACCGTCGCAACGGCAACGCTGTCTATGCCGGCATCCGAGAGTTTTCGGCGGAAGACGGCGAGGTGGCGCTCAGTCCATACCTCCTGGAAGCTCTGGGGATCCGAGAGGAGGAATTGAAGACACAGAAGCCAAAGCAGGACGGAGAAGTGATCGACCTGACTGCGGACGGCGACCACGACCACGACCACGACACAGCGCAGGACGGTGGAGTGAGCATAACAGTCAAGGCGAGACAATTGCCGAAGGGTACATATGTCCGGTTGCGGCCGCTCGAAGCAGGCTATAACCCTGACGACTGGAAATCGCTTCTCGAAAGGCAGCTACGCGCAAGTTATACCACCCTCACCCGAGACTCCATGCTCTCGGTCCGGGGCGTCAAGGGGGAGGAGTTCCGATTCCTGGTGGACAAGTTCCAGCCCGAGGGAGACGGCATTTGTGTCGTGGATACCGACTTGGAAGTGGACATCGAGGCGTTGAACGAGGAGCAGGCACGAGAAACCCTGCGCCAGATCGCCTCCAGGAGTCAACGGGCTCCGGGCACTGCGGCTGGAAGCTCGGAGGGCCATACGATAGATATATGGAAAGATGTTGAAGGCCAGGTCCTCGAAGGTGATTATATCGACTATGACCTGCCATCGTGGGATCGGTCACGGCCCCTAATCATCGAGTTGTCGGGCATTCAAGAGGGGGAGGAAATTGATCTGTTTGTCAGTCCTAAATCCGCAAGGCAACGGGCCCTTCCCCGCGACTCGGAGCACGCATTTGGAGAGTTCTCCTCGCCTCGGAGCGGCTCGAAAGACATCATCATTCAGCCTACCAACGTTGAGCTGGAGGGAGCCGAGGGACTCTTGATCTCCGTTCACGGATACTCTCGCCCAGATCTGTCTAGCAACCCGAATCTCACCCCACGACGATTCAAGCTTCGGGCAAAGGCTGCCGATGCCGAAGGCTCTTCGGCAAGGCCAATAGAGATAGAGAGCTCTTCGCAACATTCGCCGGATGATGAACAGTGCAAAAACTGTCTTCAATGGGTACCCAAGCGGACCATGATCCTCCACGAGAACTTCTGCCTCCGCAACAACACCGTCTGTCCGCAGTGCAAGGAGGTCTTCCAGAAGTCTTCGCAAGAATGGGCAGACCACTGGCACTGTCCAAGCCACCCCGATGCGTACGGCTCCACGGCGCTGAGTAAGGCCAAGCACGAATACGTCCAGCACACGCCGCACACCTGCCCCTCATGCGGCCCCTCCTCCCCCTTCACCTTCCCGTCCCTCCCCGAGCTCGCCCGCCACCGCACCACTGTGTGCCCACACAAGATCATCCTCTGCCAGTTCTGCCACCTGGAGGTGCCGCAGGAGGGCGACCCGCTCGACCCGGCCTCGGAGGCCGAGACGGTCATCTCGGGGCTGACAGCGCACGAGCGGGCCGACGGCGGCCGCACGACCGACTGCCACCTGTGCGGGGCCATCGTGCGGCTGCGCGACACGGCGGCGCATCTGGCGCACCACGAGCTGGACAAGGCGCGGCGGCCCCGGCCGGCCATCTGCCGCAACGCGCTGTGCGGGCGCACGCTGCACGGCGTGGGGCCGCGTGGCCGGGTCGGGACGGCGACGCAGATGGGTCAGGGCCCCGGGAACGACATCGGCCTGTGCAGCCTGTGCTTCGGCCCGCTGTACGTCAGCATGTACGACCCCGAGGGCCGGGCGCTGCGGAGGCGCGTCGAGAGGCGGTACCTCGGCCAGCTGATGAGGGGGTGTCAGCGCGCCTACTGCCGGAACGAGTGGTGCCGCACCGGGAGGAAGAACCTGTCCCTGGACGAGCTCGAGCCCAGCGAGGCGGCCGTGCGGCCCATCGTGCAGGCGCTGGACGTGCCGGGGGAGGCGATGCACTGCTGCGTCGACGAGACGACGCAGAAGAGGAGGGGGCTGGCGGAGATGCTGGCCGCTGAGGGGGTGTGGGAGGTGGAGTGGTGTGTCGCCGCGCTGGAGGCCGAGGGCGGCGACCTGGCGGAGGCGAGGGCTTGGTTGGCGGACTGGGCGCCCAGGAAGAGTGCGGCCTGAAATCCCCAGTATATCCTCAACGCAAATATTTCACGTAGACAAGTTACGACCACAGCGATGGCGATAGCACGATCCACCATACACATACAGGACATACTCATAGCGGAGCGGCGTAGATGGAGAGAATGTATTTTGACTTGTTTACATAAAACAGCGACGTGACCTAACACGAATTGGTCATCGCAATCACCCATCAGTCCTCAACCTGTCCAGTTCGTTGTCACATTACCTAGCGTATCAACATCTGATGGTAATGGACGTCCGACGGCGGCCTTAGTGACCCTGTTGTATCGTCAGTAGTGTGCCAATCATCCTTCGAGGGGAAACTCCAAAACTGACACAGCAGGAGCAGTTGTTGCACTGCTGGCACGAGCAACTGGTGCAGCCACAAGCAGCGGGACCCATGGTGATATCGGTTGAGGTCTAGACTGAACAAGATATGTGTCTTTGTTGGTTGTGATGTTCGATGTTCTCGGTTCTTATTTGACTTTAAGTAGATCATTTCCCAACCCGGGAGGATGTCGAGGAGGGGAACGCAGACATCTTATATAGTTGAGCAGCTCCCTTACATGTCCACCGATTCCCGAAAGTTTAGACTAAAAGCTGGACTCCACAAGCTAACCGACCGCCCCGTGAAGCCATGTCCGCTCGCTCCGCCAATGGGAATGCCCCTTTTCCTATCAGTTGCCGTCATCATGATTGTGTCGAACCACCCGATTGCCCCAACTGAGTTCCCAAGCACCCGAGTTCCCGGCTGGCAGCAGGGAAGATCTCGACCCTTTCGGTCGCACCATCTCTGCCGTGACCCCGGGGTACCGTGGTTGTCCTCTGTCGGCAGATGCTGTGCTTATATGGAAGAAGACATGATTGCAGAAAAGTCGGCCGAACCATTTGGTACAGTGGAGCTGCCACTTCGGCCAGATCGGGTCGGAAATATACTTCATCTTGAAAATGATAATGGCCTATTTGCTTGTTAGTCATGACGTTAACGCCAGCTCGCACATGTAAGTACCGCGCCTCGCGTGAGATTGGATTGCTGACCAGTAGTATCGACATACTGTGCGTTTCCCCAAGAGTTCGGGGAACTGGGAAGGTCTCCAATGACGGCGTCTTCGATGACACTTAGCCAAGCTAAGGAGTAGAGGCCGCATCGTCAAGCCACAACCCCTCCCGCTTGCGTTCCGTGCAACTCTCCTCAGATCTAGAACCTTTCTCGAATCTGGTATCCCCCTTTCAGCATGACATCATCCGCAACCTCTCCCCCTCCCCCCAGTCAACCCGGCAACCCCTTCGCCCCCTCGAGCAGATCCGCCAGCGGCGGAGCCCCCAACGACGCCGGGTCCGGGGTGGGAATCCCGCACTCGACCGACAGGCTCCTCCACAGGCCGCCGACGATCCTCTCCTCGGGCACGAAGACGGCCGTGTTGACGTACGCCGCGCAACCCGGCTCGGCGAAGAGGCGCGCCTCGCACCCGTCGCCTTTGTTGGCCACGAAGTAGGCGCACCCCGCTCCGGCGCGGCCGGGGAGGTCGTAGCACCGAGCGCCGGTGCGGCCCCCACCGGATACGGGAGGAGGGAGGGTAAGGGCTGCTGTGATGCGGCCGCGGCAGTGGTTGGGGCCCGGGACGCCGGAGAAGATGGTCGCGGTTATGGGGAGGTGCGTCGCGGTGCTGTTTGTCTCCGGGCTGGGGTTGATGGTCACTTGGTCTTGGTCGCCTTCTATTTCCGCGTCGGGGGGGACCTGGGGTGCTGGTACGGGGGTTGCGACGGCGGTCGAGGCGAGGTAGATTGCCGCGATCGCGGTGGCGAGCTGCTCGTGCCTCATGTTGTATTTTTTTTGCTGATGAAGGAAGGGCCTTCAAGGGACTGGGTTGAGTGACTGCTGCTTTCCTTAATTTCGGGTGGAAAAAGACTCGAGATTGATAATGAACGGGAGAGTGAACATGCGTCAGGAGAGTTGGCGGTGCCAAGCCAAACTCGACGGGGTCTCGTTTCAATGTTGTCTCAACTCAACTGCAAAAACACGCCCATGCCCTTTGATACGCTATTAGTAACTGTAGTTTCCGTATTCGGTAGTAAGCCCAATAGATAGCTTCATTTACTCTGTTCTCGTTGTCATGATTTGTTCGCGGCCCAATAAACTATGCCTAGTCCACAAGCACTACGTGGTATCAGTGAAACTAAACTGACTCTGACGTCTAACTTCACCGTGAATGAGAAATAACTCATTTCTTGCCTAAATGCCGGGACGGTCTGGTTCTTAAGATCGGGCTAATAGGTGCCCTGGCAAGGCAATGTTCAGCAAGGGAAACATGGGGCACAACAGGCACTTCTCTACTTGCTAGAGTGGCTCGCTAGAGCGGCGATGGGAGGGCGATGCGGAATAAGCGCGTGATAATAGTGTCTATGGTCTTGATTACTTGTCACGATGTTTGCATTGGGGAAAATGAAGTGGGTGGTTCAGGTGAATGTTTCGACTAAATTATCACTAGAAAACACAACGATAAACTGTCAGCAGCGGATTGGCCAAACTCACCTTATCAAAGCCCGAAAGAGGCGGCTCAGGCGCCCAGAGCCTTGGTCTTCCAGCAAAGCTGCCATCTCATTCCAGTCGTCATAATTTGCCTGGGCTGCACGGCCGTTGGATCTGGAGAGCCGGAAACGCTCCTCGATGGCGTCCACCAGCTCCTTGAGGGCATCTTTCCGCGCCCTCGCCGAGTCCCAATCCCTCTGGGCTTTGTCGTGGGCTTCCTTAGCAATCAAGAGCCTCTGCCCAGCGCGGAACAAGTTCAACCTCACGTCTCGAAACAGAGCAGACTCCTCCGGAGCCTCCACGGCATCCTCCCGCAACAGGTCAGGATAGGGATACCTCACATCCCGCCACTTGGTCGCGTCCCCGACGGACCTAGTGAAATCGAAGACGTAAATATGGAAACAGGCAAAGTGCTTGCACTCGAACACGTTGTTCTTGTATGAGGGGCCACTTACCAGGCCCAAGACGCCACCCTCCAGCCTCCCCTTCTTCTCGTTTTGCTCGGAGCAGCACTTCTTGGGACAGCGAAGGTCGACGAACGAGATGCGGCAGCAGGCGTGGTAGGGGCACTTCTCCCTGACCGACAAGGGCTGCGCCTTCGGATCGGCGAGACAGGCCGGCCTGTAACAGGGGGTAGGCTCCGCGAAGACGTTGACGATGAGCTCGTGCGCCCGTCCCTCGAAGACGGTGGTGGAGAGTGGATGGTTTTCGCAGGAAAGGCGGTGGATAAACTTACGCATGCACATACTTGCCTGTTGGACCTAAGTTGTCTCCTTGAAACGGGCTCCGTATACAGAGGCTGACCCATATGAACTCATGGGATTTGTACCGTGATGCTGCTCGGGTTTGCGTCTCTGCTTGACACCCTTCCTCTTCACATAGAGCAAGGAGGAACCGGAGCAGGTTAAATACTCGGCAGTGGAAAAGGAATGAAGACCCGTTTGTATTTGCCTATTCGGATGCGATGTAATTAACCCAGGTGTACCACTTTCATCCATGATGAACTTGGAACAAAGGCCATGCTTAAAGACACTGACATTGCCGCCAGTTTCGAGGAAAGGTAGGCTCAACCTCTCAGAGGCACTTAAAAACAGCAATCCTAGGTTGGAAACAATAGGTATGATTCGTCAATGCGATAGCTATTTCCTTTGTTCATTGTTAACAGTGCTGGTGCTAAGAGTAACTACGTCGTCCCTTTCGAAAGTTGGAAAAGGAGAATTTTGGACAAGAACCATCAACCTTCCAAAACTTTGTTTGAATTCTGGTTTACCTTATATGTTACAATTAGTCATGATTTTTCAATGGTCGATTAGCGCAGTTGGTTAGCGCGTGGCACTAATAGGAAACTGTGTGATGCCAAGGTCAAGAGTTCAAGCCTCTTATTGACCATATATTTTTTTTCTTTTTGTTTCAATTGTGTTCTTGTTTCTATCTCACTTACAACCACGAGGCTATCTCTCTTTTTATTCCCCCACTTCTCTTTTCCCATTTCTCCTTGGTTAGGTACATGCAGATAGCAGCTTGTTTGGAAACCATATTTAAATAGCATTGATCTTTGCAAGTCTAAACAATATCACCCCAACTCCCCACCGATGTACTACCTCATTAGGACTTACTGACTTGATGTAGAGTTGCGTTTTGAACTTTCTATAGACACACTAGCAGCGGAGATTACTAACTTGGCATGACCTTGATCTTGGCCACACCAACCCGCTCTGCTTCGACATTGAGGCTAGTGATCTCGTCATGGACATACGGTATACCGTCCCGTAATCTCTCTTCCTCTCTTAACTGCTCGATCTCGCCGGGAAAGTATATTCTCTCGACGCCATGCATCTTCTCCGAGCCGACAACCCGCTGATATAGCGTGCCCATCCGCTCCCTGAACTCGTCAAGGCCCATGAAGAGGTCAGGCTTGATCGCGACGATGAAGTGCCCCACATCTCCCGGCTTCGACATGTCATACGGGCCCGTGACTCCCCCCGCAAAGGCAGACCCAGACAGAACCCCCGAGAAGACGTCCATCATGATGGCCAGCGCCGACCCCTTGGGCCCGCCCATGGGGAGCATGACGCCCTCGAGGGCCCTCGCGGGGTCGTCGGTGGGCCTCCCGTCGGCGTCGAGGGCCCAGTCGGCGGGGATCCTCTCGCCCCTGCGGAGGGCCTTGTAGATCTTCCCGCGGGCGGCGACGCTGGGCGCCATGTCGAGGATGAAGGGCCGGTCGGGCGTCGCGCCGGGCGCGCCGCAGGCGATGGGCGACACGCCCATCAGCCTGGACCGGCCGCCCCACACGGGCAGCGCCGGCGACGAGTTGGTGAACACGAGGCTCATCATGCCGGCGTCGGCGGCCTGCTGCACTAGCCACGCCGACATGCCGAAGTGGTTGCTGTGCTTGACGCTCGACATGCCGATGCCGAATGTGCCTGCTGCCGCGATGGCTGCCTCCATCGCTGCGTGGGCGGCCGGGAAGCCGAACCCGTTGTGGCCGTCGACCTGGAAATGGCCACCGCCCGGTGGTCAGCGGGGGTGCGGGGGGTGCTGAGGGCGGGGTTCTCCGCCCGGGAACAGCACTGGCGAACCGGGCATATAATGGGAATTAATGAAACTCACCTGGGCCACGACGGGGGTCACATTGGTAACAGTCGGCTCGGCCTTGGGATCCAGGACGCCGGCGCGGATGCGGGCCACGTAGGAGGGCAGGCGGTTGATGCCGTGGCTGTCGACGCCGCGCAGGTCGGCCTGCACGAGCCCGCGGGCGGTGATGGCGGCGTTGGGCCCCGAGACGCCGTTGGCCTGCAGCACGGCCTCGACAAATGCCCGGGCGTCCTCGGGGTTGACCCTGACCGTCTTGGACTCCGCCGCTGGTGCGTCCATTGTAATCAAAGGGTGTGGTGGGGTTGCGTGGGACTTGGGACTTGGCAATGTCACTTTGTGGGAATTAAGAGAGTGGATGCCCAGGTCCAGGGGCGAAGGTTGAGGTTTAGTAAAAAGGAGGAACGGGATGAGGTTGTGGGCCCACCGATTGCGGACGTACAGCTGTAGTTTCAACGGTCCAGAACTGGGCCAGAAGCTAACATGGAAGACAGACAACCTTAAAGCCCACTAGCCATTGGCGCGGAAGCTGCTCATCTCAACCTCGAACCTCTACGCATGTAGCTACCCTTGCGGGCTCAACGCCGGCCCCTGAATATGGATTCGGAACACATCCGGAGCCGGATGCAAAAAGCTAAATGACAACGACCAAGCATTGCTGAGCCCGCCAGAGCGCTAAGCAAATATGCCGATAACTGGTGCCGATGGCTTAGGTTGTGCCGGCAGGCTTGCCAAGGCGGCCCAGGTTTGACATCACAACGGTGCAAAGACCAGACAAATCCACCTCGACTTGCAAAAAAACCGAAAAAGCTGTCTCGGAATATTGATCGGCATAGAGCCACTCTATTCATCCCAGACTACATGCAGGCAATGTGAGATCGTGCCATCCCACTATCCCAGAGTAGGATGGTGCTCCTATGATGGATGGCCCCAAACCATGATGAGTGACCGACAGCCCCGCCAATCTCGGGCAAAAACCCTGATGTCACTCCACGCCAATGATGGTAGCAACATTGATCTCATTGGCTTGTGGTCTGGGAGCCATGCGGGGGAACCCGGTTCTTCAACTGATTCCCTGACGAAGTTTGGAGAACCACCACTCGGTGGCACCGATATTTGAAAATATTCAGTCTTGGTACTGTTGATCAACCCCCGAATCGGGAGACGACATGGTCCATGACGAGTGGCGAGCCCCATGGTTTCCCCCGCACGGGGACACCACGACTTGGACGACGTCGGGCCAGCCGAGTTGGTTGCTTGCCCTCGTTGCCTGCGTCTTAGTTATATATCAAGGGGCCCAAGGTCTAGGTCTAGGCCTCTTTCCCATCATGATCGCCATCAAACTCTTCTGTCTTCCACCCGTCCGACTTCGAAGCCGACCTCGAAGCCCAAAATGGCCGGAGGAGTCAAGAAACCCGTGAACGTGTTCAAGCTGAAGAACTTGAACGAGCCCAGCGAGATCTTCAATTGGAAGATATGGTTCGCCGTCTTCTCGTTTGGCCTGCTGGGCGCCGCCCGCGGTGTAGACGAAGGGTTGATATCAGGAGGTTTGAAATAAGGAAAAAAAATACGGAGTATTATACCCTACTGACCGTGAAGCCCAGCTTTCAATTCCAAGGACTTCCAGAAGACCATCCACTATGACACATACTCCAAGGTGGAACAGGCCAACATCAAGGCGAACGTCTCCGCCATGGTCCAGATCGGCAGCGTCGCAGGCGCTCTCTTGTATGCAAACGGATCCCCTCTCCTCCCAAGACCACTTCTTCTGGCTGACCAGGGGTTTTCGCAGTGCCTTCGTGATCTGTGATCGCATCGGTCGTATCTGGGCAACCCGGCAGCTCTGCCTCATCTGGATCGTCGGCATCGCCATCTTCATGGGCGCCAACGGGAACCTGGGCGCCGTGTACGCGGGGCGCTTCATCGCCGGGCTCGGGGTCGGCCAGACGCCCGTGGTCGGCCCCATCTACATCGCCGAGATAGCGCCGGCAAGCATCCGCGGGCTGTGCACGTGCATCTTCACGGGCTTCGTCTACCTGGGCATCGTGCTCGCCTACTTCACCAACTACGGCTGCGAGGTCAACCTCGGCGACACGAGCCACGCGCGCTGGCAGGTGCCCACGTCGCTGCACATCATCTTCGCCGGCGTCATCTTCTGCCTCTCCTTCTTCCAGCACGAGTCCCCCCGCTACCTGATCAAGCGCGGCAGGGCCGAGCAGGCGCTCCGGGTCATGTCGCGGCTGCGCAAGCTGCCGCCGGACCACGAGTACGTGGTGCGCGAGATCAACGCCATCACGCTCAGCCACCACGAGGAGCTGGAGTCGACCCGGGGCGCCGGCTGGCTCGGCGTCGTCAAGGAGCTCTTCCTGGTGCCGGGCAACCTGTACCGGCTGTACCTGACGCTGATGGCCCAGATCATGTCGCAGTGGTCGGGCGCCGGGTCCATCACGCTGTACGCGCCCGACCTGTTCAGCCTGCTGGGCATCACGGGCAAGAGCGAGTCGCTGCTGGTGACGGCCGTGTTCGGCATCGTCAAGCTCATCGCCGCCGTGCTGTGCGCGCTCTTCCTCGTCGACGTCATCGGCCGCAAGCGCGCCCTGATGCTCGGCATCGCTCTGCAGGCCATCTCCATGGTCTACGTGGCGGGCTTCCTGTCGGGCGTTCCCGAGCTCGGCGTCGTGCCGGGCTACGAGCTGACGAGGGACGAGCTGGGCCCCTCCAAGGGCGCCATCGCCATGATCTACGTGTCGGGCTTCGGCTGGGCCCTGGGTTGGAACAGCATGCAGTACCTGCTGACGGCCGAGCTGTTCCCGCTGCGCATCCGCGCCCTCAGCACGTCGCTGGCCATGACCTTCCACTTCGCCAACCAGTACGGCAACGCGCGTGCCGTGCCCAACATGCTGCTGCCCATCGCCGACGGCGGCGCCTCGCCCAAGGGCACCTTCTGGTTCTTTGCCGCCGTCACCCTGCTCGGCGGCCTCTGGGTCTGGTTCTTCGTGCCCGAGACCGCTGGCCGCACCCTCGAGAGCATGGACCGCCTGTTCTCGCTGCCGTGGTACCGCATCGGCCGCCACGGCAACAGGGACGCCGACGAGCAGGACCGCGCCTACGACGAGAAGCAAGCCGAGGCGGACCGTGGGGCCGCTACCCACACCGAGCAGAAGGAGAAGGTTGTCGGTGACGATGGGAAGGTATAGAGGTTTTTTTTTGGTTTTGGGATGAAGTGGTGGTCACCAACTGAAAAATATCACGGCAATGAGCTAAGCTATATGATTAGCTCTAGCGAGAAGAAGATAAGAGTTTGCCAGTTTGCTTTGATATCTTGGTTGCCGTGGAGTTCCAAATGTTGGATAAAAACGCCTCCACGCCTCACTCCAGTTCATATGCTGTTCATTCATGACTCGCGTGCCCCTTTCCGTCCCTGACCAGGTTGCAGTTAACGTGAAGAAATGAAGAAAATTGAGATAATCGGATCGACCCCCATATGAAGAAGTAGGCAAAGCAAGTAGGAAAATAAAGAAAATATCGAAGAAACAACGCCGAGGAATCACCCATCAACTCCCGCCCATGCCTAATGGGCGTAGAAATTGTCGTTGTCATACTCGGTCGCCACACACCTGTTGTCAGTCAGGTAGTACAGGGTGGCGCCGTCGACGCCGAGAGCGGTACCGGTGCTCCTTGTCGCGCTGACCTCCTCGAACCACGTCTCGGTGAAGGCGGCGAAGGGCACGAGCCCCGACGACGTGGCCGGGTCCTCGATGACCCAGTCGGCGTCGACGCGCCCGAGCGGGCTGCCATTGCTCAGCGTGACCGTGTAGCTGTAGTCCTGGTCCGTGTTGTAAATGTAACTGTAGTACCCCTAGGTGTTAGTCCAAACTCCCCACCGGAGACTGCTAAGGAGACGGGGAGGGAGGGTTAGGCGAGGGACTCAAAACTCACATCTGTCCCGAGGTTGAGCTTGATGCCGATACCCGGACTTCTATCCAGTCACCCGTTGCAACTGTAGCCCGGGAGGTTGGTTAGCAGGCTGTCAGATCCGGGACTCGCTAAAATAGGGTGTGCGGCATAATTACCAGGGAAATTCGGTATGGTATAAGCGGCATCCGGAACCCATTCGAGCCATGCCCAGTTGGTCTGGACCCCGGCTGAATTGATCTGCGGAAGACGAGTTAGCCGCGCGTCATCTGTTGGGAAGCCGCCTGTGGGCAGTGATAGGCCAGGGTAAAAACAACATACAGAACTGGTCGTTCCCGACTGGAGTAGGGCCGTGCTCCACGTGGCGCCGTCGATACCGATCCAAGGGGCTACGTATTGAGGGAAAGAGGTGACCCCTGCGCGCTGGGATAGGGTCGGGACTTGGAAAAAGCCGTGGACGCTGGTGATGGGGTTGGTCGAGGGGCTGTGCTGGACGGCACCGCACCAGTTCGTGCTGTAGACCGTAGGGTTGGATCTTCTTGCGTTCCCGCCTCTGGATTTCGGCTTTGGCTGTCTGGCTGCCGTGGTGAGTTGGTGTCGCCCCGGTTCGATTCGTTCCAGGACGATGTCCGAGGGCTTGACGGGCTTCCCCTTGTGTATGGCAGTAACCGTGTAGGTGATCTCCGCGAGGGCCGCCCTGGCTGCTAAGCCGAGAAGAAGCAAGCAGACCTTGGTATACCTCATTCTGGCGGCTCAAAGGTGGAATTTGTCTAGGTGGTTGGGGTCGGTCTGTAGAAGACGGTCCAAGGGTGAAGATAAAACCAAGTTATCGTCAACCTGCCTCAGGGAAGGAGGGAGGGAGAGAGAGAGGGTATAAGACGGGCTTCTTATCTACCTTCCCTCTCAGGACCGCATGTTGGGAGAGTCCCTCGTTCCTTCCTTCGCGGGGGCCTTCCCCTAGTTCCTGAACCTCATGGCAACCTAATTACCAGTGGTTGCCTTGAACTTATCCCTATCAGGACCGGCTAGGTCTTGGCCAGGCCAGCTACATGCAAGCCAATTGTCGATATTCACACCGAGCTTTCCCCTTCGAGGTCTAACATTCAGCCCCCCGTCGCCCAACCGCAGTGAAGGTGGGTGCTCGATTGCAGGAAGGCGCTATCGGGGTCGAGCCTCTTTTGGGTCACAAGCATCCAGGGAGCGTTGGTCATGAGGGCCCGTTGGTGGCACAGCGCCTTGGATCAGTAGCTGATACACAGCGGGATGACCCGAACGCAGGACCTTCTCGCTTATGCCGTGATTCGCCCAAGAATGACGAGGTAGGGCAGATGATTGGGAAAGGCAACCGCGGCCCAGGCTCATTTATGAAGGGAGGTGCGCCTGTCTGGCAAATCATGGTGCATGGTGGGTATGGGTGGGTGTTGCCTATTTTGGTGCCGTGGAGGGTTACATACATACAGCCAACAACTCCTCCCATGGCAGTGCGATGGCACTGCAGGCCTGACACCCGCATGCGGAAGACCCGACCAGGATTACTTCCTCCGAAAAGTCGCATCGCTACAACCCTGCCCGCTGCCCAGGAATATTGAGCGCGTGCAGCGACATAGCCGAACAAAGTGTGGAGGCTGTGTGTGAGGGTGTGTGTGCTGTACTACAGTAATCTGTAATTATGTGTGTGTGTGTGTGTGCCCCCATCCCAGGATCCATCCTATGACCCCAGTCTCGCTCACTCTGCACTCTGCAATTCGTCGAACTGCAACAGGCCTCAGATTAATTACCTAACCGGAATCCTGGTAATTGACGGCAGATACAAATGATAAGAAACCCGGTTTCCTGCAATTAAAGGCGCCAACTACGGAAATCCGAAGTCTTTCAGACTGATAAAGTCCTACGACCATAACTTTCGACCACAATATAATTATAGCATATATGCGTCTGGGCAACAAATATGGCGTGGGATATTCACCTCTTCGGAAACTGAGACCCGTAGCTCCCACAATTTCCTTCCTACCTTTAACTATGACTTGGGACTCCTATTGTGATTCTCTTGTAGAGCTAGCTAAGCATGTTAATCGCAGCCACGATGTCGCGGGTTAGGAAGGATTGATCACTCCAATTTCGAGTAATCAGGACTGTTGTTTTCCGAGCTAGTCTTCTGCCCAACTGCCACCCCATTCACGGCTGAAAAGATTATGAAAACGAGGACGTCGAGACTGGGGGTGCCAGCCAGGCCCTCTTAGAAAAGGGCGGCGTTTACTTGGTGTTTTCTCCAGCCACCCCTCTACCAACCACCTCGCACCTAAGGCATGCTAGGCAGGTCAAGAAAAGACACTTACAGTCTCTAACGGCGATCTCGTGCCCGGACCTCGTTTCTGAAGCATCGCACCCGCGTTCCTCCACTAAAGGACTCGCTGCGAGGAACAACATACTCGTCATTGAGTTCAAAGGGAAAGAGGTGAAAATGGCCAAGTAGAGGTAGCTCAGGTAGGTATTCCTGCAGTGGCTAGAGCTGATCTATCGTTGTTTCCATATTAATTGGGATTTTTTTTTCAGGATCATGCGCTATTTGCTCCGCAGGCAGGTGGTTAGTGCATCACAGGTGGCTATTGCTGTCTATTGCTATTGCCATTGCTGTCTACTGCTATTGCCATTCTGTCCATTGCTATTGCTATTTCAGTCTATCGCCCTTGCTGTTTCTGTCTATCGCCCTTGCTGTTTCCGTCTATCGCTCTTGCTGTCACTCCTGTCACTCTTGCCGTTTCTGTCCATCACTCTTGCCATTGTTGTCTATTGCTATTGGTATTTCTATCCATTGCTATTGCCGTTTCTGTTTATCGCTATTGCCGTTTCTGTTTATCGCTATTGCCGTTTCTGTTTATCGCTATTGCCGTTGCTAGGAATAGCAATAGTGACAGCGGTGCAGCGTGCTGCGAACTTACCACCTGCCTGCAGAGCAAATGGCGCATGCCTGCAGAGAAATTCCCTATTAATTAGTGTTCGTAATCGCCACGTAATGTTGGCCAAGTTGGCATTCCTAGAGCACAAACCACCAAGTCACTGGGAAGGTATCACCATCCATATAGACTCACTGCGACTGCCTTAGTAACCTACCTAGGTAGCAAGAGGCTCCTTCCGTGCCACCAGGTAAATGGCCAAATAGAGAGGTAGGTATGGAATGGATACACGTCCATGTGCTAAGCTTGACCGTGAGGTCTTGATTCAAAAGACGGGGTTGAGTGTAACCAGCGTCACTTAAAGTTCTCGGTCATGCCTGCCACGAAGTTAGTTAGGTAAGTGAATACCTAATGACCGACAAATATATTCACCCATGGGCCTTCACTGCATTTCAAGCAGTTTCCATTTTCCCTCTTCTACCCCACGCTCTCATTTTCCCAGACAGTTAACTCCCTTCTTTCCCCGTACCCGACACTCTATAAAACGTGTGCTTGTCCTCAAAGTCAACCAGTACGGTACCTTCCATCTTGAACCTACCTACCTAATCCGTACCTGGGGTTGGGTGTTAATTACCTTTCAGGTGAGGTGGGGGACAGAACCAAATAAAAAAGCAAAGGATCCAGTGAATCACGTGACTGTCACACGGGTCAATCACATATCACATCAACATCGATTGGCTTTCCTCCTCTCAACTGAACATCACACAAAAATCAATCATCTCACCATGGCAGACGAGCCCGAAAATACAGTTCTCCTTAACTCTTCCGAGGCGGAATCAGAGGCGGATGAGTCGGGCGAGTCTGGCTTTGAGCATAACAATGGCTTCTTCGACATCGAAGCCTCCGAGTCCGACGCCGACGCCGACGCCGAGTCCGACGGTGAGCCTGGTAGCGAGTCGGTGTCCGGATCAGACCAGGATGACGTACATTATTTTCCCCAGTTCCGACGGCTTCCAATTGAGCTCCGCCACCGCATCTGGGAGTTCTTCTGCCCCGACCTGACGGCAAAGTCACGCGTCTTCAACTTCATGATCGTAGCCACCATGAGAGACGGCATCGGCGCCGACGAAAGCGCCACCCTGGAGCAGCAGACTGCCCCGGCGAGGGCTGTTCTGGCCACCAACCGCGAGAGTCGTGCTATGGCGTTGAGGATCTTTCCGGACACACTAACTTTTCGCGGCGGCCACGGTATGATTCCCTTCAACAAGGACAGGGATGTCGTCTTTGTCGATATCTCGTGTCGCAACCACGGCCGAATCGGGGCCATCCCCGGCTTCACAGACAAAATCAGCCACCTGGCCATGTACCCCGTCTTATTTGAGCCCGACTTTCAAAAGCTCGACACCCTCCGCTTCTTTCTAGCCTTCCCAGACCTGCGAACCGTCTACTCCTATGCCAGCGATTCAGATCACAAGGAGCGGCTCGAAAAGTGGTGCGTATCGGATTTGATATACCGCTACTACACCCGGACCTTGGAAATAGCGCCGGGACTCGGCGAGAATCTGCAGTTCATGTACTGCTGGCCCAATCTGGACCAGCATAGGGACTTCGCTACGCGTGCGATTCCCACTGGCAAGTTGAATATCATGAAGGACGAGCTGAAGGAGGCCGCTACACGCCTCAAAGGAGTAGAGATCCCTGGCGTAGACGCCGCTCCGCTGACGGACGAGGAAGTTGCTCAGCTAGGCAGGATCGAGATGTGGCCTATGATCTGCTTCGAATTTGACGAGGGTCTTGAAGCGTTTGACAGGCTGCTGGAACTGAACATCCCCGACGACTGGGAGTTGAGTTCGGGTTCATCATCGGAGTCAGAATCCAACACGAACTCAGACCAGTACGAGAGCGAAGGGATTGATGATGCTGAAATCGACGAAAACGAGGACACTTCAAGTGGCGGAGAAGACGACCTAGAAGATGACCTGGAAGTGCTGCCGCTGCTGTCAGATGACGAATCGATGACTCTGGATGAGTCAGATCCTCTCCAACATCAGCTTGGCGATGGTGACGCGGCAGCCCAGTTTTCCAGCCCTGATCCGGGGTCTGCATCTGCGGGCGAATCAGATGCGTCGCGGTCGGAGGCCCCCCAGGCGTCCAGACGAGCCGGTTACCCTATACGCCAAATCGTCTCGTCTAGTTCCGAAGGCGAGTCCGGTGGCGATTCCCAGGGGGGAAAGGTCAAGAAACGAGGTGGAAATCGTCGCGCTCGTGTCGTTTTATCTGACTCGGAAGAGGAAGAGGATTCCGGTCCCAGTACAGCCCAGGTGGCAGACCCTGCCACATCCGAGTCCGAAGAGGACGGTGTTAGCAAGGAGGAGCCCGATGAGGACCAGGGCACGGGAAGGCCGATGTCTCTTGCCGAGCGACTCCAGCTGCACCGCAAGGAGAATCCAGTACCATCTTCGGGGTCAGGCGACGACTCTGATGCCGAGACAAGTGGTGGTGACTATGACGGCCGCAATTATGCCGAGTTCGATGGCTTCGAGGAGGACGGGGAGCTTGGCGGTGAAGCAGAAGATCAACCTGCCAACGGCATGTTCATGGACATGGCCGAAGAGTCCGATGAGGAAAGCGGGTAGTGGATGATGATGGGCAAGGGATATATTCCATTCTAATTATTGCGCGCTGAAAGGTAGCAGGGGGATTCTGGGCGGAGAGCAGAGCAAGGATATAATTTAATGCCCCGATGTAATGGTCTATCTTACTCCAGGCCCAGGGCCCCAAGTGGAGGAACGTCAAGCTCAGCCCCCTTGGTCTCCAAGGGTTTAACGTTACGCAATACACAAGAAACTAATTGACAGATGCACGCGCTGCTGGGTCTGGTACCCATTCATATCGACGAGCCTCTCCCTCTCCTCGATCTCCTCGTGTTGCTGAAGAAGACCACAGCAAGGGCACCAAATCGACACACAGAAATCACCACAGCTACTACCCTCGACATTATACTTCTGACGAGTCTCCTTGCGCTGCATCCAGGCCAGGCTATCACGCTGTTAGCCGTCTATGGAAAGTGCAATGTCAGCTGGGGAGGATCTTACACGAAACCAAGGCCACCAAGCAAGTTCAGCCCGCCTGCCGCGGGCGCGGTCTGCTCAGCCGCCTAGCTCGCGACGCCGGCTCACCCATGCAAGGGTAACAACATGTGCTGAGACACGGTCCGCTGCAGCTGCAGAGATCGGCAAGCCAGCCGCTCATCTTTGCTGCTTGTTGTTCTGCTATTATCTTGACGCCGAGGGGTGGGAAGTGGCGTCTCGGAATGAGATCTGACAAGGGAAACAAAGGCCGGCTTTGTGGGTTGAAAGAGAGACTACGACAGGCGAGAGGATCAAGAGAGGTCGGCAAACTTGGCCTTTTATGTGTTCCGCCGTCGATCTGTTTCCGATAGACCCTGAGGCCGCCGTCCCCCTTTAGACCGGGGGGGTTGGTTGGGGCGGCGCAGCGCGCCGTGCCGCCCTCAGCGGTCGCTAATGGGTGAAGGTTTGCCTGAAAACAGACACTTGGAGCATTGTCCGAGACGCCAACGGATGTCGTCAATGTTTCGTCGACGGCCAACATACATGATAATTAAAGATTTAAAATAGGGTGATGCGGGCAACATCTAAAGTTGGCAATGTTCGCTGCAGCTTATTGATGGTTGCTGATCTTATATTTTGACCTTTGGGGACCACATCAGCCGAGCATCCTTGGACTGAGTTCGGCGCGGTGCATGCAGATAAACATACGGGAGACATCATCAGCCTTAGTATATCTTCCCTGCACCAATACCGGCCTGATACAGCCTAGTAGAGCTTTCGATCCGCAGCTGCCCTGCGTATTCTACCGCTCACTTCGACGGCTTCCTTTTCTTTATCCCTATTTCACTGGGAACACATGCTCGTCATCTACCTCAGCGATCGGCGTCAGAGAAGGAGAACGTGGCACAGCGGGGAGATTCTTCTATTGCGCAGGCAGGCACGGCAGGATACGACTCAGCACTTTGATCGTTTTTACAACAGGCTCGCGCAAATACTGTGGGAATGCATGGCAAGTATCGGCATTTGTATTTGGGGGATTTAGGATTGAGGTCATCTATCGTACCTTGACTCATCCGAAGGATCTCCTGGTGAGGAAGTCACCAAGTCGTTGACCGCCTAGACAAGCCCCTTTAAGGGGAAAGGCATCATACGCCTGGCCTTCTACTCCCTCGACGGTGCCGCATTCCTTTCGTCGCCATACGGCGTACGTCTAGACCCTCAAGCTCGGGGACACGGACTCGGCCGCGCCTCTCGCGCAACTCCAATTGATGCGGATAGGGGCTTGCACCAACCCGACCTGCTCGGCTGATGACTTTGTGGCGCGTCGCGTCCATTTTCAACCAGGGATCATCTACTGCTGGGCGGGTTACGAGCCTCTGACTAGCTTCTACGTCATGAGTCCCTTGCCTTGGGGTGTGAAGGGACCCTGAGGCAAGGGGCCTAATGACGTTGAAATCCTCAGTTCCGAGACAAGTCCGCTACGGGAAGAGTGGGGTGGTGACCAGCACCCATAGTACAGGCGTACGACTCTCTTGGGCTGAAGAAGGACCAGGGAAAACCACATTCGATGTCCGAGACGGCTCAAGTCTGGGTAGAGACACTTTCTGATATCTGTCATGGGCCACAATCGCGCTCTGCTACTTCTGCTATGTACCCTGGCGGAAAGATGGCATGTGACTAGTGATCAGCGTCGTTGTTGTTGTTGTGAGACTGTAGACAGCGGGTTTTAGATAGATCGTGGGGGTAGACAAGAGAAACTCGACCTCAGACAGACGCAGGACAAATTAGCTATCCGTGTTTGTTTCACTCTACGTCGATTGATCAACCTAATGGATGACGTCCGTTACAAGTGGTGACGAGTGGCAGAAAGATAAGAGGAAGAAAAGGAGAGGAAAGGGGGGCGGGGATTCGAAAGGATTCGCGAAAACGGATAAAGACGGAGCGGAGAAGAACGGGACCCCGGGCACTGCATGGAGTCGGGGAAAACGGGATCCCCGTCTCTATCGTATTCGTTTTCGAATTCCGGACAAAAGTCAGCACTTCTTGGCGCCAGGCCCCGAGGCGAGTCAAGGTAAGAATCGGCGAGTCAGCTTGAATGCAGGTGTGAAAAACCCTGGCGTGTTTGGATTGTTGTGGATTGATGCGTGGCAGTGCAGCCCTGTGATGAATCCTTTTGTCTCCTTGTCGTGGAGCAATGCCAAGCTGCCAAGTACGAGGAAATGACGGAAAGGCTGAAGACGGAGAGTTACGGGGTCGGGTTGCTTTAGGACCCCGAAAATGCGTTTTCTCCCCGCCAGGAGTCGGAAATCCAGTAAACACAGATGTGGGTGGACCACACGTGAGCTTGAATATTGGGGCTCTTGTACCGTCTCTGTCCAATGGGCGGTGCTGAAACATGGGGCCTAGCAAGGTTTTAGAATATTTATTACTGTACTATGTACGAATTACTACCAGTCGATCGGTTCTTGCTCCTCAAGAGACAGATTTCAGAGACAGATTTTAGCGGTGGCCCGTGTATGGCGTGCTGCTCGCTGGCGCGATCGAGGGATGAATCTTATCTTGTTTGTTATCCGCAATAATGTACCTGTACATCCGTAGTGTACCTTCCATCAGCACGCAACGTGGCGGCGGGATGGGATGAAGCGATGGTGGTGGGGTCGTGCACCGGGTCGGGTTGGTGCCGACCAATTTGGTTTCCGTATCAGTCATGGCTTCATCTCTATTCAGACGGGAAAGGAAAAAAAGATAATTAGTATGAGTGAGGATTCCGGGGCGTCGGAGACATTTAATCAAAAATGTGCCCGCTTCTCACCATGGTATTGGTAATCCGCGATGGGCCCAATGGGCCCAATCGCGGACTTTTCGCAGGCACCCATCTCCGTCTCGAGTAATACCTGGCCTGGGCCTTGCTACCTACGTAATTGCTACTGCGTATGCCTACCAATTGATCTCTGGGGAGACCCTACTTGCACCTCAGCTACTACCCGGATGGACTCCACCCAGCTCGGGCCCTTGGATCATCCCGTGTCTCCATCGCATCGACACAGGCCTTATTAACTAACCCTGAAGAGTGCCCCCCAACTTTTTTATGGCTTCCCCTGCGTCTCAGTCTTGATTCTCACTGCCCTTCCCTTCGTTTTTCTTCTCGTCTTCTTCTAGTGCACCTTTGCACGCCGCCCATAGAACCCAAATTAATGTAGTTTTCACACAATCTTCTCCCCCACGAGACCCTTACACACCCCCCATCTTCCAGGTCTGGGAACCGACGAGAGAACCCCAGCACGGGAATCCCCTAGGGCCACCGAAACATGTCCTTCACGGGCGTGGGCTCCTTCGGGAATTATGATCGCACAGCCCAAACCACCGGTATCCCCGATGTAACCAGCCAGGGCGGCAATCGAGATCACGACATGGAGCACTCCAATCCGAGGGACGAGCCGGCCGACGGCCTTGACGCCTCGTCCTCGAACCACGAGTCGCGTGATGCGACCCGAACCCGCGCGACCTCCATCACCGAGGTCGGCACCCCGAGTCGCGAGAAGGACGCGATGCCCGGCGCCGGGAAGAACGACGTTTTCGGCGAAGACGACGGCTCCGACACGGAACAGGAGCGTCGCAACAGCATGGTCCAGGCCCTCGCCCGGAGATACACAACCCAGTCGCATGTCTCGGGCGTGGGCGCCGGCGCGAACCCCTTCCTCATGTCTAGCGACGAGGACTCGCCGCTGAACCCCAACAGCCCAAAGTTCCGCGCGCGCGCCTGGGCAAAGGCCGTCGTCGACATGACCGCGTCCGAGGGCCACAAGATGCGCACCAGCGGCGTCGCGTTCCAGAACCTCAACGTCTTCGGCTTCGGCTCCACCACCGACTACCAGAAGGACTTCATCAATATCTGGCTGGAGGTCGCTGGGCTCGCGCGCAAGGTCCTCGGCCACGGACAACGCCGCATCGACATCCTGCGCAACTTCGACGGCGTCGTGAAGAATGGCGAGATGCTCGTCGTCCTGGGGCCTCCGGGCTCGGGATGCACCACCTTCCTCAAGACAATTGCTGGAGACTACAATGGAATCTTCATGGACGATAAGTCGTACTTCAATTATCAAGGTAAGCGTTGCAGTTTTCTCGCTACCCTCATTTCCCGCTTTTTTTCTTTTTTTCTCCTATGATCGACCGCGTCTCTTTGGCCACGGAATATGCCGTTGCGAAATGGGCAGGCGTAAACGGCGCCCCCACAACGATCCGGCAAGGGTGACATTGGCTGACAAGTTGTTTCATAGGATTGTCGGCCAAGGAGATGCACACGCATCATCGTGGAGAGGCCATTTACACGGCCGAGGTCGACGTGCACTTCCCGCAGTTGACTGTCGGCGACACGCTGACCTTCGCTGCTCGGGCGCGTGCTCCCCGCCAAGTGCCTGGAGGCATCTCTCGAAATGCCTTCTCCAACCACCTCAGGGATGTTGTCATGGCCATGTTCGGCATCAGCCACACCATCAATACCCGTGTCGGCAACGAGTACGTCCGTGGTGTGTCTGGCGGTGAGCGGAAGAGAGTCACCATCGCCGAGGCGGCCTTGTCTGGATCGCCGCTACAGTGCTGGGACAACAGTACTCGCGGCCTGGACAGTGCCAATGCCATCGAGTTCTGCAAGACGCTGCGCCTGCAGACGGAGCTCTTCGGAAACACGGCCTGTGTCTCCATCTACCAGGCCCCACAAAGCGCCTACGACCTCTTCGACAAGGCTGTCGTCCTCTACGAGGGCCGACAGATCTTCTTCGGCAGAGCCGATGAGGCGAGACAGTACTTCATCGATCTCGGCTTCGAGTGCTCGCCTCGCGCCACGACCCCCGACTTCCTCACGTCCATGACGAGTTCCCTTGAGCGAACCATCCGGCCAGGCTTCGAGGGCAAGGCGCCCCGGACGGCCGATGAGTTTGCCGCGGCCTGGAAGAACAGCGCCCAGTACGCAGCCCTGCAGGCCGAGATCGAGCAGTACAACCAGGAACACCCCATCGACGGCCCCGACGCCGTCGCTTTCCGAGAGTCCAAGAAGGCCCAGCAAGCCAGGAGCCAGCGTCTCAAGTCGCCCTTCACCCTGTCTTACGCTCAGCAGGTCCGGCTCTGTCTCTGGCGAGGCTGGAAACGGCTGATCAACGACCCCTCTCTGACCGTCGGTGCCCTCATCGGCAACTTCGTCATGGCCCTGATCATTTCCAGCATCTTCTTCGACCTGCAACCAACGACCGACAGCTTCTTCCAGCGTGGTGCCCTCCTCTTCTTCGCCTGCCTCCTCAACGCCTTCGCCAGCGCCCTGGAGATTCTGACCCTCTACGCCCAACGCCCCATCGTCGAAAAACACGACCGCTACGCCCTCTACCATCCATCTGCCGAAGCTGTGGCCTCGATGCTCTGCGACATGCCGTACAAGATCCTGAATACAATCACCTTCAACACCACTCTGTACTTCATGTCGAACCTACGCAGGGAAGCGGGCGCTTTCTTCTTCTTCATGCTGATCTCCTTCTTCATCGTCATGGCCATGTCCATGGTCTTCAGGACCATCGCCAGCGCGTCGCGAACCCTGTCACAAGCCATGGTCCCCGCCGCCATCATCATTCTGGCCCTCGTCATCTTCACCGGCTTCGTCATCCCCATCGACTACATGCTTGGCTGGTGTCGTTGGATGAACTACCTCGACCCGCTGGCCTACGCCTTCGAATCTCTGATGGTGAACGAATTCCACAACCGCAACTTCCTCTGCACTGAATATGTTCCAAACCCCCGCGTCCCCGGCTACGCCGATGTCGGCGACAACAATCGCGTGTGTTCGACCATTGGTGCCGTCACGGGTTCGCAGTTTGTCAACGGCGACGACTACATCAAGTCAGGCTTCCAATACTTCAGCTCGCACAAGTGGCGCAACCTGGGAATCATTATAGCCTTCATGCTCGGGTTCCTCGCCTGCTACATGATAGCCGCCGAGAGCGTCTCTGCAAAGAAGTCCAAGGGCGAGGTCCTGGTCTTCCGTCGAGGCCACAAGCCGGCGTCTTTCAAGGAGCGCAAGCATGATGCCGAGTCCGGCCCTGTCCTGGCCTCCGGTCCCGCCGCCATCGCCGAGAAGGTCAACGACGGAAACACCTCGGACGGTGTCATTCAGAAGACGACGAGCACCTTCCACTGGTAAGTACAACCCCGAGCTTGAGCGGCCTGGAGAAAACGCTTTCTGACAGTCGATTTCGAACAATAGGAGCGATGTGTGCTACGAGGTCAAGATCAAAAACGAAACGAGGCAGATTCTGGATCACGTTGATGGCTGGGTCAAACCGGGTTCGCTCACTGCCTTGATGGGTGTTTCTGGCGCTGGCAAAACCACTCTGCTCGACTGCCTCGCAGACCGAACTAGCATGGGCGTCATCACCGGCTCGATGCTTGTTGACGGCCATCCTCGTGACACCTCGTTCCAGCGCAAGACTGGTTATGTTCAGCAACAGGATCTGCATCTTCAGACGACGACTGTCCGAGAGGCCTTGAACTTCAGTGCCCTCCTTCGCCAACCCTCCCACGTCCCACGGGACGAGAAGCTTGCTTACGTCGACGAGGTTATCAAACTGCTCAACATGGAAGAATACGCAGATGCCGTCATTGGGGTTCCCGGCGAGGGTCTCAACGTCGAACAGAGGAAGCGCCTCACAATTGGCGTGGAGCTGGCGGCTAAGCCTCCTCTCTTGCTCTTCGTCGACGAACCTACTTCGGGCCTCGACAGTCAGACCTCGTGGGCCATTCTGGATCTTCTGGAGAAGCTCACCAAGAGCGGCCAGGCCATTCTCTGCACCATCCATCAGCCCTCTGCCATGCTCTTCCAGCGCTTCGACAGGCTCCTGTTCCTCGCCAAAGGCGGCAAGACGGTCTATTTCGGTGACATTGGCGAGAACTCCAAGACCATGACCTCGTACTTCGAGCGCAGAGGTGGTTTCCCCTGCCCCGAGGACGCGAACCCGGCCGAGTGGATGCTCGAGGTCATTGGTGCTGCCCCCGGGACGACTTCCGAGATTGACTGGCACCAGGCGTGGCGCGAGAGTGCCGAGTACAGGGAGGTCCATGCCGAGCTCCAACGTCTCGCTGAGAACCCAAAGCAGACCGAGGACGCGACCCACGACGAAGGGAGCTACCGGGAATTCGCCGCCCCCTTCTTCTCCCAGCTCATCGAGGTCACGCGTCGTGTCTTCGAGCAGTACTGGCGCACTCCCTCGTACATCTACTCCAAGATGGCCCTGTGCGTCCTAGTCGCCCTCTTCATCGGCTTTGTCTTCTTCAACGCGCCCAACACCATCCAAGGGATGCAGAACCAGATGTTTGCCATCTTCAACATCATGACCGTGTTCGGCCAGCTCGTGCAGCAGACCATGCCGCACTTCGTCATCCAGCGCTCCCTGTACGAGGTCCGCGAGCGACCTAGTAAGGTGTACGACTGGAAGGTCTTCATGCTGTCGCAGATCATTGTCGAGATGCCGTGGAATGTCCTCATGGGGACACTCATGTTCTTCTCCTGGTACTACCCCGTGGGCCTGCAGCACAACGCCGCCGCCGCGGGCCAGACGGCCGAGCGCGGCGGTCTCATGTTCTTGCTCCTGGTGTCCTTCCTCCTGTTCACCTCGACCTTCACCGACCTGGTCATCGCAGGCTTCGAGACGGCCGAGGCCGGCGGCAACATTGCCAACCTGCTCTTTTCGCTCTGCCTCATCTTCTGCGGCGTCCTCGCCAACCCGGACTCGATGCCGCGCTTCTGGATCTTCATGTACCGCATCTCGCCGTTCACGTACCTCGTCAGCGCCATGCTGTCCACCGCCGTGGCCAACACCAACATCGAGTGCGCCGCCAACGAGCTCCTCATTTTCCAGCCCCAGGGCAACGACACCTGCTACCAGTACATGGAACCCTACATGGCGGCCGTGGGCGGCTACCTGACCAACCCCAACAGCACCACCGACTGCTCCTTCTGCACCATCGGCGACACAAACACCTTCCTGGCGGGCGCTCGTGCCTACTACAGCGACCGGTGGCGCAACTACGGCATCATCTGGGCCTACATCTTCTTCAACATTGGCGCCGCACTGTTCGTCTACTGGCTAGTCAGGGTGCCTAAGAAGAAGCTGGGCGGGAAGAAGAAGAAGGAGTAAGAGCCTGACTGCCGAAAGGTCGGTTGGTAGGTTGGTTGGTTGGTTGGTTGGTTGGCGGAATCGGCGGCGGGGGGTTAGGAAGGAGAATAAAAAGGGTGAACTAATATCATCCTAAAAATCTCCGAAATTGCGTGGCCTCGGAAGTTGGAGGGGTCCCGTCCTCCGGGAAAAAAAGCACTTTCACTTTTCTTATGTTTTGGGCATCGTAGGGATCGACTGACGCTGTCGTCTCCCATTGTTCTCTCACACTCTCCCTTCCACCCGTTTCTTTTTTCCCCTTTCCATGTTAAAATCAAGATCTGGTTTCTCACGCACGTTGCATGCCACGCAATTTTCCTTGTACGTATCTAGAGTGTACATTCTTAATCAAGTATAGACCGGTATAGAGGTTGGGAAAGACATACATACCTAAGGGTAACATGACCTTGATATAATATTCGGAGTTGTCAAAACCTTGATATAATATTCGGAGTTGTCAATAGACGCTGGTGGTCACGGAAGAAAATACATGCGGTGACCTATCCCACTCGCCCTCATACCTCATCATGATTTCCTGGAGAGCCTGTCCATAAGCTGGATGCCGCCCGTCGAAAATGAAGACCCATATCGACAAGTGAATCGCCGGTACAGCCGTTCCTCCAGTCCACACCTCCCTGATCTTTCTTCCCTCTCCGCAGCCAGGCATCAAGCGCAGCTTGCAGCGAGAAAAGGGGGGGCAGCGACAGCTTTGTCGACTGCCCATTCTCCTCCAAAGCCCCGGGCAATTAAAAAAATAATCGCCGGGTTCGAAGTCGATTTTGTTGAGGGGAAACTCATCATGATCCTGCGATGTATGGTCAGCTGTGGCCCACCGCCGTGTCCGACGGCGAGGCCAAAAAAGAGGAGGTATTGAGAAAGATCTCTTCACATTCCCCCCCTCGCACGGCGAACGCAACAAGGGAAGAAGAAGAAAAAGGTTTGGTTGATTTGAAGGGTGGCCAACTCGGCGCCCTGTTCACCAAGGGGTGGGTTAGGTTCTGAGAGGGCTTCTTCGAAAGCAATCAGCGCGCGACATTGAGAGAGATGTCGGGCTGAAGACTCCGTTGACTAAGGTACATCTGGAGTTGTCAGCAGGGTTGCCCTTTTCGAGTCCTAGGGTAAAGATGCCGAGGAATAAAACGGTCAAACCCCGAGTTGCCCCCCAAAAAAAGTGTTGGCTGACAGGCCAGTTCGCAGTGCAAGGTTCTCTCCATCGGCTGAGGATCGGATCGGCCCAGCCAAGTCCAACATTGCGGTTTCAAACCAGCGACGGCAAGTAACTCCGTAAAAGAAAAATGCAACAGTAAAAGGAGCAAACATGGAAAGAAAAACAAGAAATGTAGCGATGACGCCGGGTATCATGTCGAAAGAATAACCGAAATGTATCGATGCCACCATCCTCCTTCCGTTGCCACCGAGTCCGATACTCCAGTACCCCAACACAGCTCCGGTTTCATTCCAGCCAACAAGCGTGTCGATGCGCCACCTATCGTACACCAAATTCGTCATCATCCTCGCGGAGTCGGATCGCGTCTACCACTCGACGTGGACGGTCTCGGGGGTAGGGTCAGCGGAAGCCGAACCACCCTGGGAGAGCTTCAAGAGGTGCGCTCGTTGGTTCCGGAATGTCGAGTAGTTCCCGGCGAAAATGACCTCAAGGATGCTTGCATTGCGCTTATCGGGTGATTGAGCGACGGCCACCATCTTGTTGGAAAGGAGGCGATGTGCCTCGGAGAAGAGGCCCAGGATGGTCGGCGTGTTGGAAGATCCCCCCGCGATGTCATTTCCAGGGTTGTTCGGGTCAATAATCGACAGGCGGTCTTGGTGCTTGTAGGCAAAGGCCGTGACAGCATTCTGGAGAAGAAAAGAGGGTATCTCAGTTAGAATCGGGTCCTGTCAGAGGTTGCGGGTTCGAAGACTAACCTTGGAAATGTACTTGGGAGGGTTGAGGCTAATGGCTGTAGTCCTGTAGTTGAAGCGGTTGCCATAGAGGTCAAAGAACTCCAAGAGCAGATCGCCGAGGTGATGTGCCGTGTTCATGTTGCGGCTCTGCACCTCGGGCATCATCTGCAGCATACTCACAACGAGGCAGATGACGGAGAAACCACCAATACCACCATTGACCGGCTCGTTGAGCCCCCGCATGAAGAGGAAGTGCTTGACGAGGGTAACGAGGATGGGCATGGCGGCGTACTGTTCCTTCCAGGCCATGAAGGTGTCGATGGCCTGCAATCCAGTTAAGTTCTCGAAGGACACATCCATCTTCAAACCTGTCCGCCTGTCGATGTATTTCACCAGCGGCACCTTGGCATGGAGAATGAGCTCAAATTCGTTCATGTGGGCCACTCGGTTGTGGTGCAGGAATGTCCGGAGCTTGAACAAGGCACTCTTAGTGCTATACTTGGCCCTTCCACCCTTCAGGTAGGAATCAGAACAGAGGACGAGATCCATATCTCCAGTTGGCAGGTAGAGACCAGATGGGAATGAGCCAAAGGGGTACACCTCGGCATCCCTATATGTCGAGCGGCAAAACGCTTTGAGCTGCTGGATAAGCTCCTGGCGAATACGCTGTTCGTAGTCTTGTGGTCGGACATAATCATAAAAGTCCATGATCTCCTTGTGTAGCCTATCAACTGTGAGCTGCGAGAACGGGTGGTTCGGAGTTTAGCATATCACCTACCACACACCCATACTTGCCGATCCCGAATGATCAGCCACAAGCCAGGGGCAAGGGTCTTCGCCATCCTTGATCTCCCAGTCCCAGACAAGTGAGCCGCGGACTGGCATTTTGTTGGCCTTCTTGAGTCTTGAATGAGCTGGGAGGATAATCCGGTCGTCGTGAGTACGCTTCCGCGACCCCAGTGATGAGGTGCCTATGTCTTCAGCCGCTGCTAGCTTCCTCTGCTTCGTGCCGGGCTGTGTGGCTAAAGTGGGAGCAGTGGCGGCAGTGTTGTGATGAGGCTTTTCCGGTAGATTCGCAGGTCTCGCGTCGTTTGACTTTGTATCTTGGCCTGCAAGGCGCGGTATGTTCGGCATGCGCGGGCCAGTAGGGGCTCCAAGTACTCCAGGCGCGTTGGCAGGCTTGGAGCTATCCTTCACCCCTCCGTCACTACCACTGTCACTGTCGTCAAAATCGCACGATATGAACTCGGCCGCGTCGGCAGGAACCGAGGCCTTTTGTTCCCTTGTCTGCACACGAGCGTTGCGGATGAGCTGCACGACGTCCTTCTTCTTCTGCTGTGTGGCGTCGGGGGGAGGGAGAGCCGTGTAGGGATCTGGATTTGACCACTTGGGCGCGTTGTTGTCTGAGGCAGACTGCTGCACAGAAATCCGAGTCCGCTTGGTGGAGGGTTCGTGGGACCCACTGCCCCCGTCAGACGCGCCAGACTCGTCGCCGGAAATGTCCATATCAGCCTCCCCACTATCTGACGGCTCGTCCAGCAGTCGGTACGTCGCTCCTGCATCAGCATCGTAGAACGCTTGCTCAGGCCCGGTAGAATGTGTATTTCGTAAGATAGGCCGATTAGCCGCTAAGAAGCGCAAGGATCCGAAGCCTCCTCCACCTCTTCCACCGCGAGCGTTGCGTTTGAAATTCTTTCCAGGTCGACGATCACGATAAGAGCTGCCCTCATTGGGTCGGTAACTATCGTAGGAAGAGCTATCAATGCCAGGCGGCTTCTCAACACTGAAGGTGAAATCGCCCTGGGGCGGTTGTAAAGGGGGCGGTGGCTGCGGATGTCGTGGCGGGGGCGGGGGAGGATGGGAAGGGCCATTTCGTGAAGGCCGAGAATCGCGACGTGCGTAGTCCCTATCTCGAGGGTCTTGTCGGTCATTCTGATTAGGCCGGTACGAGTCAGGTGACGGAGCGCGACCGCTGCGCGAGGGTGGTCGTGGGGGAAGCGACGAATGATAATCACGATCACGATCACGATTGCGGTCGCGGTCGCGGTCGCGGTTATGGTCGCGATCCCGATCATAACCATAATCATGATTCCGGTCATAGTCACGATCACGCTCGCGATCACGGCCGCGATCACGATTATGATAGTCTCGCGAAGGCGGGCCAGATTTCCCGCCTCTTGGCTGATATCTCGAGTCGTAAGACATCTTGGCCACGTTTGCAGGGCTGTGCCTGGTGTTGTCGCAGGGCGAAATGGATGGAAGTCTTGGGCAGGAGAGAAAAGAGGGCAGAGTTGACATCAAAGATTTTGCGGCAGGTTCCGCTAGTCCGTTTTGGTGCTAGTGGGCCGCCGACAACCTGATAGGCCGATAACCTGCTGTGAGTGCAAGTGGGCGATGAATAAGCACGGGAGTCTCCGGCGCTCACCAAACCATCTCTCTCTTCCATCACTTCCATCACTTCCGCCCCTCCCATCCCTCCCATCCCTTCCATCCCTTCCACTATGGCTTATATGCTTGCCCTATACGACAGAATTACTCTCGTACGCTGTCAAGGGATGCCAATATCAAGTTGGGGAGCTAGAACACCCTACTACTAACCTACTGAACATGTCACCTGTTGATGATATGTTGGACAAAACTAGGTAACTTCTTGGAAGAATCACAGAGGTACTTTTTATTTTTGAGCAGTTAACCCATACGATGCGATCCACCAGCTCCTCCTCCCTCCTTTTCCGACTCTTGTCTTCCCGTGTATTTTAGCTAGCGCCCTATGAGTGGCCCGAAATGGGCTTCGGCTGGTACAGTTCCTCGAGGTATTTCTCCTCCTCGTCGTCGAGGACCTTCCCGCGGGCGGAGATGGCCTCGTCGATGCGCTCGACGCTGCTGAACCCGATGATGGGGCTGCTGACCCTCTTGTTGATCCACGCCAGGGCGACGTTGCTCATGGTCCAGCCGTGCTTCTGCGCGACCTCCTGGACGCGCCCGATGATGGCCCGGTCGATCTCGCCCGTCCCGTGGCTCCCGGGCTGCGACTTCTTCTCGCCCTCGCTGCGGGCCGTCGTGCCGAACTTCTCGGGCGCGCGCGCCAGGTGGCCCCGGCACAGCGGCGCCCAGGGGACCAGGCCGACGCCCGTGTCGTTGCAGAAACGGTTCATCTCGCGCTCCTCCTCGCGGTACAGCAGGTTGTACTGGTTCTGCATGCTCACAAACTTGGTCCAGCCGTTGCGCTCGGCCACGAACTGCATGCGCGCCAGCTGCGTCGCCCACATGCTGCTCGCACCAATGTAGCGCACCTTGCCCGACTGCACCAGGTCGTGCAGCGCCTTCATCGTCTCCTCGATGGGCGTGTTGGGGTCGAAGCGGTGGATCTGCAGCAGGTCGATGTAGGGCGTGTCCAGGCGGCGGAGCGAGGCCTCGACCTGGTTGAAGATGGCCGCCCGCGACAGGCCCAACTGGTTCTGGTAGTCCTTGGACGCTTCGACCTCGGCGCGATTCGTGAAGTGCCGGATCTCGGGCCTCTCGCCGACGGCGAAAAAGCACTTCGTCATGATGATGACCTTCTCGCGCGGGATGGCGTACTTCTTCAGCGCCTTGCCGACGATCACCTCGGACGCGCCGTTGGAGTAGGCATTTGCCGTGTCCCACGTGTTGAGGCCGCTGTCGTAGGCAGCCTTCAGCAGCGGGAGCGCCTCATCCTCGCCAATCGCCCAGTCCATGACCTTGGGGTCGCCAAAGCTCATGCACCCAAAGATGGGCACCGAGATGCGCAGACCACTCTGGCCCAGCCGGCGGTACTCGCACTTGGAGGCATCGAGGGACTTCTGGAGGCTCTCTGGGATCGGCATTGTGTGTGCGGTGAAGTGGAGTGGAAAACAAATATTCAGACTGAGTTGCAACTTCAAAACAATTAACAATTCCGTGAAACCTTGAGGAACAGACAGGAGCAGGAGGGGGTAAATAACATAAATAACCCAATAACCCCCCACATGAGGAGCAAACGTCATGCGAGTTGAGGTGGGGTTAAGCGGGGTTAAATGGACCAAAACCGTAAACACCGGCAATGGCATTGTCTCCTGGACCTCCTCTCCTCCTCCTCACCCCATAGTTGCTGATAAATACGGCACTTGGCCATGGTCTCCCTCCGCCTTTATTCCATGGGTAGGTAGTCCGAGAATGGTCAAGTTCGGCACTGCAAGTTTGTCAGGATTTGATCCCCCATCTTTCCTTGGAGAGTCTATCCTTGCAGCATCCCTTCCTTGGATGTAGACACAAATGGAGCTCATCTCAGCCACCAACTCGGCATATCAAACCACGCAGAAACACGTTCAAATATATCTCAAGAGTTCGACTCAGGTCTACTATGTTGCTTGTCTAAACGGTCGTTGTTATAATTTAAGGCTATACAATAAAACTTGACATACCAATCAATCCGCCAATGGTTCCGGATTCATGCGAAAGAACCCGGGCCCCAGACCGCGATGGCAATGTGAATAGAAGAAGGAAAGAATGGTGAATCTAACGAAGGGTAATGCGGTCCAGGGGAGAAAAAAATCATGCATGCAAGTGTGACTGAACCCCCGGGTCCATATCATACAAAAAAAGAAAAGAAAAAAAAGGGCAACATCATCTCACCCACCCACCACCCCATCATGCGGTGAAGGAGACAATCTTGCTCTTGGCGCAGACGCCCTTGGCCAGGGTCTGAATGGAGCCGCTGGACAGCAGCTCCAGGACCTGCAGGTTGGCCTCGAACTCGCGGGTGATGAAGTTGCGGATCTCGATGGCGACGAGCGAGTCGAGGGCGTAGTGGGAGAGCGACCTGGTGATGTCCATCTCCTCGGCCTCGAGCATCAGCACCGCCGAGATCTTGTCGACGAGGCCCTTGCAGACCACGTCCTCGGCCTCGTCCAGCGACTTGGCCGCCTTGAGGGCCGCGTTGAACGAGACCACGGCGCTGGACAAGTCCTTGGCCGCGGCCTCCTCGGCCGCGATGCGCATCGCCTTGAACTTGGCGTCCTCGGTCCAGAACGGCCTCATGCTGGCCGTGATGCGCATGCCCGTGATCGTGTGGTTGTTGCAGGTCGCCGCCAGCTTCCCGCTGATGGCGGCGTCCAGGAGGGCCAGCACCTCGGCCTCGCAGATGGTGTCGCTGCCCAGGTTGCGGGCGACTTCGGCTGCCTTCTCCGCATCGTCGGCCAGGTAACCGGTATCCGAGACAGCAGTCAGGTCGAGGGAGGATGCGGGGAGTCCGAGGGCGAGGCGGTGCTGCACCAGGGCGTTGAGGAAGCAGTTGGCGGCACTGTAGGCGGCCTGGCCACGGTTGCCAACGGCGCCGGCGGCCGACGAGATGGCGACGAAGAAATCGAGGGGAGCAGATGCCAGGGCGTGGTGGAAGTTCCAACCGCCTTGGACCTTGCCTTCAATAACCTCGATGTACTCTCTCCAAGTCATCTTCTCGAACAGGACGTCCTGTGCAGGTCAGCATCTCGTGATCATGAAAAGAAACGGGGGGGGGAGGGGCAGGGAACCTACGCGAAGGACCATGGTTCCATGCACAACGCCTCGTACGGGAGGCAGCCCTTGCAGCCCCTCGGCCACAAGGTCATCAACCTCGGCCTTGTTCGCCACGTTGCATCGCCGTACGACAACGTTCGCCCCAACAGCGGCGAGCTCGTCGACCAACTCCTTGACCCTTCCGGTTACAGACCCGCTTCGGGAGACCAGAACAAGGTTGCGAGCTCCCTTGGCAGCCATCCACCTAGCCATGCTTCTTCCGAGGCCGCCAGTACCTCCAACTAAGATGTAGGTGGCATCTGCGTGAAGGAGATGTTTCACCTTCTTAGATGGCGTAGCCTATGAATTGGTTAGCCTGGGAGCCACGCGAATGGCGGGTTGGGTGGGGGAGAAGGTTCTTACCATGACAATATCTCCTGGTCGTGGCGTAACAACAACCTTGCCTTGGGAGCCTGCCTGCAGAGACTTGAGCGCTGTCTCGGCGTCGGAGATTGGGAACACGGCGACAGGAGTGACGGGTCGGACCTTGCCGTACGACACGAGTCTTGCAACATCAGTCACAAGGCGCTTCAACACTTTGGGCCTCTCAGCAGCAACGGCAAGCAGATCAACAGAGATCAAGCTGGCGTTGTTGTTGATGTGAGCCAATTCCAAGCCGGTCTTGGTGGCCTGGTCTCGCTTGCCGATGTCGATGAAGCGACCGAATTTGTTCAGGCACTCCCAGGACGCTCGAAGAAGCTCGCCGGTAAGCGAATTGAGAACGACGTCGACGCCCTGCCCGTTCGTGGCCTTGCGGATGCCGCTCACGAATGAGGTGCTGCGGCTGTGGAATATATGGTCCGGTGCTAGGCCGTACTCGGCCATAAGCAGCTCTTTCTTCTCAGTGCTGCTCACTGTGGCGAAAACCTCGGCTCCGATCATCTGGGCAATGCAGATGGCCGCCTGCCCGACAGACCCGGCGGCAGCGTGAATAAGAACCGTCTCGCCCTCGCCGATGCGGCCGAGCTCTACCAAACTATAGTAGGCGGTGCAATAGGCCAGGGGCAGGGACGCAGCCGTCTCAAAGGACAGGTCAGCCGGGATCTTGAACGCCTTGGCGGCAGACGTCCTAGTCCGGGTAGCGAAGGCCCCCTGCGTGAGTGCGGCAACCCTATCGCCGACTTGCAGGGCCGATACTTCGCTCCCCACAGCCAGGACCACACCGCTGGCTTCGATGCCGCAGTCGCCGATCTCGGCCTGGCCCTTTGCAGCCAGAGCATCTCTGTAGTTAAGGCCGATGGCCTTGACCTCGATCTCGACTTCGTCAGCTGCGAGTGGGGCCTCGGAGATGTTGTCGTCAACAAAGTGCAGGGTGCCGAGGGCGCCAGGAGTGGTGATCTCCATCTTCAACACCCGGTCGCCTTCCGAGAACGGCATGGTCTCGACGACTGCCGGGTTTGTCTGCCTGTGCACGAACTCGTTCATCTCAGCGTCATGGACGATGCGCGGGGTGAAGAAAGAACCGGCCCGTTCCATGAACTCGAGTTCGCTGGTAGCCGAAGAACCAGAGCCAAAAACGGCCGCGAAGACCTTGACGATGGCATCTACGGCATCCGACTCAGATAGGGGGTTTTCCGCGTCGAGGTCCAAGGTGGCGAACTTGACCGCCGTCTCTGACCGGATGGTCCTGCTGAGGCCCGTCACCATGTTGGCCTCGGGGTTCGAAGACTTGTCATAGGCGCCGCGCACAACCCAGAGGGCACCCTGAGCGGTGGTCAACATCTTCTGCAGGGACGTGAACTGGGCTTCCGAGAGGGTCGGGAGGAGGAGTTCTTGGAGCTCCGGTAGGAACACAACGAGCCTCCCGGCGACATTCAATTCCGATAGGCTTCCAACCTCGGGGAGTCTGCCAGTGGCCTGCTCGAGGGCATTGGCGATGCCCAGGGCCACCAGCTGTTGGTAGTTGGAGTCCTCGTGGACGATAGCAATCTCGACATCGGACGGAATCAGTGCTGTCTGAGATACGCCGTTGGACGTGCCGTTTGGCACGCTGCCGCTGTGCAGGGGTTCGAGGATAGGCTCCCACTCCAGTTTGTAGCAGAGCTCCCTCGCAACGTTTGCGTCCATCTGGGTCTCGCCGTCCAGGATTGGCGAGATGGTTAGGCCATCCAGCGTGATCAGAGGTTCGAGGGAGTCGCCGCCCGCCGTCACAGTGATGTCGACCAGGGCCGGTTTGGGGTTTGCGCGGGTGATTGCTCCCCGGCAGTATGCGCGGAGAAGGCTTCCGGGTTCCTTGACTACGCCGGCGACGCGAGTGGAGACGGACATGTGCTGGATCGAGGATGGAAGGTAGATGATGTCGACTGGGGTTCGCCCCGCCCCGACAATCGGCCAGTACATCTCAATCAACGACTCCAGGACCGCCGACGGTAGGATGGTGTCGGTCATGTAGCCATTGGGCATCTCCTTCGAGACATCAGTGACTAGGACGTCTCCCACTGAGCAGGTTTCGTTGGCCTTGCAGTTGTCGATCCCTTGGAACGTAGGGCCGTATTCAACTCCAAGCTCAGCCAGGGAGGCGTACATTTCGCTGGGCGAAATGCTGCTTGCTCCGGCATCCTTGATTGACGCAGTGGTGGACTGTACAAATTCCGCAGAATCGCCTGCCTGTTGCCCTCCGTCAACGTCATTAGCATCCTTTCCCTTCGTGGCAATGAGGCCGATGCAATGCTCAGTCCAACCGTTGTCGAGCGTCCACGAACAGATGCGGAACTCGTCCCAGGCGTCAGAGGAGACAAGTGTGCCTTCTTGGTGGGGGCGGAGGGTGATGGTCATCTCGAGATCCTTGTCAGGGATCACCAGGGGCTTGGTGATAGACACGTCCTTCAGCTCGAAATTGTCAAACTCCAAGGCCTTGGTCGAGGCTCGCTGAGCGGCGGCTTCAAGGGCCATGGTAACAAAACCGGACAAAGGGAATATCGTGAGGGACTGGATCTTGTGGTGCTGCAGCCACGGGAGATCGTCGAGGCGAACAATGTTTCTCCACGTCGGCTCTAGGTCGTTGGAATAGTTGGCGAGCGTTCCGATCATGTCGCTCCGTGGAGCCTCTCGGAACTTGTGCTTTTGCGTCATGCGGGACTCGAGCCAGTATTTGGACTGGTAATTCCAGGGGTATCGAGGCAGATCCGTCAACAACTGGGGATCCTTCGAAGGCTTTGGGAAGTTGATCGCCGCGAAATCGAGGGCTGCCCCTTTCGTGACGAGGCTCGCTGCAAGCTCGAGCGCAGTTTGCACCGCGTCCTTCTTCCTAGCAAGCGCAGAGGCATACGGTATCTTGGGCGCATTGCCACCGACGGCCTTGAGAATCTGCTTGATGGGCCCTTGAAGAGCGGAATGCGGGCCGATCTCGATGAGCATGTTGACGCCTGTCGCATGCTCTCCGTCCGGCTCGAGCATGCTCTGAAGTGCCTCGGAGAACCGGACGGGGCATGTGAGATTGTCGACCCAGTAATTTGGCTGCAGCTCGGTCCCTTCTACTCTGTTGCCATAGAGGGAGGAGTGGAACTTCACATTGGTCTGAAGCGGAGCATCGAGCTTTGCAATCGACGCCCGGTACTCCTTGGCAACCAGATTCATGTGATGCGAATGGTAGGCAACGTCGACCATCAGCCGGCGGTTGAACATCTGCTTTTCCTCGGCTAACTTCTCAAGCTCAGCAATAGCAGGCTCGTCTCCAGAAATGGTCAGACTGGAAGGACTGTTGAAGCAGGCAATCCTGGCTTCCTTTGCGGTCAGGCTTTCGATGAGCGGAGAGACCTCTTCCTTGGTGCCACCAATAGCCATCATGCGGCCTTGGAGGTCTGGGAACTTCTTTTTCAGGATCGGGATGAGTCTGCCCCGGTGGTAGGCAACAGCCATGGCGGCCTCGAAAGTGATGATTCCGGCGGCGTAAGCAGCTCCGATTTCGCCACTGGAGTGTCCAGCCACGGCGGTAGGGTGGATGCCCCACGACTGTATGAGGTCGACCAAGGCTACTTGGATGGCCGTGCAGGATGGCTGACTGATGTGGGCCTCGTTGACCTTGGATGTCTCGGCATCCCTCCCGAGCTCCTCTGTTAATCGCGTAGGTTAGTTATCGACTGTGATCATAGGCAAAACGGACGGAGGGATGGATGGAGGGAGGGAGGGAGGGAGGGAGCATTAGTGCCGTACCGATAAGCGACCATTCTGCGCCAAGGTCTTTCAGACACCGGTCGGCGCGGTCAAGGCTGTCCGTGAAAACGGGGTATTGGTCATAGAGCTCGCGGCCCATGGCATTCCACTGAGCACCCTGGCCAGTAAAGATGAAGCCTAGTCTCAGAGGACTCATGTCCTTCCCTGGCACAAGCTTTTCACCGTTCATCTCCTGAATGAGCTCGAACGAGTTCAGGGCTGCGATGGCGACCCTCCACTGCAGATGAGACCGCCGCTGACCGAGGGTGTAGGCAATGTTGCTCATCAGATCCATCTGGAAGATTTCAGGTCGCTGCTCGAGGTAGACGACGATATCCTTCATGAGCTGGGACAGTGCTGTCTTGTCGTTGGCAGTCAGCACGTACAGCTTGCGTCCTTGCGAGGCCGCCTTCTCGGGAGGTGGAGTTTCGTCGCCTGGGCCCGGCGCTCGCTGGCCACGGAAGGGCGAGGCCTCGAGGACGACGTGGCCGTTGGTGCCTCCGAACCCGAAGTTGTTGACACTGACGTATTTCTTATTCCGGGGCCACGGTCGCTGCCCCGTGGGGACCTTGAAGTGCCATTCCTTCCATGGGATTTTGGGGTTCGGTTGCTTGAAGTCGTAGTTGGGGAGGATGAAGCCCCGCTCGAGCATCAGTGCCGCTTTGATGACCGCGACAATGCCTGACAGAGTGTTAGTTCCCTTGCCTGCAGTGCACGCACACGCATGGGTATATGGGTAAGCATATGTAGTCTGGCTAACCTGAAGCACCCTCCAAATGGCCGATATTAGACTTGACCGAGCCCAGGAAGAGCGGGTCTCTCGCTGTCCGACCTTTGCCCAGGTAGTTGTGAATGGCGGTGGCCTCGATGGGGTCACCAACACGGGTGCCGGTGCCGTGGGCCTCGACAAACCCACAATCGGCAGGGTTCAAGCCCGCATTTCCATATACCTGACGCATGAGCGCCTCTGTTCGTCGAGTCAGCATATACATTTCCAGTGAATGACGAGCTGTAACATGAGCGGTAACAGACCTTGGGCTTCCCCGCTCGGCATCGTGATGCCAGGCGTCTTGCCGTCCTGGTTGATACCGCTGGCGGCAATAACAGCTCGGATTGGGTCATTGTCCCTAATAGCCTGGTCCAGTGGCTTCAGGACAATCATGCCGCAGCCTTCTCCACGGCCAAAACCGGTGCCTCTATCGTCGAAAGAAATGGATCGGCCAGAATCCGAAAGCAATCTACAGGTAGGTTAGCGGCTGCCGGTGAGGGCCAACCCCACAGGGCTCAACGAAAGGCCTGGCTGATATTGCGGACATACCTGCAGGTTGAGAAGGAAATCCAGAACTCCGGTAGCATGTTGAGATGGCAGCCTCCGACCAGGGCAGTGCTGGATTCCCCGGTGCGTATGCTCTGGCAAGCCAGGTGCAATGCGACCATGCTAGACGAGCATGCAGTGTCTGAAGTGAAACTAGGACCCCTCAGGTCGAAGAAATGCGAAATCCGGTTGGACTGCATCGCGTAGGCGCACCCTGTGTTTGGTAAGCAGCTGCGAGCCATATAAGTGGGAACCCGGGGAGGGGGGGCAGACTAACCTGTTGCTTGATGCATGGGGATGGCATCAGAGTCTCGAAAGAGGTGTGACTCGTACTCCGGGAAGGAACCGCCAACGAAGACTCCCACATCCTTGCCCACGATGGTGTGCTTCGGAATACCGGCACTCTCAAGAGCCTCGAAAGTGCATTCGAGCAGGAGACGCTGCTGGGGGTCCATGGAGATGGCCTCCTTCTCAGTGAGGCCAAAGAACGGAGCGTCGAAAGCAGCAAGGTCGACATTGAGGAAGTTACCGCCAACAGCGTTCTGGCAGCCGCCCTTCCCGGCGTTGGGGTGGTAGAAGCTGCTGTTGTTGAATCGCTCCTTGGGGATTTCAGACCAGCCAGTGCGAGCCCGAGTGCAGAGCTCCCAGAACTCGGTAGGCGTTGCGACGCTGCCTGGAAGGCGGCAGGCCATGCCAACAATGGCAATCGGCATCGGCTTCTGAGGCGGCGGAGGCGAGGCATGGTGGCCGTTGGCATTGCCGTTGGCATTGCCGTTGGTATTGCCGTTGGCATGGCCATTCGCATGGCCATTGGTATGGCCATTCGAGTATCCATTGGCGCCATTGACGCCATTTGCGTGGCCGTTGGCGAACCCATTGGTCGCGCCGTTCACGGTGCGGCCGTTAGCGTGCCCATTGGCGTGGCCATTGGTGAGCCCGTTCGTAGCACCATCGCGATGGCCGTTGGAGAGACCATTGGAGAGACCGTTGGAGAGACCATTGGAGACACCGTTGGAGAGACCGTTAAAGTACCCATTCACTCCATTCCCATTGGGACTGCTGTTGTCCGGGGTGACGGCAATGGGTGCCATTGCGAAGGGGCCCTGTTGCAACGACCTTGGTCAAGACTTTCTTTCAGGTCTTCAAGCTGAGTTTTGCGGCAGCTCGCAGGTGCCTTGCAATACTCGGCAGATCCGAGATCAAGTCGACATCGGGAGGGCTAGAAAGATCGAGTGAGTCGCGCGGGCTGGGCATCGAGAAATGTGACCTTACCCAACGGCTTATATCATATATGCCGAGACGAGAGAAAGTGCGAGCAGATGCAAGGACCGGCCGAACCCACGTCGGAACGGATGAAATGACAGACAAGCGAAAGGGAAAAAATGATAAGCGTTGTTACAGCCATCCCGTCGGCCGCAGAGAATATGCCATGTAACGATGTAGCTGTATCCTTTCTTACCGGGCCATGACGCGTCTGCAACGAAGGCCGAGCATCGTTGCTGGTATATTGTTCGGGCCCACAGGGGCAATTATTAACAATATCCCTTATTGTGATGGCTGGCCATGCTCGTCTGGTTGGGGGGTCGGATGGGGACCGCATGCTATGTCCGGAAGCTTTGCAACCCCTTCCAGATTCACACCATCAGATAGGGAGCTCGATCCGAAAGTCAGCCTGCGGCCACAGCCAGAGAGCCGCGGTGCACCCCACGCCGTGCATGCGCCGTGCCAGCAATGCAAAGCCCGGGCGAAATCCATCTGGTCATCTCGATAGAGTTAGACGGGGGTCGATCCAACCAGGCATAACGGCCACATGTCCCACGGTGGGTGCGATCAGCGTCGGCTAATGTCGTTCGATAGTGGCCTCTTTCTCTGTGCCTGAGAATCCGTGCCCATCTTCGTAAGTTCCTCGGAACAGGACATATCGGGGGAAGGAGGTTGAGGGCGATGTAGCACAAGATTGCTGCCGGCCGGGAAAAGTGGATGTGTCAGGTATCGATAACGGGCGGGCCGGCGCAGGGGGCGGTTATCGATAGCGGCTAATTAGCCCCCCAATCGAACCCTATCGATCGCTATCGGTACTTTTGACGCGAACGACCGGCTAGCTCGGGGTACTTGGGTGGGGCTCTGCGGGGCCGGCGCTTTCGCCTGACAGAGGAACGTTCCTTGATCCTTAAAAGGGGACATATCGCCCGCAATCTATCTCAAATGGCCGACGGAAAGGCGAGCACAAAAGAACATCTAACCCCCGGCAGCACGGAACAATCAGAGCACGGGTGTGGCCACCTTGGACAAAGTTAAGCTTTTCTGCAATGTACAATCCTGGGTCCGCCTGGGACACAGGATATTACCACGGCGGGGCGGCCGTCCGTCCGGCAAAAGAGCGTAACGAGTCAACGGCTCCTTGTATGGTGGGACGCCGCCAGGCAAGAGAGGCGAGAGAGGCGAGAGAGGCTATCTGCCTACCGGTACGTCACTACTACTATGTACACCTTCTCCCACTCTAAATACTTCCGAGCTCGGTGCCAGGGCATTGTTAACCACCACGAACAAAGGATGCCACAACTGGCAATCCGTAATTGCTTTCTCATCTATCCCAGACGGGCCAAACCACCATTCCAGAAGCGCCATCTATGCCTACCACCTATCTTCTCGTATGTTCTCTCACTCTCTGTGCGTCCCTCTCCTCCATCTCAGCCGAGCATTTCTCCCCCCACCCTTCCGTCTTTCTTCAATCCAACGAACGACCGCCAGGAAACCCTGCACCACCGACGAACAGCCTCCGCGGTCGGTTGGAGGTCTGCTTTAACAAAATTTTGTCCCGGTTAAAGACGAAGCTGCCAGAATACTCTCGTCGCCCATTTCCCAGGGTCAACTCCATGCGGCGGGGCTGCCCGTCTGGGAAGGGGAGACGCGGAACTGGGACGTCCAGGCCTGGGTAATGCCAAGCCCTCGAACTTATCAACATGTTCCGTTCAATTTGCCGCTGAGCGGGATCAAATAAGTCGCTAAAGCTTAAGTGACGCGTCGCCTGTTCGCCATCGTGGCTTCTCTCCGTCGCCCTGGCTGTCGTCAGCTGTATTGATAGCACCCAGCGCCATCTCAGCCAACGTTACGTTCTAGACTCGTTCCATGGAATCCTGTGGTCGATAGGGCTCAGCCGCTGTCATATCTACCCCGAGTCGCTTCAGCTGAGATCGCGTCACCCTGCACAAGCATATCCACCCGCTCACACACACGCTCACACACACACTCTCACACACACACGCACCTGGCTCTAGTGCCCGACGTATAAGCGAGCATCAAGGGTTCGCCAAACGGCCAGCGCCACAGATAGCAACCCGTCGCAAAGCAAGCACACCTCTGCATACTTCGGTCAACATGAGGTTCCTCTGTCTCCCCGGCGCCTACGGGAGCTCGGATGTGAGTTCCCTTACTTGGGTGGCAGCTGTGTTTTGTTGTGGACTCTTTTCGCTAAATGTTCGAGGCAGAAATTCCAGGTCCAGCTAGCCCCGATCGTGAAAGAGTTGACAGAGGATGGCTCTGCCACCTTCCACTTCATCCACGGGCCTTGCAAGGCGGTGCCTCCCGAGGGGTTCGAGGAGTACTTCGGAAAGCCGCCATACTTCCGCTTCATGGAGCCGGATGAGGATGTGGAGAATACAGAGGAAGACGACGTCTTGGCTCGGATCAGGGACTTCCCCGACTGCGAGACGCCCGAGGACACGATGCGCGAGCTGATGAGGGAAGGCATCGCGACCTCCCACAGGAGCACCCACAACGCGCTCAAGTATCTCGTCAAGATCATAGAGGAGCGAGGGCCGTTTGAAGGCATTATCGGGTATTCCGAGGGGGCCACCATGGCCGCCACTCTGCTCCTTCTGGAGCAGAGACGCTCTCGAAGGAAGGGAACAGAACTCATGTTCAAGTACGCCATCTTCTTCGCCGGGTGGCCTCCAGTTGACCCGGAGACGCATGCCATGATCCTCGCCGATGATTCTTATGACTTGATTGAAATCCCGACATGCCACATCAGTAAGTCCAGTCTCATATCCTACAAATGTGCGTTCCGTCTGCTCACGCCTGGGTCCGACAGTCGGCTCACTGGATCCCTACGTTCACGGCTCGCTGGCCTTGTACAACGTCTGTGACCAGGATACGGCCTACCTGTTTGATCACGCCAAAGGCCACACCCTACCCCGAGACAAGGATACGGTCAAGGAGTTGGGGAATGTGGTCCGGGAGGCCATGGTAACCTACAATATTAAATGACGTGTGCCGAGGGATACTCAAACTTTGTTTTCCACGCGAGGGTGTCAGTCTGCAGTTCTAGTCTTATCAGCAATGGCAGGGTATGATGCATATCTCAATCTGCTCTGATTGGGACAGAGCTGTGCCGCTTTGGCCCAACGCTAGAACTGCATTCTGTACATATCGATGTTTCTGGAACGGGAAATTGACGTCTTTTTGTTTTATGGTGGGGGTTGCGAAAGAGGGGGGGATGAATAAACGAGCGCGAACGGAGAAAAAGATAAAAAGAAAAAACAAAGACATAAAACAGGAGCAAATACGCGAGAGCCCCAAACACGCAGGCAGGACTTGAAGCTACGTTACTTGGCCTGTCTCATTCTAGCAAGTTCAGCCGGTGACCAAGGGAGATAGACGCAAGGGGTTGGATGGGACGAGATCCAAATTATCCCTGACCGACTTCAATCTAGGGTCTTGCGTAATCTGGAAAATCGGGCAAATGCCACAGGACAGAGCAGACCAGTCCAGACCAGAGATCCTTCTCTGGGAGGGGAGCGGAACGAATGTCGAGACATGAGCAAGGGGAGCTCGCTGACGAGTCTGTGTGTCATGGCCTCAATCTCAATGCAGCCATTCTACGGCGGCGGTCCGGAAGCCGATATCGTGATCAGTTGCAGTTGAATCAGGCCCGAAGAGGGGAATCAACTTGCTCGACCATGCCACCTGGCGGAAGGGCGAGAGGGAAGCACACCTGGCGAGGGACGACACACCGGCCTAGCCAGATAAGATGTTCGTTGCCTTACCCGGGCGCGTAGGAGCGGGCCGGCGATATAGGTGGGACGGTGAGATGGATATTGGATATTGCAACTACGCGGACAGATGGGACCAATATGGAGGTCGGAAGGGATGGAAGATAGGAAGCTGCTGGGTATTGGTAAGCTTTTTTTTTTTTTTTTTTTTTTTTTTCCCTCCCTGCCCTGCAGTTAGGACCTCAATGTGTCGTGGCTGCTGCTGAATCGGGCTGAGAGGGGCCCCAGCCTCCCTGTCAGGCACCGGATTGATCCAGTCCCGACGTCATACCTGCAGTAGGCAGGGATAGATGGGTTACACTTAGGTAGATAGAGAGAGAAGAGCTTGGCAGGTACCTAGTATTTTAAGCCCATGTCCCCCAGCCGGGAGCTCCCACGAGGTTGCTCACCCAAGATTAGGTACCACTTTTGGCTCCATACTACCTTAGGTAGGTCGAAAGTGTGGTCGTCAGCTTTTGGGTGCCCGTGCATGTCCCTGTCCCTGTGCCTGTGCCTGTGCCCCTGCATGTGCCTGTGCCTGGAGCAGGCATGTGGTTTAATGGCCAATATCCGCGCATCGGCAAGCAAGAGCGGCAAGCGATGCAAGCGAACGATCGGCAGGGTATTTAGGTAAATAAATAAGGTGCCGACTCCACCCAGCCTGTTAACTGCCGGGCGGCTGTCTTGGCTCTCGTCTTGGCTGTCCCAAAACGTGTCCTGCATGAATCATCTCTCTTGTCCCATTTTCATTTTCTCTTTTTCCGAGGAGCCAATCGCACCCGCAGCACCACACCCATTGGATATTAATGGGTGGGGCTTCGAGAACTCTGTGAAGAATATACTATGGTATATATCATAGTATCAGCTCGTATATATGTTACCAGCTTAAACTATGCAGGTCCATAATATCCAGCAGAGTCCCTCCGTGTCTTCTTGCCCCCTCTTACCTTACCCTACCCCCCCCCCCCTCCTGCCCATGTCCCCACATGTCACCACCAACCAGCCATGAAATGACGTGCGGTGCAGCACACTCTAGATATGAGCATTGGTTACGATAGCGTAATAACCAACCGTTGGGGCAGATTGCCCATAGATTGCCTGTTCATTTGTCCAGCTTGGGTCCTTGTGGACGTCGTAAGCCGCGTGTCTGTTCTGGGCGTCCTCGTTTTCCCGGCCGATTGTGAAATCGAACATTCTCGGCCCTTGATACTCACTGAGAAGAATAATGGTATCATGATGTAGTCCCTTAGACGCAATCCTCCCAAGCACGCTCACTCGCGTATGCCATTCACAGTCTGCTCCATCACAGTCGTCTGCTCCATCACGTTCTGCTTCATGTAGGTGGTGTGCTCCCGCAGGGCTTGGTCTACCCACCACTCTCACATTCCTTAGCTTGCAGCTCTGCCCACGCCTGTGAATTCCCAGCAAGACTTTCGTCCGGACCTACCCGGATCCTGCTCACCTGGTTCCCTTCCAAGATAACCCACATATCTCCAGAATCCTGAACGCTGCTATGGCACTCTTGGATCTATCTTTGTGGTGAAGGCCCTTGACTGGCACCCAGATCCCCTACCGGGCTCCGCCGTTCTTGCCTTTCATTCTTTCCCGGGTTGGCCACCGCTGTATGGTTACTAGTGTTCCAGCAGAACCGGCGCACGCCATGGATACCTCGCTCGACGTGACGGAGAAGGCTGTTGGCCAGACTCCTCCTTCCCGTCCCCCTCCGCCCGCTCCCGCTACCTCGGGGCATGTAATGTCACCAGCCGTGAGTGTCGCTGGAACTGGGAAAGCCGCAACGCCGTCACCATCACTGCCCGGGAACCGCCCCCAGGGTCAAGCAGCCGCAACATCACCGGCGCAAGGCAAGAAAGCCACCACCAAGAACCCTTACGGCATAAAGCCAAACTACAAGACTGCCGCCAGGGACTTTTGGGTACGTCGCACTCCTCGCTCGCTCGCTCGCTCTCGATGCTCAGCTCAACTGACTCTCCCTGCAGAGGATATTTTCTTTTTCATCATGGCTAGACAGGCTCCTTCTTGCCGTTGGTATCGTCGGTGCTCTTGGCGCCGGCGTCACCATGCCGATGATGACTATCATCTTCGGTACGTGTTATCATAATCGCACGCCATCGTAATCCATAGTTCCCTACAGCTAACACCCCGTCAGGTCGTATGATCGCTTCTTTCACCAAGTATTACAAGTATGAGGCTGTTGAGTCCGCGAGCACTTTCTTTAGGGAGAGTATCAACGAATGCTCGTGAGTAAACCCCTTTCCCGTCACTACCCAGGCCATTATAAATGCCAACCCCCTAGCGCCTGACTCCTGCTAACCCGCTGCAGTTTGTTCCTGACATACCTCTTCATCGCCAAGGTTGGCCTTAGCTATATGGCCAATGTATGCAAGCCCCCTCTTTTCCCCTGAGATGAATACCATACCGCTGACACGTGACACACAGCTTGGCTTCAGGATGTCAAGCCTACGCATATCGGCTGCGATGAGGCTAGAGTACATGAAATGTCTCTTCCGCCAGCCCATCTCAACTCTTGATGCGCTCCCACCCGGTCAGACGGCGGCCATCATCACCATCACGGCCAGTGTCTTGCAGGCAGGGATATCCGAGAAGCTCGCCCAGCTCCTCCAGTCCATCTCGCTCGTCGTCTCGGCACTGGTGATAGCATTCATCCACAGCTGGAACCTGACCCTGGTAACAAGCTGCGGCCTGATCTTCATCGTCGGCGTCTATGCCTCCACAACCCCGTTCCTGGTCAAGCTGCTGGGCCAGGTGCAGCACGCGGACATCCAGGCCTCGGTCGTCGCGAACGAGACCTTCAATTCCATCCGCATGGTGGCCGCCTGCGGGGCCGAGGCCAAGATGGAGAAGAGATATGCCGGCTGGGTTAACGAGTCGCGGCACAGGGGGATGAAAATGCCGCGGTTGATCGCTGTACAGCAGGCGCCTGGTAAGTTTCCCCCCCCACCCTCCCCGCCGCCGCCCCCTTCCCGGTCGTCCTGTAGGGAAACAATTAGGATTAGGTGCTGATGTAGCCTGCAGTGTTTTTTGCCATCTACGGGTTCGTATTCATGCCATCCATATCGCCGAGTGACCAACAACCAGCTAACCGTCCTGCAGCACCTTCGCGCTCTCTTTCTGGTACTCTTTCAAGATGTACATGGAGGGGAAGATCACCAGTCCCGAAACCTTGATTGTGTAAGACCCCTATTCACGTACCGCCCACACATCCCCCCCTATTAACGCAGCTGCAGCGTTCTCATGTGCGTCATGTTGATGACAACTGCCATCGGAGGCGTGTCAGCGCCCCTCTCTTCCGCCTCTCGCGCGGCCGGGGCGGCCACCATCTTCTACACCATCATCGACGCGCCCACGCCAAAGCTGGGTGGCGTCAAGGAACCCGAGGTGTCCGCCACGGAGGATATTATCTTCCATAATATCAACTTTGCGTACCCGACCAGGCCGTTCATCAAGGTCCTCAACTTCTTGAACCTGCGCTTCCCTGCCGGGAAGATCACGGCTATAGTTGGTCCGTCGGGCTCTGGGAAGAGCACCATTGTTGGGTTGCTGGAGCGGTGGTACGAGCTTGATAAGGGGGTTCATGGCAAAGCCATGGTGCGTTATGATGTGATACCCCTTTCTTCTTCTCTCTCCGTGATTGCTGACTCGAGGCGAGTTCTTAGTTTCTACGAAATGGCTCAATCACCATCGGGGGGCGACACCTCAAAGAGATCGATCTCAAGTGGTGGAGGTCCCAGATCGGCCTCGTGCAACAAGAGCCCTTCCTTTTCAACACCACCATCTATAAGAATGTCGAGCACGGCCTGGTCGGCACCGAGTGGGAAGATGCGCGACCTGAGAAGAAGAAGGAGCTTGTGGAGCAGGCCTGCCGAGAGGCGTTTGCGGACGAGTTCATCGACCGTCTGCCCGAGGTGAGTGGCCTGTGTAGCTCCTGCATCCTTCCCCAGCAGCAGCTCCGCTGACATCAGATCCAGGGTTATGACACTGTCGTTGGAGATGCCGGCATCAAGCTCAGTGGGGGCCAGCGGCAGCGACTAGCCATTGCGAGGAGTATCGTCAAGCGACCAAAAATATTGATACTCGACGAAGCGACCAGCAGCATCGATGTGCGGAGCGAGCTGATGGTCCAGGCCGCGCTGGACAAAGTATCCAAGGACAGGACGACCATTACCATCGCGCATCGCCTCTCGACCATTAAGAAGGCGGACAACATCCTCGTCCTGCGCAAGGGACAGGTCGTTCAACAGGGCACTCACGAGTCCCTGATGGCGAACGAGGGGGGCCCATATTGGACTCTTGCAACCGCTCAACAACTTATGACGGGCTCGGAGGAGGAGGAGGAGGACGTCCCAGCCGCGCGTTCTGATCTGTCTGAGAAGAAAAGCTGGGATGTTATCGAGACGAAAGAGAACGCTTCCGGGGACACAAGCACAATGGATACTGCCGAGTCAGTGACAGTCAAGGCAAAGCCGATGGGCCTCATTGGGAGTTTTGCGCTCCTTCTTCGCGAACAGAAGGCCCGCTGGCCCTGGTACTTGCTTCTTTTTATTGGGACGATTGGTGGAGGAGGTAGGACTGACCTTTCTCACCCCCTGTTTTTCTTCCCCCTTTTTCAAGCCACCCTATCTGCCACCGTTGAAATAGTTAACACCCAAACAGCAACTGCGCCTCTCCATGCGTACCTATTTGCCCACCTCCTGACTCTGTTTCGGATTTGGGGCGAGGAGCTCTTGTATATGTCGAGGTTCTGGTGCCTGATGTTTGCCATGTTAGCCATCATGGTTGGTCTCAGCTACTTCGCCATGGGTTGGTCGGCAACAACCCTCGCAATCGTGAGTGCCCCTGCCTTCCGAGCCGCTGAGCTGTGCTTTCTAGTAGCAACAACGTTCTAACGAGTGCACCAGAACATAACACGCGCATATCGACGGGAATATTTCCACAACATGCTCTTCAAGTCCGTTGCCTTCTTCGACGCGGACGCACATTCCGTCGGCGCTCTGACCGCGCAGCTCGCAACGGACCCGACCCAGCTGCAGCAGTTGCTGGGCATGAACATGGCGTCTGTCATCATCTCCATCTTCAGCGTCACCGGCTGCCTAATCCTCGCCTTCTACTTCGGCTGGAAGCTGGCAGCCGTGGCGCTGTGCTCGTCGATGCCCCTCATCATCGCCGCGGCCTTTTTCCGGATTCGCTACGAGGCCCGTTCTGAGAAGATGAACAACAAGGTCTTCGCCGAGAGCGCCAAGTTCGCGACGGAATCAATCGGGGCCTCCAGGACCGTCGCAGCTCTCACCCTCGAGGACACAATCTGCGGTCGGTATGATCTGCTCCTGAAGACGCACATCAGGAAGGCGTTCTCTCAGGCAAGCGTGTCGAGCCTCCTATATGCACTGAGCGATAGTGTGGCCCTGCTTTGCATGGCTTTTGTGCTCTGGTAAGCTTCTCACCGGATCGACGCACTGTCTCTTGACGGATGACTTGCTAAAACATCTGTCTCTTCAGGTACGGTGGTGGCTTAATGCTGAAGCAGGAGTATTCGCCTTTCCAGTACCTGGTAGTCTATGTCGCTGTGATGCAGGTATGTATTCAACGAAATCGAGAAGTAGGGATGACGCTCACTGAACTTGTTAGGGAGGAGTAGGTGCAGGACAGTGGCTGAGCAATGGCCCGAGTAAGTCCTCTAGCTGCCCCTTTTTGCTGTGCCTATCTTGTACAAGGACTGACCTGAGTCTGTCAAGACATTGCAAAGGCATCAGTCGCTGCAGGGCGCATCATCGACATGAGGACCAAGGATCGCAACGAGGGGCGACTTATTTCCTTGGACCTTGGGAATATCGGGGACAACGACAAAGGTGTCAAGATCCAGATGCAAAACGTCTGGTTCAGGTACCCCACGAGAGATGCGCCCATTCTGAACGGCTTGGATTTAACCGTAAGCGATACACCGTAGGGATCCTACAATTACATGGGCTGGTCTGACAACAATGAATAGATTGAGAAGGGGCAGTTCGCCGCCATTGTGGGGCCGTCAGGTATGTTTTGCACGCCTGCGAGTCCGCCATCAAGCAGCTAACCCCTTTTCCCTACAGGCTCCGGGAAAACGACGGTCATTTCTCTCCTCGAAAGGTAAGCCCGTCGTCCAAAAAGTATCATCTCACGTTACCGCTCTGCTAACATGTTCGTCAGGTTCTACACGCCCAAATTTGGAAATATCCTTTACAACGGCTCCGATATCTCCTACCTCTCCCTCGGCCACTATCGCAGAGAGATCTCGCTCGTTTCCCAGGAGCCGAGTCTACTCAACGGGACTATAAGGGAGAACATCATCCTGGGCGTTGACGAGAACCTCGTCACCGACGAGGATGTCGACCAAGCATGTCGGGACGCAGGAATCCATGATTTCATTTCTTCCCTCCCCGAAGGATACAACACCCAGGTGGGGACCAAAGGCGTCGCCTTGTCGGGTGGGCAGAAGCAGCGCTTGTCAATAGCAAGGGCCATGATCCGGAATCCCCGGCTTCTCTTGCTGGACGAGGCCACGTCGAATCTGGATGCCCAGACCGAGAAGGCGGTCCAGGCCGTGTTTGAGGCGAACAAGAAGAACAGGACCATGATAGTTGTGGCACATCGCCTGGCCACTGTCCAGAATGCCGATGTCATATTCGTCCTCGGGGATGGGCGGGTCGTGGAGAAGGGGGATCATGCGTCGCTGCTGAAGAAAAAGGGGCTCTACTATCAAATGGTAAGTCTGACTCGTGGGAAGGTTGCGAGTCATCACCAGCTAATCAATCGTTTATAGTGTCAATCCCAAGCACTCGACCGATAGCGAGGCCGTTGTAATGGGAGATCAGACCAGATACGTAGCGCCAACAACTAATGATATTTTATTTTATTTTCTCCCCTGTCTTGTGGTGCAGCTCTGGGCTAGGAAGGTCCAACTCGGGTTCCAAAAAATATAGACCGTGCAAGTTTCTGATGTTAGTTAAATACCTGCATTATAGATGGGGAGACAGGAAAAAAGAATCGCTCTGTTACTTCCCGTGATAATAAGCAACTGAGTCAAAACTGGTGAGGAAATAATTACCGAATGTTTGTCGATGTATTAGAAGGACAGGAAGGTGTAGAATTTGCTTGTCCTACATCCATGGCTGTGATCAAAACGCAGGGACAGTATTAGCAGGGAATAGACCCACCGCCTAGAGATCAGCGACGAAGATCAGGATTATGGCCAATGTGCAGGTCGGGTGACATTCCCCCGCTTGTGGCACAGTGAAATCCTTCGGCACTTGGCTTGGAAGGTCCGAAGTCGGGTGAAGAGGAGGCCTATAACGCATGGCCGCAACAGCGGTGTACAATTAACCAACTCTGAGGCCACCTACTATTACCACCATCAGACAAACTCACGATGGATTCATTGGCTAGCATGGAACTCGCCTCCGGTTGGGAGTTCAAGCGTACCGACGACGTTTCGGATACATGGCTGCCAGTCCAGCGTGTACCAACTGAAGTCCATGTCGACTTGCTGGACAATGGCCAGATCACGGATCCCTTCACCGACCTTAATGAGCTCTCCGCCCGCTGGGTGGGCGAACACTCGTGGACCTATCGCACAGCCTTTGCCAGCTCCGATAAGCACACGTTGCCAAATGCAACGACCGACCTAGTCTTCAAGGGACTCGACACCTTTGCCACCGTCAGTCTCAACGATACTGAGATCATGAGATGCGATAATATGTTCGTTGAACATCGAGTCAGCGTCGGCTCTCTCCTGAAGCCCCCCGAGTCGGGAGACAGAAATACCCTGACGATCGTATTCGACTCACCTCGCCGCCGCGGCCTGGAACTTGTCGAGGCACACCCAGAGCACCGTTTCATCGTCCATCAGACTGAGATCAGCAGGGGCCCTGTCCGCAAGGCGCAATACCAGTGGGGCTGGGACTGGGGTCCCATCCTCCTGACGAGCGGACCTTGGAAACCCGTCCTTCTGGAGACTTACTTGACCCGGATTGACAGTGTCAGGGCCGATTACACCTTGTCACAGGACCTGGCCATGGTGGAGGTATCCATATCCGTCGAGGTTGTTGGCGGTAAATTCTGCAACTCCCTTGAAGCTGAGCTTGCACTCCATGGCCAGCAAGTCTTGAAGGTGGTGGTGCCAGAAATTGACCAGCGAGGCGCGGAGGGGGAGGGTGTTCTCAGAAAGCATACTACCACGTTTGCCATTGAAAAGCCAGAAATTTGGTGGCCACATGGTTATGGCTCACAGCCTTTGTACGACCTAGAAGTCCGAGTATTGGCAGAGGACACGACCACGGTTCTTACCAGGGAGAAAAAGAGAATCGGCTTCCGCCGAGCAGAGCTGATCCAGGAGAAGGATGCGTCGGGCCAGTCGTTCTACTTCCGCGTCAACAACGTCGACGTCTTTGCAGGGGGATCCTGCTGGATCCCGGCCGACAACTTCCTGACGAGGATCACGCCTGACAAATACTACGACTGGGTCAAGCTGGCGAGGGAAGGCAACCAGTCGATGCTTCGCGTCTGGGGTGGCGGGATCTACGAGTCGGATGCGTTCTTCGACGCCTGCGACAGGCTTGGACTACTAGTCTGGCAGGACTTTGCCTTTGCCTGCGCCAACTATCCAGCACACCCAGAGTATCTGCAGTCGGTCGAGACTGAAGCTCGGCAGAATGTTGGAAGACTGCGCCACCATCCTTCACTCATCATCTGGGCTGGCAACAACGAGGACTACCAGATAGTCGAGCGTTATGGTCTGGAGTACAACTTTGAAGGCGACAAAGACCCGCAGTCATGGCTCAAAACGGACTTCCCAGCCCGCTACATATACGAGTATCTGCTTCCCAAGGTCCTCTCCGAGGAGTCACCCGGCAGCATCTACCATCCCAGCAGCCCCTGGGGCAATGGCACTAGCACGACCATGAAAGTCGACCCGACAGTTGGCGATGTGCACCAGTGGAACGTCTGGCATGGCGAGATGAGGCCCTTGCAAAACCTCCCCAATATGGGCGGTCGTTTCGTCAGCGAATTCGGCATGGAAGCCTACCCCCACGTTGAAACCCTCGCGGCCGCCGTCTCGGATCCCGCACAGAGGTATCCCGGATCGATGGCCATGGACTTCCACAACAAGGCTATCGGCCACGAGCGCCGCCTGCTCACCTACGTCGCCGAGAATTTCAGGGTCCGCACGGAACTCGAGGCCTTCACGCACCTGACGCAGGTGATGCAGGCGGACGCCATGTCATGGGCTTACAAGTCGTGGCGTCGCCAGTGGGGGGGCCGCGCGGCAGCAATCAGGCCCTGCGGCGGCGTCCTGGTGTGGCAACTCAACGACTCCTGGCCGACCGTCTCGTGGGCGGTCGTCGACTACTTCCTTGTCAAGAAGCCTGCGTTCTACGCCATGAAGCGGGCCCTGCAGCCTCTCGCCATCGGCGTGGCCCGGGAGTTCCACGACTGGACCGCAAGACCTGCGGATCGGCTCTGGCAGCGAGATACCGGGCACGTGGATCCCACCAAGTCGCGGAGGGATGTGACCTTCGATGTGTGGGTCTCGAGCTCTCGGCTTGAGCCCCTTACTGGCGAGGTTGTACTGAGGTTTGTGTCGGTCAAGACTGGGGAGGATGTGCGAGATCGCTTGACGAGAGCAGTGACGATCGAGCCAAACGGCACAACAGACATCTATACTGGCCACAGCATAACTTCCCAGGACCAAGGGGCGGGGTTGCCTTCGTCCGCGGCTGAAATGGAACCCTTCGTCATATATGTGACCTTGTGGATCGATGGCAAGCAGATCAGCTGCGACACCAGTTGGCCGGAGCCGATAAAGTATCTTGACCTGGCGGATCGGGGCGTTGAGCTGAAGTACACCGAGGAGGATAATTCGATTGAAGTGTCAGCTGCAAAGCCGGTCAAGGGTCTAGTATTCTCCGAGAGGAAGGGGGTTACATTGAGCGACAATGGGTTCGACGTCATCCCCGGGGAAGAGAAGAAGGTGGTTCAGGTTACGGGGATCGAGGCGGAGGAGCTTGATTGGACATTTGTCCAGCAGTAGAAATTAAAGTAGATCGAAGCTACACTCAGAGCTAGGACTACCTTGATATTTTATACCTAATGTTTTACATGATTCTATGCGGTGACATTAACCCCCGAGGCATGGGCGGGCGGCTCTTAGAGGAAGTTGATGCCCACTCCCACCTGCAGTCCCTTCCTTCCCTCCTCCCCTCTCCTCAACACCAGCGGCAAGCTGAAGTTCAGCTCAAACCGGGCAACGGGATGTGCATACACCAAGCCAACACCCGCCGCCATACTGGGAAGGCCATTAGCCAGCTCCCCCAGCGCCGAGGCCATCCCATTCATGACCGTCGTAGAATCCATGGCCGATCCCTCTTTGCCTTCCCTCCCCTTGCCCTTGTTCTTCAGTGCCGCCAACCGGCCGCCATTCGCAAAGAGCTGGAGCCGCAGCGGGGAAGATGGTCCCGTACGGGGCAGAGGGAGAAGCACATTCACGCTACCTGCCGCGTAGACATCGCCGCCCACCGCATCAGCTCCGTCGTGAGGGCCCAGCCCACCGAGCTTGAAACCACGCACGTCTGTTGGCCCCCCCAGCTGGAACCGGTCGTTGATCCTGCTGGGCAGCACGGAACCCCCAGTCCCGTACCCGAAGGCCAGTGGGTACAGCATCCCCATACGGAACCCGCCCCCCACCGAGATGCCCGGCCGGCCGCTGCCGTCGCCTACTCCCGGAAAGGGGACCGGGACGGCCCCCGACAGCTCGATTTCTGACTTTGCGAACGAGACGTCGCCCTGCAGCGGGCCCCAGCCGGCCAGCTCCGACGTCGCGCGAACCAGGTACCCGCTCTGCGGCAACATGGGGCTGTCCCTGCGGTCGCGGGAAAAGGTGTGGGTGACGGCACTCTTGACCGAGTCGCCGGCGTCGGCCCGGACGGTGGGCGACGCGCCCGCCGCGAGGCCCGTCAGCTGTCTCCAGGCGGCCGAGTAGGCCAGAGAGTGCGAGTTGCCGGCGGGGGTCAGCCAGGCCAGGCGCAGCGTGCCGCCGCGGATGGCCTCCTCGTGCGAGGCCCAGGGCTTCTGGGTGGCGGAGGCGAGGCCCTCGAGCCCGAGGCGCACGTCCGGGTTGCTGGCGACGGGCGACGAGAAGGCGGCGCTGTAGGCGGAGCGCGTGCGCGTGCCGGCGCTGGCGTTGATCGACAGCGTCTCGGCGCCGCCGAACATGTTGCGCCATAGCGCGTTGGTGTACGCCGAGCCCTCGGTGTTCCCGACGTCGGTGCCGGCCTTGAAGATGAAGCGCGACTTCTCGGCCACGCGGATCGAGACATCGACGTCTGTCCCTGCGGCCTGGGGGTCGGCATGTCGGGCGTCGGAGAGGAATACAGTCGGCTCGGGTTTGAAAATATCTATTGCGGCTGATGTTAGCAGTTCCGAGGTCTGAGGGACGGACTGCGGAACGTGGCATACCGAAACGGTTCAGCTTGTTCGTGGCTGCCTGGAGTCCTTCGAGGACGTCACCCAATGTTGTCCCGGCATTTCGACTGCTGTCTACCAGGTCCCTAAACAACGGATCAAGAAACGATTTTCTGGTATTCTTCGCTCCGTGAACCTCGATCGAGTTTATCGTCGCCGGCCGCTGGAGATGTTCGGAGATCTGTCGCGTGGGGGACCTTCGTTAGCTTTGATCCTTCTCCGAGAAAGACCAGACCGCTTCCAACTCACCAAGGACATCGTTCGCAGCTGAGTCTGTTCGTCTTCAACTTTTGAAATCTGCTCCATTGCGCGTGCTTCCTGCCGCAAGACCTCGGCGCCTGTGTTGAGCTTCCGGATGCTGTTGTCGACGTTCTGCACGCAAACATCAGTTCATGATATTGAGAGAAGAATTGAACTCGTCTTTGAGCAGGCAGGAGCTTCGGGAGGGAATAAAAACATACTTGAGCGCCTCCGGGGCTGTCTTTGGAAGCCATCACAGCTCGCCGTAGCTATAACGGTGCTACTATCTGTATCGCATGTATCGCGCACCCTGCTAATTAAGGTTGTCTCGTGGATCTGGATCTCAAACCCTGGCCGGCAAAGTTTCGGACGAACTGTGTTGGTCTGTGGCTGGAGAGGTGTGGCTAGGGCAACTCCGATCAGGATAGTCCGTGCACCTTGCCATCCTCAACGTCAGCCCGCCGCCTCAGTGATCCCGCGACCTGCCTTAAAACGTCTACGGACACTTCCTGAATTGTCGGGCGCCGTTTTCCAGTTGCATCAGCTCAACCAACGTGTTCTCTGTCTTTGTTTCGGGGTACTATACCCTTTCGCCTCGCTCTTTTCAGAGCACCTACCTAGGCTCTCTCACATTTAAACATCCAGCGCAGCCGGCCTATTGCTGACACGTTTCCATCTCCCGCCTTCCTTTGTCACCCTTTCCATACCCACCATCTTCACTATCCTTACCATCTCCATCGCTCTCGGCATCTGTCAACATGGCCAGTCGAGCAGCACATAAGCGGGTAAGCAGTTTGTCAAACATTCCATCCAAATCGCCATTGCTAATCATTCGTACAGTTGACCCGCGAGTACAAGACCATCTCCGAGAATCCACCGCCTTACATCACGGCCCATCCATCAGAAACCAACATTTTAGAGTAATCCCGACCCGTCTTTTATTCTGCCCATGTGGACACTCTGCTGACAGCCTTGCCTCGCTAGGTGGCATTACATTATTACCGGTCCCGAGAATACTCCCTACCATGGTGGTCAGTACTGGGGCACCCTCATGTTCCCCCCGAATTATCCATTTGCCCCACCTGCCATCCGAATGCACACACCCTCCGGCCGGTTCCACCCCTCGTCCCGGCTCTGTCTATCCATCTCCGACTTCCACCCCCGCTCCTTCAACCCGGCATGGGAAGTATCGACCATCCTAATCGGCCTCCTCTCGTTCATGACGTCGGAAGAGATGACCACAGGCTCCGTCTCCGCAACCGAGACGGAGCGCAAGTGCCACGCCACACGATCGCGCTGGTGGAACTCAACGGGTGGCGGCTCGCATATCAAGGCTGGAGGGCCGGCTCAGAAAGGAAATGTCAAGGCTGGGGACGGCGGCGCAAAGTTCAAGTCCGAGTGGCCCGACCTCGACAAGGTGAACTGGGAGTGGATTCAGGAGAATAATATCGACCCGGCAACCGGTGCTCGCATCAGCAGCACCAGCCCATCCTCGTGTGGGCCCCAGCTCGGAATTGCCGCCGGAAGCGGCCACCAAACACATGCTGTTGTGGATGCCGTTATGCAACAGCGAGACGCCGGCCGGGGTTGGCTGTTCCGGAATAAGCTGGTCCTGGCTGGCATGGCGATTTTCGTGTACGTGTTGATTGCTAGGTTGTTGGGTGAGGGCAGTTCAACCTCATCCTAAAACGAGATGCCGTTGTATTTTAAAAGAGTCCTGCTTTCTTTGTAACAAACAGCGCGCAGTAAACCACTCGACAAAAAAATCCCAAAACATTATGCCAATCTGCGTTTTCATTTGCTTATATAACCACCCGCGTGCCTTTGCAACACCACCAACGCCTGCGAAATAGCGTTGAGTTGCGTCAATCAAAGACGACGTATCCCAACTGGAGTAAGCATCAAATAGTTTTGCAATGTAATGACGCCATCCGACCCGCCTTCGCCGCACTCTAGTCACGCCTTCAGGTTTGTTCGGGGACCAGCGCAGAGTCCCACCGACGCCGAGCGCCAAGGGGCGCCTTCTAAGTAGCTTTCCATCTCCAGCCATACTCCTTTCTCAAGTGTCCGCATCATTTCAGAAATGGCCGCCCCGTCCTTATTCCAAACCATTCTAATCCAGGACTTTAAATCGGTTATTTGATGCAGCCCAAGAAAGAAGCTATTCAGCTCGTGTAGGACATAGTCCATCCACCAAAGGAATCCTATGAAGGGATTAGCTTTGGCCTATACACTGGCTGGAAGTCTCACCAAGCCCCCGGACAAGTCTGTATCTCGTCGATCCAGTCTCCACGAGCCGATCTAGCCATTCGCCCACAGTACTCCCCGGTCGCACGTCAAGAGCCCAGCTCCTTGCGCAATTCTCCAACTCTCCGGCCTCGAGCACATGAGGCCCGTCAGAACAGCACACTACTGTATTACCCAATGGATCCGCCTGCTTTGATTCAATTTTGACTGTCGTTTGTTGGCCGGTCTTAAGCACTAGCATCCAGCGATTCGGCTCTGATGAGGCATCTTCCGGAGGCAATACGGCGACGTAGGAGCCAATGACCCTTGCGGTTCTCATATAAGCAGGGTCGTTATTGAAGAATAGACTTGGTGCGAATAAATGCCGAATGCTGAGCAATTCGGCGGCATTATAGACACGCTGATGAACTGGATCTCGAGAAGGCTGCACATCGCCGGCGAGTCCTGGGGGAACGGGCAGTCTCGACAGGAGGGACATTGAGGTCAACGGCTTTCAAAATAGAGCAAGGAAAACTGCTACTATGGGCACACGTCGGACAGAGATGTTAACCGCTCGTATCGAATAGATGAGACGCGAGTTGCAGAGTAGACGTCGTCTTGCAGATATCGAACGAAGCAACGCGGGGGTTGAACGCTTAGTAAGATTGGGCACCCGGCTGCCGTATTACACTGGCAAGGTCCAGCACGGTGATGATGGGCAGGATCCTTCTCTGCCAATCTCTTACATGAGCCTTCATTGGTCCACCACGATTCGCTGCCCCGCAGTACCGGCCGTGAGCTTGGCAGCTCCAAGACCACGATTACTCGTAAGGCGCTTAGTGCCTGGGGCGAGGCAGTGAAAGCCAGACTTTGGACAGCCATCGGTCACGGTGCAGAAGAGCAGGCCTTGACGAAACACGACGAACAGACCCTCGGCCATCCCAAGAAAAAGTTAAGTATGAAAAAAAGCGACAACCATTTCGCCCTCTACTGTACAGTACACTACAGTTATACAAATAAGGGCAGAAGTTTTTGATGAATTTACAAGGGGCTCAGCGCGGTGCTGGTTTGCCTTGTTTCTGCAGAAGTCTAGGCGCTAGAGCCGAACCCGGAACAAGGGCCAGGACGCCGGGAGCCAGGGGCGTAGGGTACCGAAATACAGGGTGGGGCATGATGTGGGGTGGGCTGTCACGCCGAGATCCCGGCTCAACGGCGCCTCCAACAACCGGAAAGGAGACGTGTCCCGTCGCGACTCCTCTGTAAGGGGACCGCTATCCTGGGTTCTAGGTTGTTCGACCTGCGCTGCCAAGGGACACTTGCCCTAAGACTTAGAGATTTTTTGCGGCACATGATGGAGCTAGCTTAGTTCCCATTGGCTTGTATGCCCTGCTATTTCGATGGTCTGAACATCATTTTATTGGACATCCACATGCGAACTTAAAAGTTCGCATATGGTCACTCGCTACGTGCTAAGGATACCGACTAAGCCTCAGAGGTACTATTGCAGCTCCATAGAGACCACGTTCCAGTCATCTTCAAAGCGGAGTTTATGCCCCCTAACCAAACTCTCCGCAGCTGGAGATACTATCTTGCATGACTGAGGAATATTGGGACAGGCCTTGTGAATGTGCTGAAGAAGGGCCACAAAATAGGAGTTGTGGAAATCGTTAGTAAAATATCTGTCTCGATATCAATACAGTAAGCATGTTCGTTTTTAAATAGGTCTCGCCACACATCTTCTTAATGTCTGCCCCAGCAAACAATATAACGCCAAAGCCTAACCCCAAAACCGTCTGGTCGGTTTTCTAGTCAGTCAATCCTCAAATCAGGATGTCCCATCGCCTCCCAAATTGGAGATTCCTTTTTAGCTCCTTTGGTGCTTCCAGATAGTCCCTCTCGTCCAGGAACATGTGTGTCACATAATCTTTGTAAGCCTTATTGTTGCCGTTCTCACCTAACTTACAGACCTGACCGCCGTTCAGTCTCTAGCTCGCAGCTTCACAGCAAAATTGCCCATATTCCTCAGCAGTCCTGTATTCCGCCACAGCTCAACGCCATTGATAAAGATCATCGTCATTTTCTAAGCCCCGCAGAATAAGATGGTATTAGGGTCGTCGCAATCCAACAAAACCACCCATTCGGTATCCACTAAGAATTGGTGTAGGAAAAGACTATGCTGTTTTAGCCCAGTCCAATATCTGTCGAGGTTATCAATAAGGCCTTGACAAGCAAAATGCGCCGTAGCCATGTTCACAAAGCTCCTTTCGCCTTTCTTTGCCGCTCGATCCCGCCGTCTCCTACAGCAAAAACAGTCACATTGCTTACACAGAGGCTGACTGGCTTGAAGAAGCTCATATCAAGAGACATGCCAGCGCAATCTCCCAAGAAGGGGCTCTCGACTAAGAGCGATATTGAGACAAATCTATCCCAACGTTCCGCAACAGCAGGCGTAGCAGCACCCATCAGTTCCTAGGGATTGACACACGGCGCAAGCCTCAAATAATGCTCGGCGCAACAGGCTAGCAAGAAGTTATTAGCGGCGCCGCTGCCTAGCTCCGCTTGAAGCTCTTGCAAAAGTTGTTCAAATTCTTTCTTGCAGCTGTGGAGGGACGTCCATGGCGGTAGTACAGAGGACAATCCAGAATTTTGAGACTGACGGATAATATGGGGGGCATGGAGTGCCGCACTCAACCTTTTCGGAGGTTATCATGACGTCATGTAGCTCGATGTAAAACCTTTTCGAATCTTCTAGCACATTGTGGGTCTTGCTTTATTCCCCTCCTCGGTGAAATGCTCTTGCGACCCGTTGCGCCTTTGTACATTGCCTATCGGGGCTGATAAAACTAATAGCTACTGTACCACCCATTCCGCTATTCTAAAGGTTTTGGAGACTTGACAAGGCAAAACGAGGTTTTCGGAATGTAACGCTCATGCAAACGCCATCGTACAAACGCCATCGTACAAACGCCATCGTACAAATCGGGGCAGTTGCAGGTTCGCGCTTCTAGACGAACCTGTATTGGTAGTTGTACGCTGCATAGCTGCCCAAGGGCGGCTGGGACAGCCTATGAATAAATCAATCCATGGTCCCGGCTTCCCTGGACAGCGGTTCCCTAAATGTGGGCTCGCTTCCTCAGCTTAGGGTTCCGTCGGTGCGACTTCTCTGAATGCAGCCGCCAAGGATCCTGCTGTACGCCACGTATCACGTTGTCAACATAAAACCAGCAGTACAAGGCGTATGGCATGGTGTTAGCGATCGGTCTGATAGGAAATGGAAAAAGTGCTTGTGCCTGGGCCGGGATGGCATGCAATAGAGATTGCAGCCCAGGTCTACGTCAGAAGCATTATGTCAACTTATGGTTTATTATATCTGATTGGATGCTTCGAGTGGCTGTGTGTGTGTGATAACGGTGACGGAATTGTGTGTGTACAAGCTGGAAATGTTGCCAGGTGGAGCGAAGGAGGAGAGGACGAGGAAGCATCCTATACGTCCCCTTCAGTTCGGTATGAGTGTAGTCGGAAGAGTTTAGTAGCGAACTGAGATCCTCGCGGGAAAGGATATGTAAAATCTAGAAAGCTAATGGTAGCGGTGAGCTGTCGGATTCGGGGAAGGCATAGGGAGGAATGAGATCCGCCGGAGCGAGAACACGAACTTAACCGACATGGGATTCCGCGACCTTAGTCAGGACCAGAAGTAGGGATGGTGAGACGACGCCTGGGAGAGTGGGGACGCAGGTGAGGGGAAATAGGAGCAGGCTAACAAGGGCTCCTGTTGGGAGGATTGCACAGAGGGTCCTGTCCGTCATCGGGGGTTTCTTTGGTGTAGACCCTTAGCTCAAAAGGCCCTCAATTCCACGCCACCGAGAATCCAAGCGCCTACCTGCCGCAGCCACGACTAGTGTAAGCGTGGAGACGCTTGTCTGTCCAGGCGAAGTTGGGGAAGAAACTTTTGCAAGGGAATCACGAGTGTCCTCTACGAAGACAGACTTGGCAGCAATGGAATATCTACATTGAAGTAGTACTCGTGCGAGTATTGCCCCCGCATCCGGCTTGGCTGGTTGAATCCGAGCACCTCATCGTCATAATTGGGACCCTATGCACGACGCACTGAAGGTCATTTAGGTCAGATACTGTGATGAGACTTCCATTTGCAGCGATGGGCTCCGACCGAGTGGGCTAACGAGAATCTAGCTGAATGCCTCAATGAGGAACATAATTATACAACGCTTTTTGGCCAAATACCCCAGGAAATGATATTGACCTTGAGCGCGAGAGGGATGGGGGGACAGATAACTCACTTCCGCGCCAATGGAAAGGGTCAAACGGCCAGTCTGCACTTTTCTAATACCTGACAGAGGACATCAGACTCGACAACTCTTAGTCCGAGGCGGGCCGATGGGAGCTGTGAGGTGAGAGCACCACTTACCGATATTGGCAAGTAGTCAGTGCAGGGACCTGGTTTAAGGAGACGCAATTTGCTGAATGCCCGCCGATCCCCCTCGTGGTAGCAACGGCAGCTAAAGGGATAAGAGAAAGGACGGGCAGTCTGCATGGCGCTACTCCGAAGAGGATATCAGTGTAACTCTGGGTTTCCCCAAAAGACTCTCATGCTCCTCCCCCGCAGTTACAAAGACAGTATTGGCGTACGAGGACAATGCGTGCCAAGAGGTAACCCCACACCATCCGACCATTGGGCATTGGTTAGTGCCCCAGAAACCACCCCGGTAAGCTCCACGAAGTGCCGATACCCCCGAGCCCAACACCCTTGCGGGGATCTTGGACATTCGTAGTTTGGCAGGGGCTGAGTGTTGATTCGCATAGATGCGGAAGTAATAGGACCGGAGTAAACTTGATTAGGCCAATATCCCCGTCCCATAGTCATGACAAACCTACCGTCGATCTTGGCGTGGCCCCCGAGCTGCACGCTTGCAGCTCTCTGCGTAGAATCAAGTTGGCGCTATCAGCGATTTCACGGCAGGGGACACGAATAAATCCGCCTTTCTTCTGATGAGCATTTCTGCCCCGGCACCCGGGATCCCCGAATGCAACAGAAGGTGACCCCATCACGGCCACGACTTGTTGGAAACCCATTTGAGAACATCTTCAAGCAGAGGTGTGATGAGACAGACCATCGACCAGTCAAGAGAGTATATAAATACGCATCCGGACCGCCAGAATGAGTCGTTCCATCCCCAGTTTGCCAGAGCAGAAGACAGCTCCTATTCCTGCGACAATATGAGAATCACCAGCAGCAACCTCCTCGGGTTCTCGCTACCACTCCTGTTGGGTGGCAGCGTGTTTGCCTTGACGCCACCAGACGCTTCTCCGGCTACCGCCAACAAGTCGTCCTCCTACATGTCCAAGTTCCCGACCACACGCAATGAGGCCCGTCCAGTGGCCAAGTTGATGGCCGCGGAAAGCTACACCGCTGTCCCCAATGGCGAGATCTGGTACGATACCGACGGTAACCAGATCCAGGCCTGGGGTGGCTCGATGCTCAAGGAAGGCGACACGTACTACTGGGTCGGCGCCGACATGTCCACCTCCCTCCCGGGCGAACCACCCAACCCGGCTCTGGTAAATTTGTACCAGTCGACGGATCTTCTCAACTGGAAGAAAGTGACCGTGGCCATCTCAGTCTACACCACCGACGTCAACGGCAACCAGCCACTGACTTACTGTCAAGTGCAACGTCCGAAGATTCTCAAATCCGCGACGACGGGGAAGTATGTCATCTGGGGCCATTGGGAAGAGGCCATGAGCTACGCCCCGTCCCAGATCATTACCGCCACTGCCGACAGGATCGAGGGCCCGTATACAATCACAGCTAAAGGTCATCGCCGTCCCGGCGAGGGAAACAACGACGACAGCGCGATGGGTGACCGTGTGGGCCAGCCGGTAATTGACTGGGACACCTCGCCGGCCGACGATGGCTCGTATCCGTACAAGCCCGTCATGGCTGCCTATCCACCGCGGATTCTCCAGTACAACAGCCCCAACCCGAACAACCCGAGCGGCGTGTCATATGTGTCACAACAGGACGGATACGGCACCGCCCAGCTTGGCAACTGGTGGAGCTACCAGCTTACCAACGTCCGCTTCAACATGACCCTTAAGGCCTTGGCCGTGAACATGACGCCATTCGATGATACATACTACCGCAAGTACGCGGGACAGTACTCGATTAGCGCTGCGGATTATATCGTGCGGTTCCCGACTGCCGAGCGCTCCGAGGTCGCCAAATCCGTCTTCATCATTGGGCACCCCGGCGACGAACGGCAGCAGCTGGCGGAACCCATAATTGGCCCTACGCTAGACGAGTCTATGTCGGACTCGGTTGTGCTGGTGAACAGCGGCGACGCGGCCTTCATCACGGTGGCTAGCGAGAACACGACCATATACTACACCACTGACGGATCGAACCCTAGCCCCTCCAACTCCAATCAGATCTACTGGGACGGCACTCGCATCACCGTGTCTGGCGCGCCAGGCACCACTCTCACCGTCAAGGCCCTTGCAGTCAAAGATGGGGAGGCGAGCAAGGTGGTAGAGCAGACCTACCAGATCTCCGATGACCCCTCACAAGTGCCAATTTTCACGCCCATCATCAACTGGCCGTCAGGCACGTACACTGCGGAGTCCCCCGCCTTCGGCTACATGTCCATGAGGATCTACAGCCCGTCGTATGGGACAGAGCTCTACTACACCATGGACGGCCTTGACCCCAACCCTCCTGCCAAAGGCGACAACATGGGATATGGTTCTCGCGACTTTACCGTGTGGCAAGACCCCAAGTCTGGCGAACACTTCTTCATCACCGCGGCAGACCACCTCTACATGAGGGTTTGGAAAGTCACCGACGACCTGACCGACGTCGTTGCGGACAAGGAATACGATGTCTTCGTTCACGAATCGCGCGAGGCGCCGGCATTAATCCGGCACCACGGAAAGGAGGGTGAGTGGGTGTACATGGTGACCTCTGGCCAATCCGGGTGGTTCACCAACCAAGGCCAGTACAAACGAACCAGGAGTCTCTCAGACGGCTTTAACGAGCCCCGCGACGAAGTGACGGGATATCGCGACGGTCGCAGGACCTGGACCGCGCTACAGCCCATTGGTGACCCTAGCACATACTGGAGCCAGTCCACCTGGATAGAAAACATCGGCACGGACCAAGATCCCGTCTACATCTTTATCGGCGACCGCTACAACACGATCACGACGAACCTTCTCCAGCTCTCCACCTACGTATTCATCCCTCTCTATATTGACGACGATACCGCTGGACAATCCGGTGTGACTGGTAGTAGTAATATGACTCTGGTCTACGACCCTGCGCCCAAGATCGACGTCAAGAATCACAGGATCATCCCACCCGAGTGGAGGCTGCTATCGCTGAACCAGCCCGTCACGGCCTCACCCTCGGTCGCTCTCTCGCCCGCGGAGCAAGCGGCCGGAACGTTCAACTACAGCGCCCAGGCCGCGAACAACGGGATCAACTACGACGTCGACCCGTATGACGACGTGGCGAACTACTACAAACCCAATTCGATCCCGTTCTTCTGGCAGGTCGACCTCGGGCAGGCCTACGACCTGTCGTGGATTGGTCTGTCGTTCATGAGTGTTGGAGGATCCGACGCTGTGAATCGCTACGCCGTGAGCGCTAGCAAGGACCTGGCGACATGGACCATCCTGGCCGATAATACCCAGAACCTGCAGCCAGGCTTCCAGTCTCATCGCCTGAGCGGGGAGTTCCGCTATGTGAAGCTGATCGACTATAGTGTCTGGGATGTTGCACATAATAAGGGCGCCGAGTGGGAGGCGGCCGTTTATGAAGTCTCCGTCTACGGCCAGTGAAGACAATATTGTGGCCTAACTGGCGCGCACCGAGCAAAAACAGTCCTCGTAGGAAGGGGTGCGAAGGACATAACTGGGGTTCTACATCAGTGTTTTTCTTCCGCAGTTCAACACTGCAAAGTTTCACTTTCTAACAATGACTGCTTTCTTGCTCCACTACCTGGGGCCCATGTAATGCTTTTCTGCGCATTAGGTTATCTGAATAATGCAAAAAGATATTGCTTGGTGCCAAAAATCCACTGCTGCTCGAGGAGAGAGAAGAGGGATGAAGTAATACCAGGGTTGGTAATTAGTCTTAGTCAGTCAGTCAGTACTGTGACTAAGACTAATTTAGTCAGTTAGTATAGTGACTAAGACTAAGTCTAGTTAGTCAGTATAGTGACTAAGACTGACTAGAAATGACTAAGACTGACTAAGTGACTGACTAAATTAGTCACGTACTATAAAGTAAACAATACTAATTATATATAACTTAAATACAAATCTAACTTAAATACAAGTATAACTTAAATGCAAATCTAATTTAAATACAAGAATAACTTAAGTATAAATATAACCTAGATATCTTCATTTTCTTCATTTTCCTTAGCTTTTTCAAGCTCTTTTAAATCTTTTAAATTCTAGCTTTTTAATAGTATAAGCTGTTTTGCAGTTTCTGAACTTAGCCGATTTCGTGACTTTGTTATAATATTACTTCTAATAGAAAAAGTGCTTTCTATAGAAGCTGAGGTTGCTGGAATAGCTAGGTATTGTCTAGCTAGTATAGCAAGTACTAGATACTTATAGCTATTATGCTTCTAGTAGTCTAAAGGGTGCATTTTTGAAGGTATATTGCTTTTGTTAAAATAAGCAATATATTTATCTTTATTCTTATTGCCTTGAGTGTAAATGATGCGTGAGGCTCGGTGGGGTAGAAAGGATGGTTTCTACTGGCTGTAAATAGACAGTGAGGGCGGGGCCTGAAGTGGCCCTGGTGGCCTGTGACCTGGCCTGTGCGCTAGCGTGGGTTAGTCAAAGCCTACGCGCTCTTTGCGTAGAAACCACCGAATATGATGACTACTTTTACTTTGTACAATATTACTAGATTGCTATTGAAGTAGCCTTCTGCCAATGCGTTATAAATTGGTAGCATGGATATACTTGTTGGAGTTATAATACAAACCAAACCTACCAAAAACCTCAATTTTTGCTGATTCTAGCGATACTAAAATCACCCTAAGAGTTTGCGAATAGCGTTAGCTATGTGCAAGCTCTTGACGCGTTGATTAGACTGATCTACGCGTGAAGCACTGTTTATTTGCTTGCTTTAACCAAACCTGTCAAGTATTTGGGCCTAACCTGTTAAGTATTTGGGCCTTTTCTTACTAACGTTTGAATACTTGCTTGAGTATTCACCAACCTTTGAATACCTGAGCCTTTTGCGTATTTACTAAACCTTTGAATATTTGAGTCTCTTGCGTATTTACTGCTTTCTTGCCTTCTTTGCTGACTTACTTGCGAAGAAGATTCTTTCTTTCTTGACTCTTTGTGTTGCGTTACACTGCTTTTACGTCGTTTTGCCTTCTACGTTGCTGTTACCTTTAATGCTGAACCTGCTGATCTGACTGGTTACTATGGCTTGATTGGTTCTTGGACACTTGCCTATGCAAGCAGGACTGTCGATGGCAGACTCTGCTACCTTTGCCTACTTGGGTGGTCTCTTTTGCTGTCAACCTGGAAACCCTCTTGGCCTTGCTAGCGACTCTTCTGACAATCGACTAGACGCTGATTAGTACTACTCTAACCATGGGAATGAAAACCTTAACAATAGCAGCGCACTGATTAATAACTATGACATTGTCAACAACCTACGCGACAAGCCTACTGATGACTAGCTTCTAGCTATCTACGTTGCAGCTTAATTCTGTCACTAGGACTGCAACTAGTCATGCAAATCAAGCAATTAATACTACACCTTGAACCTTTGGGTATTTAAAGTTATTAACCAATTTGACAAAGATATTGCAAAGATCTAGAAAGGCTACTACAATAAAAGGCTATTTAACCTAGGTATTGATATCCCTAGAGTGTATCCTAAGCTTTGGGACACCTTTCTAAGCTTTGAGGCTTTAAACAATATTGACAAAACTGTGATGGGTTGGAAGACCTAACTTCTAGGATTCTTTAGAGTAGGCAACTTTATATGGAATAACCTATACAACGATCTCTAAAAGCCTAAGTTGAGGCGCAAGTCTGACTTCTTTTGCCTTCCTGATGACAAGGAAGAAGAACCTAGGCCTTTAACCTCTAACTGCAATGACTTGATTATGAAGAAGCTAGATTTCCTAGTAACCTAAGCTGAGAAGTCTAATGCCTGCATTAATGCCTTCTCTAAGCGTATAGATTGCTTTAAGGAATGCTTTGATATGGCTGACTAGGCTTAACGCTAGTTAACTACTTAGCCTTGCCTTGGCTAATCTTGCCTTAATTAGCGTGGTAGCTTTTAGCAGACTTGATTTAACGACTAGTCAAACCCTTGCAGCACTTTGGCTTACACCTAAGAAAGCCTAGCCTTTTACAACTAGAGTAGCCTAGCCTTTTAGCAATAGGAGCGATTTACTACCCTAGCTAGCACTTTTAACAACTACTTTGGCTATTGTCTAAAGAAAGATGATGTTGGGGTATTTAACTTTGACGCAAAGGATTCTAACAAGGATAGGATGATTACTAAAGGCAAGTTGAATGTTTATACTAACGTTTTTGCCTTTTCCAACTGACTAGAAGTCCTTTAGGAGGCAAAGGATAAAGCAGCTTTTACAAGCTTGATTCTAACGCTACTTTACAGCCTAGCCTTGTTGTAGTATACTGATAAGCTTATGCTAGCTAACTGCAATGCCTTTAAAAGCAACCTAGGTTAATTTATTGCAAACCTGCAAAAGCGCTTTAAGCTTGACTAAATGACAAGCCTTTGGAAGCTTAAGGCTGTGTCTTTCTTGCTGCGCAAATTCTTTAAAGATTACAGCAGCCTATGCTAGTATATACAACGCTAGCACTGCCTTGCCAAGGCTGTTAGAAGGTAGGCAGATGACAACCTTTTTACTGCTATATGGGAAGGATTTGATTGAGCTATTTGGAACCTGATTGACCCTTCTAAAGAGGGTATTGACTACCTAACCTTCCTATGGGATATTAAGAAGAAGATCCTACTTTTGCAGATCAAAGCTAATACTTGGTATAACAAGTTCTCCTAGCGTTAGTCTAACTACCTACATGATAACTGCTGTAATGACTAACGTAATGACTAGCATGATGACTAGTGCAACAACTAGCGTGGCAACTAGTGTAACAACTGTTGTATTGACTAAAAGGACAATTGGAAAGGCAATTTGAATTCCTATAACTGCAATCAAGACTGCAACAAGGACTATGCTTAGCCTTGCGACTAACTTTGCAATAGTGACACTTAGGATAGGGACTGCAGTTGTGATTAGCGTGATTAGTGTAGCAACTGCGATAATTGAAATACTTGCAGATGCTTTGACTAGCGTAACAAGGCTAACCTAGCCTAAGAGTCCTCTAATGACAAGTTGGTAGCCTCCTTTTGATTAGACTAGTCTTAGCAATCTGTCAACTCTTGCAACAACTCTAGCTATGTTGCTATAGCCTAGGTTAAGAAATGCTAGACTTGCAGCATTTGCAAGACTACTTTTGGTAGCTACAATAACTTTTTCTAGCACTTGCAGATAAGCTGTTAACTAGCTTAGCTAGCTACATCTGCCAATCTATTTAAGCTGGCAGTCAAGACTAACTTAATAGTATACCTTAGGGATATAATTATAGCTACTAGCCTAGCTAAGCTGTCGATTGACTTTTTTAAAAGGTATACTTATCTATAGCTGCAGGTGGCACTGTTTAAGAAAGCTGCCTAAGCTAGTGATATAGTTAGTATCTGCGCTAACACTAGATGCAGTAACTTATTAGTTAATAAGGAATAGGCTTGAAGCTTTTCTAATCTAAAGGTTAAAGACTGCAAGAGTGCTGTAGATAGTATTGGTAGGTTTATTAAGCTAACGCAGTAGGCTACCTTTTCCTTCTATGCCTTTGGTATAGTCTGCAATGGCAACCCTAGAATTGCCAAATTCACTGCCTAGGCATGGCTTTGCCAAGACCTAAAGCCTTAAGCCTTGTTAGAGGTAGGCTTTCTAAAGCCTTATAGCGCTAACGTGCTGTTTACTAAGGACAAGCTTTGATTTGCCTTTTATAACAGCTTTAGCATGCCTATTGTAGTGATTAAAAAAGGCAACCTAGTTACTTAAAAGGTGACTAATTAATAAGCAGTTGTAATTTAACCTAGTTAGACTGCCTAAGTAGCTATTGACTAAAAGCCTTTGCCTAGCAACTAGTCTTATATTTTTAATGCAATCTACCTAGCTATAGTCAATGCGCTAGTTAACTCAAAGACTTGCAAGTGTATGCCTTTGGTTAATCTAACTAATGCATTGCTAAAGATTTTAAAGAATGCCTAAATTAGAAGAATTGCAAAGACTAAAAACTTAGCCTTCCTAGCTATTTCATTGTTAAGCACTAGTCTCTAAGCGCTTGCTATAGCTACTGCCTTAGCTATAATAGCTGCAGCCTTAAGTGTAAAACTGACTAGCCTAACTAATCAGTCTGTTAATTCCTTAGCATATGCTACTGCATTTAGACTGCTAGCCTTGCTTTTGATCTAAACCTTTAGCCTAACTGCTGCTTCTTTTGACATAGTTGGCGTAGAGTTTAACCTAACTAACGCTACTAAGGCAGTTGCCTTAGGCTTGCCAAAACCGCTGCACCTGCAATCTGCTAAGGTTGCGCAGGAGAGTAATAAGGCTTTGCTAGCTTTCTCTAACACAGTATTTGCAATTACGCAAAACCTAGCTATACTAGTAGCTTTACTGAAAGGCCTAGCCTAGGAGGATGCAGCCTTGGAAAGTCTACTAGTGGAAAAGCCAATTGTTACCTTAACTTTTAGCTTACTAGGAATTAAGACTTTAACCAACCTACCTAAGCAAGTTACTAAGAAAGGCATATATATATATGCTGCTAACAAATAACTAGCTTACAAATTAGCCTGGCTAGTCAAGTGTTTCTAATGAATTTAGACTAACAATAGTCTAATTAAGGTCTCTAATAACTAACTTCTTA